CGTCCTCACCGAAAACTTTCACCTATGCAAAGCTAGCTCCAATTCCTATAGAGTTTGAGTTGTTGGTGAGGTATTTTCTCAATCTCTGCGTGTGGAGAGCATTATCATCATCGTCATGATGTCTCCTTCTCGTTATGGAACCTAGGCTTCTTGGTCTGACATTTCGTTGGCATTTGCTCTCAGCTCACTTAAGCTCTGACAGATTCTATTCCACTTGAGCGCATACGTAATCTCTGATTGTGAGAGAAAGCACTTCAACGCACAAGTAAATAAATTGACTTTTCCACATCTTTCAATAATGCAGATTTGTTGTATGTTTCGTCATTTACAAGATGGGAAGAATGGGTGAGGTGATAATGTTGTGACTATTTGCTCAGGTCACACCTTATGCTTCTCGGCTCAAATATCTGTTGATGCTATTAAAGGTACTTTGCAAAGAACTTTATTTACAACATAGGAATGGTGAACTGCGATGGTAGATAAAATCTTTAATACCTGTGCAAAGTCGCATATTATACGGATAATGTAATTGATCTCCCTGTGCCCAAGCAACATTTAGCTCCAGAAATTCTTCTTTCATCATATAAATACAAATACTCAGATGAGTAAATACGTATGCGCATATGTACAAACATGTGTACATGCACCTACATGTATGACATAGACAATGATAATATTCAAAGTAGGCAACATATTCACTTCACTCGAGTCAGTGTATTATTATGCAAAAAGTAGAAATTGAGCCAACCGATCTTCCTTTTCAACACCATCTCTGCTTTCACCAGTACTTTTTTCAACAACCCTATCACATATTTGTCGATGATGGTTCTCTGCACGCGGAGAGACCTCTCTAACCTGTTTTTGTCTGCTTTCGACAACTTCCTCCTGCTCCTGTTGACATGAGTTGTATTAAAAAATATATTGATCTCGACGAACAAATGCAAAGAAAAGCAAAGAAACCGACTAATGCTCAGGGGAAAGATTTGGAAGTTTTTGTAAAAGTGTCCTTTTTTGAGCTTTTGGCATTTGCCAAGAATTTTGACTTTTCATCTAATCTCCGGTTTCCCTTCAAGGCAAATAATACTCTTAGCACTGGAACGAACAGCAGTATGTAATACACACAGACATACATCGGGGGCTCTGCTTCATGACTTCTTGATTTTTTTGGTCCGAGAGGAACTCCTGCCGACAGCAGCACCATCCCGAAACTATTTCAGACACATAAAGATTCCATATTTTCATATTTCAATAGCTCCTCGCAGATGAAATTGCTGTATTGTTGTTAAAGCCAACATGCACACACATGCATGGAAAAACATGGAGTTGGTCGAGCAGCCGAGTCTGGTGAAAGCTTCATGTGTATGTATTCCTCCTACATTATTAAACGGCCAACAACACATTGGCCAATACATTGGGCATACAGCCGAGTATGGAGAAAATGTGGGAGAGAAATCAAGTAGTCAGTTGGGAGTCAGTCAACAAGGGAAGCGTTTTGTTGAAGGGAGAGCAATAGTGAGATGACGTATAAATGGCATATCAAGAAAATGAGCGACAGATTATTACGGACTACGGCATGGGAATAATCTTAGCATTTCATTTCACTCAGTTTCACAATAACTGCTTCCTGATTCCCCCGACTTGGAGTTGATGCTCTTTACTCCGTCGTCCTTCTTTTAGTGCTGGCCCCATCCATCCATACATATTTTGATCACCTTCACTTGGCTGGCTCCAATCTTGTAAATAAAATCTCACTCAGCCAAATCCCGGATCAAAATTCACTATACAATTTGTAGGTTCGGATCGAGAGGATCTGACGTGTGCACTTTTGAAATGTAAATCAACCCTGTTTATTTACTTGGTGGCTCAACACTCATTTTTTGAAGTATGTAGGTATGCAGCATACAGCGTGTGTACATACATACCCACACGTCTACATATTTCAGCTAGGACGCGCTCAAAGTAAGTAGTTCTTGATACTTCAAACTGGAGAAAGTGGACCCGAGAGAGACGATATTAGCATGTTCCATCTGCGAATCATCGTGAATTGTGCGATTGCATGATTTAGCTTTTATAAGTATTTTAGAAATAGCCATGCCAAGGCACAGATTTTAAATTTCATAATATAGCAATCTTGACGAGATATAGAGTTATGGTGCATTGGTGTTGATGTACATACATATATATAAATAGATACGTGTACATATGAGAATATCGCAAGATATTTGTACTACATTTCATTGTAAATCCTGGGGATATGTTTCATGCAATTTTCATACATAGAGAGAATATGGGTATGTATCTATAGGCAAAATATAAATATGTGCGGGTGAAACGTATGGTGAAGCAGCAGATACTTATTTCGTAAGAATTTGAACATTGTTGTTTTAAATTGATGTTAAACTAGGAGTGAAGAGTGGTATTGGAGGGGATGGAAAGTGCTCATTTTTCAATAGAATTACTTCAAGAACCCGCCTTCGTATTTTAGATATCGAAATTAAAGCTATAAATCATCCTTTGGGATTTCCTCTACCCATTTCCGTCTCTCCTCACTTGCTTTTTTGCATTGCTCATAGATATCGTTCGCACAGGGAGAAAAGGCACATATTTTATTCTCGTTAGGATAAAAAGTTTACATTATTATTGCCAAAAAATTTGCTGAGGAAATTGCTGAGTGTGTTCGATTCTCAGATCTTCATTACGCGCATAACAGAGGCTCATAACTTTGGAAAACTCATTTCCGACATTAAGCATTTCTACTCTATGGTTAGAGAGTCGGGCCCCATGAAAAGCCGTGCACATTTTATAGCTCCATTATTCATTCTCCACATAACTTTCTGGCAAAAAATAAACACGCGTTTACACAAATAAAACTACAGGAAATAAAAATTCTATTTGTTTATTAGATTATATTAACGTCCCAACGGTTTATTCTTGTGTAGGCTATTAGTAAATTAAGGCGAGTAAAAATGGAAAATATTAGCAAAAAATGTCCATAAAATAAATAAAATTCGAATTTGAAGGGGAAGAAAGTTTCCTATTTCAAAGCAGCAGCCTCCTTGTCATCCAATTTCATCGTGAAGTGCGAAGAATCCAAAATCCAGCCAGAAGAGAAAGATTGATCAATCCGACTCCAGCGAAACAACATCACAAGTGGGCTCGTTTTCTTTTAAGATGTATTCCAAGTTGGCATTAAAAGTCATAATAAACGGAGAGGAAAGATGGGAGGCTGAGAGTCTGAGTTTGGTGAATGAATGGTGAAATGGGTTTCAAAGCTGGTAAATGAGTACACCCCAGCCGCAAATAACACGCCCGGTGAGCCGTTTAATGAAATAGAATATGAAATACTTAAGCTGGAAGAAAACTTTGTAAATAAATTAATTCAAATATTCCCCTGATATTTCCCTTTCTTTACTTTTGCTTATTTTCCCAACTTTCTTGTTCCTTTCCTGTTCCTTTCTACTGCGTTGTAGAAGTGAGTTTTGGAAGACGAAAGTATGCAAAACACTGCAAATGTAGTACACAAACAATCAACAAACTTATTGTCGGTGCTTATGTCGGAAGTCGTTTTCCTACCCTATGAATCAACGCGGCAGCATACCAGTCACCACCCCAGTTAATAAGTACGTATGTAAAAGTTGTATAACCAACAAAGAGTCCAACGCGAGTTTGTTTTACTGACTCCCATTTACTTTCACTTACGAAAGCGAGGAATAATAATGTGAAATCACTTTGTGTTGGTCGTTCCTCTTTGTGACTGTGGTAAGGAATAATCCACTTAATCAGATATTTGATTCTCATTTGCGATCAGTCAGTTAGGAAATTGCGAGTGCTGTTAATTGGATTTCAGCTTTTCGGAGATTTCTTCTTTCTGCTTCATCCGCATTCCTTCTCGCTACCTATTTATTCAGATGCTGCACGCACATTTATATAAAATGGCATATAATTGTGGTGCTGATGGTCGTGATGGGATAATTTACATTGTTATCTGTTAAATTTACATTTGAGTCAACGCAATTTATACGTAGGACGGAAAAGGAGGATGCCTACGCACGTAGGCGTACTGCATGGCTACTCATTGTCCAAAGAAAGTATTTTAATACATGGATAGATAGACGTTTAGACACGAATGACATTAACTGCTTTAATTCAATCCACTCAACCAAGATCCAATTCCGCGCATATAATGCAGTTAACATAGTTTGGAGAAAAGCGAACTACTCAGCAGATAACCCACGGAGAAGTTGGTTTTCGCCATGATGATGACGGCGTTATGCAGCACAAGACGTGGTTCTCTTCATTCACAGAGTTCCAGTGTCCGAGCGAACAATGTAATCAATTACACGCCTTGAAAGCAGCAGGAAACAAAGAAGTGATTCCAATTTCAAGGCATGATTTTGTATTTAGCTTTAATTTCATGTTTCATTACAGTCAAGATTTCGAGATTCCGAGAGGAAACCCAACTCGGTCCTTAAACCACTACGAAAACCACTACCACAGCTCCCGATTTTCCATATGAAAAGGTTTTGGAGACGACAGCGTCGTACTTACTTGCTAATGCTGCTTCAACAACATATCATATTCAGAATTGCTTGCCAAACTTATGAAACAAGGGCCTACAGTCAGTACGACTTGCATGCTTCACAACCACCACTGGTGAAAGTTGACGATGAAGAATACGGATTTAGCTAGTTAGCTTCTGCTGCTGTACTGTATGTGATGCTATAGCTTTTAAACAAGTGCCTGATTTTGGTGGTCGTGGGTGCCGGTGGAAGTGGAGGCTGAACTGATTAGAGAGTCGGTTGGATGGTTTGTGTGTAGTTTAGCAGTGCGTACATTCTACGTACGTATTTACGTTGTGTTGGGGGGATAGCGGATGAAATCGATCGGAAGCTGCTGCTGAGGGAACTTCCATCCGCTCTCTCGTCATGGTGGAGAAAGTCTCCAGTGCTTGGAGCACACTGTGAAAGTGGTCGTTCCTGGAGGCAGGACGGGAACGGTGGTGGTGTGTTTGCAAGTAGAGAGAGTGAAACGAGTCGTGTTTGGCCAGTTGGGCCGATGGCGTGCAATAGTCGACATTGCTGCTACTGCTGCTCTTCTTTGTTTGCTGGTGGTGGTGGTGGTACCATGTCAGGGTGAAAGTAATGTTACTTTCACAATCACGAGGACAAAAACGGCATGCAATCCTGGCTGCCTTCTCAGATCCAGATTGTAATCAGATCGAACAAGACAAAGACAAAAGGTTCTCCTCCGCCTCCCGTGTAAGATTTCCCCAGTTTTCCTATCATCCATCCCGTACACTGAGGAAAGGAAGAAAAATTTCTTATGTACCAAATTGAAAAGGGAACCTGTGAGAAATAGCCTGTACTTACACATACTTATGGGCTCTGCAATAACTTTTTCCGATAAAATCGCCAGTAAAAACTGCCAAAACCTGCAGAATCTACCAGGGGAGCTACCTCCTTTGTGTACAAGTGCTGGTGGTAATAGTTGCAATAGTGGCAATCACAGCCAGCAGCATCACAATCACCGCCATTTCTCCCCCAGAAATCACGTAGACGTGAACTATTGTGAGTACGAGGAGGATCTGGAAGAGAGTGAAACAATTCTTTGCTTCGAGGACAAGACCAAGTCGGACGGCGAAGAGGAAGAATCCACAACCGACGAGGAAGAAGAAGAATAAGGCGAGGAAACAGCAGACGCTCGTCATCGTCCACGTGGGAGAGTCCGTACGTTTCTGATCACTTTGAGCAAATGTATCATGGGACGAAGATGCCTCTGCGACACAATTAAGCCCATATTAAAACTGTCCCAACTGTTGGGCGTCATTCCATTGAATCTGGACCACGAGAAGAATTCTGCGGGTGAGAAAACCGGGTCGTGTGAGCTCACATTTAACTGGAAGTCTCTCTCGACATTCCTCAACACATCCTTCATCTTCTTCTTCCTTCTCATTTCACCCATCGCACATTCTGAAATCCGTGATCGAATGAGTATCGTCTTCAGCGGAACCGACCTGTACGCGTTCAGTCTCCAGACTGTTGCAATGGTTTTGGAGACGACAATCCTCCTAACCGTGGGACGACTCTATCAAGGAAAGTTCTCCAGGGTGAGTAGAAAAGCATGGTTCTGTTCATTTATTTTATTGCCTACTTTGCCTGACACGCGCTGGAAATGCGTATATACGCCGTTCGAAAGAGTACGGAAGGGAAATGGGAGAGTCAGGTCTCCTTTTATTGCATTATTATTTTATAGAGTTCATCATTTGAGAGAGATGAAGATGAGCAAATCTGATTTTGGAGTCGATTAAGAAATGATTCAATGGGTAATGGGTTTGTGTTTATGTTTCTCTAGGGGTGGTCGTCACTGAATGAAGTGTTTCATGCAATATGCGACTCTGCGGACGACTTGAAACAAATCAAACTGGGCTCGTACATCACAGCCTTGATAATTATGATGGAGGGTGTCTTCTTCTTCATTTTCATGTACTTGACGTCCCATCGTGTCTTACTCTACCAGTCCTGTACAGCCCTCTTGATTGGGACGTTTGTCATTAGCTTGACATTAATCATTCCATACATGTAATTTGACATTTACTGTAATATTTTAATACGCATTGAAACAAAACATAAATCAATTAATTAAGTGATTGAATTAAAAATCATTTTCTAATTTCAATCACTTTTATTGCTTATTTATTATAGCATGAGCACATTGTTCCTTTTCATCTGTCTCCTCATTCGCTCGCACTTTTTAAAAATTTCGGAAATGCTCAAGACTGTTGTGACCAAGCAAAATTCTCCAAAGTTGTCGAGCAAAATTGATGCCCTGAGGATACTACACGAACAACTCTGCCAGACTGTGACTTATTTCGAAGATTTCTTCGGATTCCAGGTATAGATTCATCATACTCTTATTTTTATTGTACAATTTTATGGTGACAAACTGAAAGGGTGTTGTTATCGGCCTAGAATTACATTAGTACACACAACAACAGCCCATAGATATTTATGTATCATACACCCCTCCACATTTTTATACCATGTCCATGATTTTTCCTTTGCTTCGACGATTCTAGTCAATACGATAGTTATTATTACTCTGCGTATGCACATGTATCCCACCACCACAGCAAGCACAATCTCCTTTGCAAGATTTATGAAGACATTCATGAGTTCATGGATGAATGTACGATATATTTGTGGTCGTCCTTGCGGAGCTCTCATGCGTGATCGTAGTGTTCTGAAGATATTTTTCAATCCGCATATGCGAAATTTGTCAGTCAGGGTATCTACTTCTCCTCTTTCGGAGAATGCATGTCGTGTTAGTTCTGTGGAGCACGCGAGACGAGAATTTTCCCATCGGATTTATTTTCGATTATTCATCGATATTTGTATTGTGTCCTTCCTTCAAAAAAGGTATTGCTGACACTCTGCACTTGCTGTTTCACCGTCACCGTGGGGGCTTATGCCTGCATTATCCACGATACATCCTCACCACAAGGCAAGGAGCTAACCGGAGCCTGGGGAATGCAACTCTACTGTGCAGCAATCTTTATACTCCTCATCCTCATTTCTGGCCAACTTGTTACAAATGCGGTAAGTCATATCCAAGTAAATACGGAAGTACGTGTGAATGTGTGAACTTACATATTTGTTAGATGTGAATGAGTAGTATTTATGTATGTATGTAGACTTGAAATGTCGTGTTATTTGGGTTTTGATCCCACAACTACACATGTTGTGTGGTATTGATTCTGACGAAAGTATTAAGTTTGTGTCATCATACATATCTCATCTTTCTCGTCCTCTGATTTCATTGTTGGTCCATATTTGCAGGCCGCTTCACCGGGACCTGTTCTTAACGCGATTCCCCTCACCGAGCTAGACCAACTTAGTCAGATCCAAGTGACGGCTTTCCTTTCCAAGATTTCCGCATTTCCAACTAAAATGAGCGCTGTCAAGATAACTACAATTTCGACTACGTTTTTAGCCTCTGTAAGTTATTATACAACTTCCCCTCCTCGTTTATATATTTCTTTCTGAGACTGCACACAATTCTCATCGTCTTTCTCCCTCCTCGCTCTCTCCGCTGGTGGAGAGAGGAGGAATGGAGATGGTTTATGGGTAATCAATGAACCTTGTGAAATTGATAAATTAATTTCTTTTCTTTACCCCGCATCACCATATTTGGACTCATGTCTGACTGAAATGCTTGTATTTATTTATACCCACTCACGACGGATAGGCTGCCACCAATATCACGACTTACCTCCTTGTCCTCATGCAATTCAAACTAAGTGTGGAGAATCGATTTGATGATGATGTTGAAAATCTTACGAGCCAAGTGGGAGGCTTCGAAATGGATCCGTCAACTGAACCCATATTCTATAATGTCACCACCCCGGAGTCGCTTGCCTTCTTGACTGAATCTCTCTAGTTGGAAAATATCTGTGAAATTTATAATGCATCTGTCAATATCAAATGCCACACATTCGCTATGAAATTGTGACATCCCCACCCAGCCAACGGAGTCAAGTCAATCCACTACCACCAAACCAAGAGCACGCAGAGTTAGAGCTACACATACATATATCGTCGTAACGGCCGGTTTTATGTCAATATGACTCGGAAAGTATGTGAAAAGTAGTCCACCCAAAAAACCTCTACTAACAACTAGAACTATTATCAGTCTTCTCATAACCACCGCATATGTATGGATATGGATACACAACCAACCCCACCACCACCACCACTCGGCACAAGTAAATCCCCCACCGTCCCAAATCGCACCACTACCCTCAGACCAGACCACACCACCAGACAAAGAAAGAAGATGACGAAGAACCAAGTGGCATGTTGGAACAAAAGCATCTTCTCCAATACAGCAGCGAAGCCAATAACAGACGTATATGCAGGATATCGTAGGAGAAGCGACCCAGTTTGGAGGAAACATAACCATCATCATCGCATCTCATCTTCGCTGTTTCACTTTGCATGGAATTGCCTAAGAATGGGGCACAAGAGTCCTGTTTCTGGTTCGGGTTGGCACTTGGATTCACATTTCTCATGTGGATTTACTTACTTTATAATTTACTTTGACACTTTACACTTTATCGCATTGCAACACAAATTATTAATTTCAACTCAACAGTCCTCACATCCTGGGGAAAACCACCTTTCTCTGACATGCTGCCTCCTCCGCCTTCTCATCATCGTCCTGCTGCTGCTGTTACACACACTCTGCCGCAACAGGGAGAGAGTGGTTGTGTGGAACACCATGGGAAGTGCGAGGAGGTTAGGTTTCGTGGTTGAGTTGAAGCAGTTGTTGTTGTTGCAGAATGCGAAAGAGAAAGCATATGAAACACTTTGTGTTGACATAGATGATTTAAACCATGCTACATAAATAACCGTTTGTCTAACTTTAATAAAAGAGCCTTGTTGCGCTAATGTTCTCATTCAAACTACGCCATGTAATCAGAGTGAAACAATAGGGAAATGTGATTATCAGTATACCCACCACACCACCACCACCAGCACCCACGTATGGATACCACTCGAACGTATGTATTATGTTACCCGTTCCTTCCCACAACTACTCTCTACGTTACCACTGACTCAATAAAACTGACATAACTGAACTTTCCTCTCTGGGCTCCTCATCACCATCCACCACATACTTTCTTTCCTCGCCTAATATACGACCGACCCGTCTCCTTCATCCATCTTCATATGATTCTCACCCTCATAATCATTCTCTTCGTCCAAAGAAAGCAAAGGCATACGAGCCAAGCATCCTCATAAAGCATCATCACACACAACATCTTTTTCGGCTAAAAGGAAACATTAGTCCGCCACCGGTAGATGCTCATTCGCCGGACGATTAAGGGTAACCAACTTTCCAAACGCGTAAAACAAATTGATGAGTCTGTGTATGTGGGGCTATGTGTTACGAAATATTGCTATTAAGTATTTTCATTTTTTTAGGAAAATAATTTTTTGAGAATTTATTTAAAGAAAGAAAGCGTGTGTAGCACTTATAAAAAGTTGAGTTCTAATGTTTGCCTTTATAAACGTCATAAATAGAGTTCATGGTGGTGGCAGAGTAGCAGGGGTCCGGAAACGTGTGATCACTGCGGAGGAGAGAGAGAGAGAACTTCTACAGATATTTTACACTTCGTTACACCTCGAACTGCCAAGGATTTTTTATTGCTATTGGGGAAACACGCTTCAAATTTACAGCTCCACATTATCATGCCCAAATCCTCTCTCTCTCGGCTGCATCATTGTATGATGAGATGAGGGAGGAGGAAGGAAGGAAGGAGGAAGGAAGGCGGCAGTGTGGATACTCTTGGTTTGGTGGCAGAGATGCCAATTTAGACCTTTGAGTGAAGTGAAAGTGCTTCAACTCATTCCAATCGCTCCGCGTTCATCCATCTCGACTATCACTCGACGAGTGTACACACATAGCCATTCCCTCCGCACACACAAACCTCACCAGCAGACAGAGGAGAGCCAGGACATTTATTTTCATAAGAAGACACATCGAATGGATGTATGTATTTAGTGGATGCATGTATTTCCATTACACTAAGTACAGCATTCACAAATCCAAAAAGATTAACTGGCCAGAAACAACAAGCGTCTCTCGACCGTCCTAATTGCCCATTTTGGGGAGCTGTCAATTCACTTAGCGAAATTGACCGATTTAATATACAACTTTATTATGCAGACACACATACAAACGCATGTATATGTTACTCTGGGGGGTATATTTGTGGCTCATTGTTATTGTTACTGCTTCATCCATGTCCAGCTAAGTTACATAAATACATACATTCGATACTGAATACGTGGAAGGTAACTACCATTGTGTGTATGTATTCATGGGCAATAAAATTTACACGTCGACCACGGAAAGAAAGACTATGGGCCGAACCGATTTGAAAATTATGTCCGTCCAACACATGTCTGAAGAATGCACACTATTGTTGCTGATATCATGTATGTACTTGCATAGATAAATATGTGGTGGTAAAGGAATAAACTTTCATACTTGTAACCTTTGGCTCTCGAGCAGTCGCTAAGCCGCGTGTCCGTGGACAATCACCAGTTTTAAATTCTTGTTTGGGAAATTTATGGATTCCAAGTCGTGAGTCCAACTCAGGAAAACATGTAGAAAAAGAAGAGGAGATGCTGTTTCAGGGAGGATCGAGGGAAGAAGAGGTGAAGGTTCAAATGGGCCAAGGAAGGGGTGTCCAAGGAAGGGGTGTCCAAGGAAGGGGTGTCCAAGGAAGGGGTGTCATGAAAGTGAAAGAAGTGCGGAATGTAGTGGGAAAGCCCATATAGTGGGAACTTATGTGCAAAATATACGCAAGAAGAATTCTAATAGTTGTCTATTATTATACGTTGGTATAATATATATATTTCAAATTATATGCTTGTAACAAATTGTCTGAGCTGGACCGGTACAAAAAAAGATGATAGAAATAAAATATTTAATTATTAGCAAGAGAACGTGCTTCTGGCATAATAAAGTTGACCAATTCCGTCCTTATTTCTTCAATTGACCCAACGTAAGACTCCAGAAATGACACCTCCAAGTAGTTCAAGTCGCAACGTCGCTAAAAATTGTAAATATTAATATATAATGAATGGATTAGAATAGCAATACTAAGCACACATTTCTCACCCCTTTCGCAATATTCATAATTTCTTTGATCCGGGGGAGAAAAAAGCGAAGTTCAGCCTCGGCAGCCTTTACTTCCGTCTGTCGAGAAATCACCACAGCGTCGTCATCATCCTGTTCCGACTGGAGAATGCGTAGGGCCCTTAATGACATCGTCTTACGTTTGAATTCCTCCAGCCAGATCATGACATCATCCAACTCTTTTTCAATCAAAAGTAGCTAAACAAACATAAATTTTGAACCGGTTCAAAATCCAATTTTTGCATACAATTCCCTGCTATTTGTTTTCTTTTAACTTACTGGAATGTTGCGCCCTTCCTTCTGCCATTGTTGGCGCTGCAACCTCTTCTGCTCCTCCAATCCATCTTTCTTAAACCCAGGAATGACCCCAGCACGACGCTTAGCCTCGACTCCCTTCCTTCTCAGAGCACTTTGGAATTCTGGGGGGTTTGGGGGAAGTGGACAGTTCTCCCGCTTATGACCGTCCTCTGCGCAGTTGTAACACATTTCGGTAGATGCTGAATGATTAATATATTATTAAATAAGGGAATTAATTATTGCACCGGTGCAAATTTTATGTACACTTACATCGAACTGTGTACTGGGGGTCGAGATTAATTAATTCTCGACCTTCTGGGCAGTTATACTTCGTATCTGGAAATACAAAAACTTAAATATGTGATGTAAAATAAAAAGGTATGAAAAGATATTCTTACGGTTAACTTTGAAGCACTTGGAACATACTGGTGGATTACGAGGCACTGACATCTTGCACCGGTGCAATATTGAATAGAGCGTTTAATTTTATTTTTAAAGTTAGTGAGAGACAGAAAAAAATTATTTTAACGCCAGTCAGAAAATAGAGAAGCTGAATGCATTTGAAAATGTGCGGTCTCAAACTCAATGATATTTCGTTCCGTATGAAAAGTTGAGACATGAAAACTCATCATGTCTCGCTTGCTCGCTGCTTGGATTGAGTGATGCCAAGCAAGCTTCTTGGATTGGTCGGGGATTCGACCAAACCACGACGCCTGATGCCTGATGCCAAACAAACAAGTTGAAACTTGATACGAAATGAGGGCATTTGAGCATCGGCAAACGAAAATCGTTCAGCCATTCTGAGTTTGACACCTGAAGGGTTTAGTCGATTTGAAAAGTGCTCCCAAAAAAAATTATAGAAAAATCAAGTTTTCCTTCTTGAAGCAGTTTCGATTTACGGATTACGATGCAGACTGACGAGAGTTCATCGGTATCTATCGACATGTAAGTAAACCACCCCCTTCTCCTCCCTCTAAACAATTAATTAAACCATGCAATCTTGACCGGTCAAGTTTCTTTGTACGTTTATACATCAAAGATTTAATTATTTTTTAAAAATAATAGTGATGATAGTGGGCTCATGCCGGAAGAGATGGAGTCGTCTGATGAAGATGTACTGAGGGTCAACAGAAGGGGACGGAGATTGCGAGTAATTGAGTCTGATTCGAAGGATGAGGCAGACGAAGTCGACTTGGACCTCCCAGCAAATTTCCATCTCCGCCGATACGGAAGGGTAAATTAGTTATTGTTTTATTCTGTACTTTGTCCAGTATAAATCAATGCAAATAATAATCATTTGAACCGGTTCAACAAATTTGTTTACATTTCAGCTTTCATGGAATCTCCGGGAATTGGAACGCCGTGAGGAGTTGATAGATTGGTTGAAGGAGGTAGAAAAGAATCCATCAGCAGGTCGAGAAGCCCTAGACCCACGACGTGAGGAGCTCGAAGTTGTAGCAAATTGGAGGCAGCAAGATCGGGAGCATCAGGAGATTTATTTTGATATCCGTATTCCACGTAAGGAAGTATAATTTTATCTACAAGTTATGAGTAAGTTAATACTTTTTTATTGAACCGGTTCAATTATTGTTTTTTTAGGTTCGCCAGTAAAAGGTTACTGGGTCCTCAAGTCAGATGGAAAAAGGAATGTGTTGTCGTCTTACTACGCTGCGCAAATGAGATTGAATGTATCACAGACCAGATCGGATGGAAATGCCGCCTATGGAGACCCAGAACACCCTCTTTATGACGTAATTAAAAACAGTAACAGAACATGTTACGTAGCTAGACCACCTATGGACATCATATACGTGGCATCTCTAATTCATCCGGATAAGATGGGTGCTGATTTGTGGGAAACTATTAAATCAATTGAACCGGTTCAAGAGGACAATCAGTTACAAGATTATATTGGGATATATAATGGAAATCAGGGGAATTTTTCAATGAGAACTGGCAACTTTTCTCCGAAAGAACAAAACCGAAGCATTTTCGACAAAACCATTGGTAGTAATGATCCAGAATATTGCATTGAAAAGAAGGTTATTCTATGCAACTCAACAAATACAAAGGAAATTGGGGAAGGATTCCTGAAGGTAAATATCATTTATTAATTAAACTGTTCTCAACTTTGTTAGACCGGTCTAAATAAATATTAATTCTTTAAATCCAGGCATACGGACATAAATTCAACAAAATCCATGGAGTCGAGCGCTACATAATAACGGAAACCGCAAAACCACCATCTGATCTGATTAAGAAAGCACATAAATATGCCGTCGATGGGGTCCCAATGTTTGAATTCGTTGAAGATGAAGATCTGGAGCGGTCCAGCCCACCCCTTTGGGCTACTCTCGACCAAGTGACCACACTCCCATACACCATCTGTAAAAAAGATCTGTTAATCCGATACGACCCAAACAACCCGTACGAAAAGCGACATTACAAGTCATTCAAGAATTTTGATCGATTGGTGGAAGAATTTGGCTATCCCCCTGAAGAGTATTTTGTGACCGTTGATGATTCTCGAGATCACCTTCGATACTGATATATAAAGACGACACGACAATCTCAATTATACTAACCGATTGTTTATTAATAGTTTATTCAAGTTATAATAATGTCGTACATTTTATAGCGTGGACAATGAATTTTTTTTTACAATAAAGTTATACAAGTAAAATTGATGAATGTTTTTTTACTATATTTATAACCATATTTACTAAATTAGTAACATCCCAAAAATTTTTAAAAAATAATCTTTTGAACCGGTTCAACATTAACGGGCTTAGCCCAATTTCTCTTCAGTCGGTCGGTCGGTATCCCACCATTGCGTTTTACAATCCTTTGTTTCTACCATACTGAAAATTCTAATAATATGTAAAACCTTACAGATTATGTATATGTAAGAGCGAGTTAGAGGCGACGACGAGGACGGACAACAGGAGTTCCCATATGGATAGGAAAGCGGTGAAAGTTGCAATCCTCGAATCCCACATTTTATCCAGAAGAACATCCCTAAACCCAAATAGGGAAAGTCCTTCACACAATTCAACACCATTTCACCATGAGCAAGCAGTAGCAGCCTTGGAGGGGATCTCGTTGGATTTCATAGCGTCCAGGTTTTGGTACATTTATCATGTGAAAACTTTGTTAAAGTGGCACGGGTTGGCAGAGGAGGTAAAACTTTCATGTAAATGTAATAAATCACCACCTTTTTGTACAAGATAAACATGGGAATGTCGACCCCATCCTTCGTTTTGAAGACATGACTTGCCTCCTCGTTACAAAGTTTGAGGATCTAAATGAGGGTCCCAAATCTATGTGTGAAAAAAAGCATGGGATTATTTCGGAATCTCTCGAGGGAATTTTTACATATTTTATGCAAACATGATACCACATCACACAGTTTAAGGGTTCAGACCGTTTAAAATTCACCTGAAGTACATTTGACTTGTATGAATTGTTTTTCTTCTTCTTTTTCTCACCCTCTGCCCGGCCCTGCTCTGCTTTGCCATTTGTGATCAGTAGTCAGGCAGCGTTTCTCTGTTTGATAAAAAATTCATAAACCTCAGCCAACTCGCCTACATATATCCGTCCGTGGGATGCCATTACAGGATCTCCAGGGAGCTAAATGATTTCTGGGTTCTATTTATCTGCAAACCCCACATACCACAAATATGTAGCTATGTATGGAACAGTTTCCTTGTCACTTGATCTGCGGTCAGTTGAGTACAAGTTGCGGTGTCCATGCAACAACGTACAATCATTATGGCACAAAAACATTGCTGGGTTTACACGTATGCATTTATGCATAAGCGACGTATGTGTATGCATGAATGCGTAATTATGTCAATTAGCCCACCCAATTTATGTGATGGTCAGGCGTAAGGGGATACTCCCTTTGTGATAACAAATTATCTCACGTGTGTACATATTATTCGCTATGCATACTAATCGAGGAACTAAAAAAACAGTTGCCCAGAACTAATTGTTCAATATTCTGTCCTCGTGTCCTGTGTGTAATGTGCAAATAAATTTCATCTTTCATAGTTTTGTATTTTGTGTGAAATATCTTCCTACATTAACCGAGTTATTTGTATTAGCCGAGCTTACGGAACCGTCGTGTGCGTTATCTTGATAACTTTCTTTGGATTTATCTGATCTTATTACAGTTTTCAATTTTGTCGAAAATTTCTACCCATTTATATTGATTCATTAGGGTAACCTGAAATATGGTAAAAATCTGAAGTTTTTTTAAATAAACTGTGCATTTGGCTTATAAATAACTATGTAAAACGAGGTCAAATATTCTAAGTTTATGCATATGCAATAAGGTGACCAGAATTGATTAGAATAATGACATGACGTCTGGAACAGGCTTAATTAGTGAAAATTACAAGTAAATTATAGAAATATGATTATGACAGCCTTTTAAATATACTTAAAACTTTGCTTTTAAACTCATTGTTCCAAAAATAAGTTTGAAATGTACTCAATTTAATCCATATATGTGTTTGGTTTTAAATTGCAAGGTGGGCACATGTATGCAGAGCATCGCTTCAAAATGATTTTTATTTAGCATAGCATAAATGGCAGCAGAGAACGAGCGACGGACAATATAAAATTAAATATTTAGAGTAATATCATTCTTCTCTATAATGAATGTGCGTGAGGCTGCAATCAAACCTTCTCAGATAATTGCACCGTGTTTTCACCAAAGTTTAACTTGAGTTTGTGACGAAGTGAATAATTGATGACTCCGGTCAATAAATAAGTCAACATGACGAATCCGTAATAACACCCGCAACAGGAGGAATGTCAAATTGGAACAATCATGAGAGCGAATGCGAATGACATTGTTTTGTGGGGTTTGACTCGTAGGCACTTAGATGTGCAGTCTGACTGAAATTGTGATTGGCTTGGCTGATTCATCGTCGTCGTCGTCCTCGATCATCTAATTGAAAAATTATTTCCGTCTTATTTCCTACGTTCGAGAAAATTCGATAAGTGCGCTACCTATAATTCCACCTTCCTCCATACGTACGTACATACATACATACGTCCATGTATATATCTTTAGCTCGGATTAGAGAAGAAAGTACAAAAATCTCATTTGGGTTGGACACGTTTACTTTTACTTTTTGCCATTTCCGTCCAGGATGAAATGCTTCGTGTGGCGAATGGGTCCAGAAATCAATTACACGATCCAATACATCATTTCCAAAATCGTTCGTTTCTATTCAAGCCGGATGTTGGGGCTTGTGTCGGCTCTGTGTATGAACCGACTCTACCACACGATGTAAAATATTAATCCCCAAGCGATAATGTGCAATGGACCAACCACTCCAGATATGTGCATGTACATACATACTACCCACCAACTACCGCATCTGCTATAATAATTTTTGGTTTTGACTCCTTTACCCACTTGTGAGTTCGGCAGCAGGGAGAGAAATATGATATTGGATCTTTGGTGGTATGAAATAGGGAAAACTGGAGGAGCCGTCAATAATACGGGACGGGAGAAAGTATAGTCCGATGGAAAACGGGAGTTGAGGGTTCTCTCTCTCCTGCTTTACCTGATTTGAATCTTGAGTCCTCCAATATTGCAGAGTGAATTCGTATGGGTTCACAACTCTCTCTTCTTCTTCTCATCCAAACCATCCTTGCACACACCATCCCACTACGTACATCGATGAATGAATGAATAAAGGGCTGGGAGATAAGCTTCTGCTGCATTATGCCATATTATGCATTTCCAATTTAATAGGCTCCACTAACAAGTCGTGGCGGATAGAGACGACCCGCAATAAAGAAGATTCAACGATAAGATGGGGGAATTTCTTTGATTCATTGTTAGTACATAAATTGATTGAACACGTATCTGACTTGTGTGTGCTGTTACAAAAGGTGAAGCTATCTAGAAGAGATGGAATCTTATTAATACGCATTACCTTTAAAGTGCAATAACTAACCTTTAAAGTGTGATATTTGACCCTTTTTACATCATGTCCTACACTCCTCAGAGTAGAATATACATAGTTGTGATGTATGTATGTATGTATTGTGTTTTGCTCATTCAAATGCCAGAAAACTCCACGACCAACGAGCCGAGACCTAATGCCAAACTTTTGTTCGACAAGACTCAGGAGGAGACATACAAGAGGAAGGTCTCTTGAGTCTACAAGGACTGTAGTTTCCGCAAAATCATGTCATCTTGGTATGTGTATTCGCATATTAACGTCTAGATTGGTAGAATATTGAAATCTAATATTACAAAATAACACGGGAACCTATGCAAACTGCTTGATTTTTTTCTACAAGAATTTTGTTTATTAGTTAATAACTAATAATTTTTGGACAAGTTAGCGAGACAGAATTAGGGGTTAGTGTTAAAATTATAGCCAAGAGTGTGAGTGAGAAATGCAAATATGTCCGTCCATTCTTCAACCTAGAATTAATTAACAAACAGAAATGTGCATACTTGTGTGAATTTATACATGCACGAGGAATTATAGGAATTATGATTATTGGCTTATAAATACCTTGGCTTGGGTGGGTTTTCCAGAAACATGTCCAGTGTTCTGATACACCTTCAGGAGGAAGGGGTTTTTCTGGGTTGGAAAATTAATCAAATTTATGGAGACTAATCCTCGACTAACAGCTATACAAATATATGCCTGAGTGACCTAATTACCTGTCCAGGGTTGTTTTTGGCGGCCATGTATTGTAATTCAGCGATGTATTTAAGCGAGTGGGAGCATACCACGCGATCATCGTGATCACTTGTGGTAACTAAAATGGATGGGTATTGCTGGCCTTCGTCTTCCGGTGCTTTGATGTTGTGTAATGGTGAGTATTGCCGCAGGTAGTGAAAATATTTAGAGTCGTCAGGAGAGCCAAATTCACCAATCCAGAGATGACCAACAGTGAATTTGTGGTATCTCAACATATCCATTATTCTGTAACATCAACAATCTCTTCCATATTGAGCAATCAGGATGTAAGGTTAAATAGTGCAAAGATCTTACCCAACTTGAGGAATCGCCGCTCCAAAAAGATCTGGGCGCTGATTGACCACTGCACCAATTAGCAGTCTAGAATTTTTATCCAGACATGGCTTATTTAGTAATTTATTTATACCGAAATTTTATAAGTTAAACAAGTTACCCTCCATTTGAAGCTCCGGTGATTGCAAGCTTGTGGGGCCTTGTGTAGCCATTGTTCAGTAAAAACTTCGCCCCAGCAATAAAGTCTTCAAATCCAGTTTTCTTATTTAAGAGCCGTCCCTCATCATGCCAATTTTTTCCGTACTCACTAAACAAGCAAAGCGATTGGTTGGTAAACTGATTGAGTCGCAGCTTGCGTTTAGTTTTTAGGTTGGGAATGTGTATGTCTGCTGCTGAGCACTCACCCTCCCCCTCGAATGTTTGCTATTGCAACAACGCCAAAGTGTTGTGCAAAGAACAAATATGGGATGTTGAAGGCTGGCAATCTACTGTATCCGTAACCTGTCGTCGTGAATTCGAAATCAGAATTATTAAATTTATATCACAATGTCTTCCGAGAAGAAGCGACAAGCCCAACCTCCGTACGCTGTCAGCAAGCAGGGTCGATTCGAATCACGTGGCATGTTCTGTTCCCGTTAAAAGAAAGTTAAACAATCCACAATATTTCAATTGGAAAATGGTCAAATATTTAAATTTAGAAATTTAAATACGACCTTCTTGTGCACAAGGAACATAGGAATATTTGTCCCATCATTGCTTGAGTAGCTGAACATCGACATTTTAAAAGTATCCAAATCCAATGTTTTGAAGTCCGTAGTTTTGTAGACCTTAATGTAAATTAACTTTAGTAAAAAATAAGAAGTATGTGCCATTTTACAATTAAAACATATGACAGTTCGCACCTGGAGCTTTATTTCCGTAATGCCAAATTCAACTTTGTAGATGGTGCCCGGATTAACATAGGATTCAAGCTTGAAGTAAAATTCTTTGTCGGATCTTCGTCCATACTTATCAGACGCAGTTCCAGGCTCAATTGCCAACTGATCGATGACGTTTCCAGTCCTCAAATCGCGGATTTCAATCCGAGAAAGGACATCTTTCACGTAGCAAATTACCAACTTGTTCCTAAAAATTCGAAAAGGTTGATTTTTTTGTAAAAAAGCGAAGCAAAAAAATTATCTCCCATTACTCGTTGACTACAATTGCCCAAAGAACTTTTTTTCCTTGGTCCATCATGATCACGTCATATTTTCCTTTCCCATGATTTGCCAAGTCCACTCGAATTAAGTGGTGAAAGTTTTTCGCTCCAACCGTCGTCATCAAATAAACAACCGTGTCATCGTTTGCGAGATACTAATATTTCAGCATGGGCGAAAATCACTTCATTATTCAAGTACGAGTGTGCATTGCATGAAGCTCTTCACCAATTATTTATCACATACAAACGTACCCAATGATTGCCTGGTTGAGAGAACACTCGAGTCAATTGCAGTTTTCCGGTTATTCCGCCCTTCAGACTGGCATAAAACAAATATTTTTCTCCAATAACATCAGACGCATGAACAAACAGGTAGTCCCCATCATCAGATAGTTCAGTAAACCTGAAGTTAGTTTTCAATTTGTGAATGCACATAAATATTCTCAATATCCCCCAATTTTGTACTATTGTCACGTAGTTGGTCAAAAGTACATTGTCCAAGTAGGATTGCTAGGAAATTCAGCAACAAGGATGTCATCATCCTGCAAAGTGTCCACGACATGGTAGTACAATTTGGCATTCAGATTTCGGCCAGTCTCCGTCCCATTTGCCTGACCATAACCGCTTTTATGCTTTGGAAATCGCTATAAATACAAATGAATAAATAATGCTATTAGAGTTCCAAATTCGTCATTTTAATCGTCATCGTTAACCTGGTAAAAGAACCCCTTCGAGTCGCTGGTCCATCGAAGATTTGTTAGTTTGGTAAAGCGGACAATGTCTTCCAAATCGTGTCCGCAATCCACCTCTCGTATTTTGATTGTCTCCCAATCGCTACCATTTTCTGAAATGGAGTAGGCAACCAGCTTCCCATCTTGGCTAATGGCAAACGCACCCACTGAAAATCGTCCATCCTTATCCCACAAGTTTGGGTCTAGAATTTTTCTAACTACTCCACTCCCGTCAGTGGACTCGTTCACGTGAAGAGTGCTACGAAGAAATTAAAGATACAATGATACAAATTGTAACGTTCTACACTTCATAAATAAGATGCAATTATGCAAACTTGTGATTTTGAAGACAATTTTCCCAGTAAAACAAGCGTGACCCTTTCTTCATTGGAACCCAAATGGTTGGACAATTCCATGTCGCTTCCAGCTTATCTTGGATCAAATAGCGAGGTTCAGATTTTGAGAAGAATGAGTCAAACAGAGCGTTCTGCTCGTTTACAAATGTACGGGTTTCTTCTTTGTTTGAGTCCTCGAGATATTCGTAAGGATTGTTCACCTGAAATAATGCATTGAAAAATACTGCAGTCTGAGGGCGAAAGTTTTATCTTATTCTCAAAATAAAATAAACATCGGAAAAGGTCAAAGGAATGAAAAATTTTGTAAAAAAGCGAGACCTCGACTCCGTGCAAATTAGCAGAGAACTCCATTCTTGGAACGTCTGGGTACTTCAACGCCATCACATCTTTGTGACGGGGTGCTGTAAGCAAAATATAAAAAGCTAGTGATATTAGAAGCAAAGATGAAATAAATGAATTATTAGTCTCCACTAACTTTCGTTCATGACTGAATCTGTAGATTCAGAAACTGACATTTTGTTTAAATATGGAAAACTGATCTGGTATTTTTGGTCAGGACAATATTGTAATTTAAAGTATCATATTTTGTTGACCTATTTGTACAGTTGGTCGTCGTCTGCTTTGCTCTACACAAAATTCATATTTAATTATGTGATAATAAATCAGGGTCAAGGTATTCAGACAGCGTTGTCTTGGCGCCCCTTAAGTATTACGATCCGGGTTTCACTGAATTTTATGCATTCGGGGTTTATTTCAAATTCTGCACATCGGCGATATGCATTATTAAAATCACAACCTATTGAAATTATACTCAAGCGATCTTGAATAAATAAGACCATCTCATGACCATACGTCTATGATCATGGACTAAATACTTCAAAGTAAAACTGAACTACTTGTTCAGCCTTGGTTATCTCTTGATGGTTATTTATATATTACTAATATCTGTAGTATTAATATCTGTAGTATAAATTACATATTGTTAACAACATCATCCCACATGTATAATGTATTTTATAGTGTGTTATATTCACAAATAGCACCCTAATAGGTAAAATCCTGTATTTATTTTTAAAAAATTACATAAATCAGGTTAAAAGTTAATTCGAGCATAAATGAGATTTACACGCGTATATGCATATATTTTATTAAACATACCACATTTGTAAAATATAAAATACACTTAGGATTAGTTGGCTTAGGGAGTAGAGGAAACAACCCGATGTTAGTGGGTTGGGAAACCCTCTACTTGATTCGTATTTATATACAGGCGTCATATTTCTCCAATTGTACGTTTCCTGCTCATTTTTGTTTCGTCAAGAGAAGAAAATTTATGAATATTTTATTTTGCATGTATTTTTACGATAATTTATAGTCATTTAGAAATGTATACTTTATTTTTCGATAAAAGTAGTACATGGAGAGATACATAAATAAATACAACATTTTGAAATTCATGTCTAAATAAACTCAAGTCCAACGGTTTTTTCAAGGAAGCAACGAATTTCAATTTCTCTGTTAATCTAAAAAATAATCAAAAAAGGCATTCATTCAAAACAGATTTCATCAGATATGCCTTGTGCGTGTAATATGTTTTCATTGGCTCACATGATATTTCGCGAAGCCAGGATCAGTTGGCTCTGCAGGTTCTGGCACAACTCTCATTAAGAAAGGATTCGTCTGGAGAGAGATTACAGCGGATGTAATCATGTTTGAAGTTAGTTTGGAAGGTTTTTAATAATAATGATAAGCTCTTCATCACTGATAACACACATACCTGTCGAACCTCGTGGCCAAGGGTATATTGCAGTTGGGCCACATACTTGTAAGCTAGTGGAATGGGGTATTCATTAGAAGTCGTGACAAAAATTCCAGGATACTGACTAGCAGAAAGATGAATGTTATGCAAGGGTGAAATCCCATAAGATCTCTTAAACTCTTCCACATCTTCAGTCAATCCTGCTGTGGAATTGGTGGCCACATCAAATCTCAGCATGTCGAAAGCTCTAGAAAATATTACACCAAAAGTAATTTCTAGAGTGAGAAAAAGTTGGTTGAGTTCTTATTCACAAGAGATTTTACGACTCATTCATTTCAAGTCATTCATTCATATGACACAGATGTAAAATACTTACGCCAAGGATGGGAGAGCAGCTCCAAATAGCTCGGGATGCTTATTGACAGCAGAAGCCACAAAAAGGCCAAAAGTATTCTGGTCTCCTCGCGCAATAATTCTTGAGCCGTTGGAATACCCATGTTCCACGAGATACTTTGCAGCTCCAATGAAATCATCCAAGGAAGAATCTCTGAATCCACTTCTGCAGAATAGAATGAGGATGAGAGGATATGTTCACATATACGAATGCGTATACATATATATTTATATGGTGAAATATGGAGTGAAAGGGGATCGAGATTCTCGGATAACTTATTCTCAGCTACCAAAAGCACGGAAGAAAAGAAGGCTTACCCTTTCTCCTTCAAATGAGGGAAGGCGACAACTGCATTGAAGTCTTTTAATAAGGACAAGTAAGTCCCAAAGTAAAAGTCCAAGGTGAAGTCTCTTTCTGTAATGAATGTGAAGGCAGACCCATCCCGTTTCAGGTCCTACAGAAGAATTATTAAGGAATGAGATTTATTTTAATTCGAACCTCGTATTCACGGTATAATCAAAGATCAACCGACATAGAACGAAAGAGCAAATCAAATCAGAGAGGAGGTCTAACCTTTCTATGCATTAGAATCATTTCCACGCTTTCACCCTCGACGTTGGGATATGTCACCGTTTGTGATACAAAGGTGGATGGATCATATCGACTCAGTGTTGGTTGTTGTACAAGTCGCTACATACACGTGAACACAGATACGCAGATATAATCACAAGTTTACAAAACAAGAGTTACATAAACAGTGTAGCATGTTTGCAGCCAAAGTTGGCAATTACAGAGGATTTTCCGAAAGTGGGGCGAGAAAGAGAATCAAGAAATGCGTTAGCTTACGGGGAGAGAGAGATTTGTGTTGTTGCTGGAATCAACACAGAACTATGTAAATAAGTTAGAGGCTAGAGCAAATAAGTTTTTACCCACTAAAACTCAATGTTCTCTCAAATGGCATTGCCTATGAAAAAATTTTCTATTTCAATTCCTGACGCATTAATAGTTACAAAAGTATTGATGTATTGGACAATTCAATCTAGAAACTAACAAAGTTTTATTTAAATCTAACAGGTTAATTAATTTCAATTTTTTTAAAGTCATAAGAGATAAATGATTAAATAGTACTCGGGCAAAAAAATTATTCCAAATGGTTTCCAACAAGGTCAAAAATGGAAGAAAGCCGGAACCGTTGAACTCCTAGACAATTGTAAAATTATGACATTGTCAATAACCATCAAAGAAAGATGGGTAATTATAATCTAATCTTACCTAGAAGGTTGAGAAGGTCACGATTTCCAATCACAAATAGTTGGTTGTGCGGGTCGTACAACTGCTGTTCTTCAACAATGTCTGTCAATCTCTTGACAATGTCGGCTTGACTCATCGTCGACTGCCCCATCAACTATACAAATAATAAATACGATTATGATAATTGTCAGACATTGTCTATAATACATATGTGTATGTTTATTAAACCTGTGCCAATTGGGGACTCAGTTTGTAGAGCTTGTTGATAACACTGCTCTTCCCCAACGCCATTTTCTTCTTGGGCAACGCCACCGCGGGGGTGGTGGTAGATGGTCGTTTTGTGGCCTTGTTCCTTTTCTAAAACAATTAAAATATTATATATTGCATGGCCTTGCCAATTAATTCATTCTATGACACAATAAATTACCTTTGTTTGATTGTAAAGGTCCGAATGGTTGAATCTTATGTGTCTCCGTAAATTATTACTCGTCTTGTAAGAACTATTTGGACACACCGGACATTTGTATGGCTTAGCCTCACTATGCGTCGCCTTGTGATCTTTCAGAGTTGAAGGGTCATTAAACGCCTTGGAGCAAACATCACATATGTATGGATTTTCTTTCTTGTGTATTGCCGTAATATGTTGGTCCAATTGTGTTTTTTGTGCAAAGGCATTGCCGCAGTCACCACATTTAAAGGGTTTTATCCCGAGGTGGACTTCAGATATATGCGTCAATAGTTTCTTAACAAATTTGAATGATGAACCACATTCATCGCATATAAAGGGTCGTTCATTGGTATGAACAAATTTGTGTGAGTAAAGAGTTACATAGGTCTTGAAGGATTTCTCGCACTGGTCACACTTAAAGGGCCTTGCCTCAATGTGTACAGCATTATGCATGTCAAGAATCCGCTTCACGCTAAAGGACAAGCCACATTCCTGGCATTTAAATTTTTTGAGTCCCTCGTGGATAAGCATGTGGCAACTCAAGGAACCAGCGAAACTAAAACATCGTTTGCACAATTGACACGAAAATGGCTTGGCGTTGGAATGGACGACGGAGTGGCGAACCAAATCAGAAAAGCAATCGAAAATCTTGTCGCAGTCGGGACATGGATATTCTTTGGGTCGCTCCTCATCTTCTTCGTCCTCCTCCGGACATTGTCCTTCCAAAATCTCTTCGATGTCAAACTCCAGTACTTCTTTTTTGGCAATATATTTGGAGTGGAAGAATGATTCTGGGGGGAAAATATTGTCAAGGTTGGATGTGTCAGTCACAATTCGAGATGGGAGTCCGGTGTTGATATATATATTTCCAAGGACAATGTCCGTTGTGTCAATCTTATTATGATGGCGACCGGCGAAACGAAGATTCTCTTCGGTGAGTGTGGGTGGTGGTGTCGAGATTCGTACTGATTCCATCTTGATCGGATCGATGACGGCAGAATATAAGTACGTGAGGTACGCCTCCTCAAAATCCTTGGCATAGTCCTCTGGAATGACAGACTTTGGGTAGAGTCTCATAACAGTCTTTAAGATCTATAAAATAACAATCAAGTTCCAATTAATTGACATGGTCATAAATTGCATCAGTTTAATTCTCATAACATAACATTATTACCGATTTTATGGAGAAATCATTTGTTGCATCAATAACTTGTTGCGCCTTGGCTATGCCGATTCCGGGGATGTTTTTGACATAGTCACACTTTGCAAGAATCATCATCTTCACGAACTTCTCATGGTGATAGTCCACCCATCCCAGGGCAGCGGGGATATCGGCCGTCTCGTAGTAATTTCCCCATCCTTTCGTGTTCATTGAAAATAATACCTGGCAATGCCATAAAAGTAATGATTAGTAAATATAACCAATAAAATACTGGATAAACTTTACCTTTGGGCAGCCAAAGAGCATCATGTCAGAGTCGTGACTGATGACCAGGTCCACTAAATTTTTTTGCGCCAAATAACCCAGCTGAGAATCCGCCTCAAACAGTGCCCCGAAATAGAAGCACTTGGGATACTTCTGGGCAAGGCCCTTCAACCCATCCAAGATAGTAGGGCCGATGACGGTGCTACGTGCGAGATAGTTTTTCGCTTCTCTCTTCATCCCAGATTGGAAACAGAATTCTGCTTTGACGAGGTCATTCTCTCGCTTCTTCGCCCTTGCCTCGTGTTCTTTTGCCTTTTTCGGCAACGAGATAGACGATGCATCCGGCATCAATAATAGTTCGGACAATGTCCTCCACCGACGACACAATCGCCGAAGTAGAGTCGGGAAGGGTGTTGTCGTCTGCTAGTTTTGATGATTTAAGCGCCCGGTAATGACCTTTGACTACATACCTGTAACAGAACAAAGTACAACATATGTTATTCATCATAACATTATGCAACTATTTTATTAATGGCATTGCCTTAGTTAACAAATTAATTACAAACAAATAAAACTTACCCTATCACATCTAGTGCCACGATCGCATTTTTAAAATGGGAAATATGGACTAATTTTTTCCTCATTTTTAAATGAGGGAAAGCTCGAGGAATACCCATCGTAAAAAGTAAAAGGGGTGTAACAACCCAAAAAAATTTAAATAATTATTTAATTAACGCAACAAACAATAAGCTGGTCAGAGAGGGAGAGAGCAAATGATCTGAGTTGCTGACAGCACCTGGTTGTTTGCACCACTCGACATTGTCGGCTGCAAAACGTTTCTAGCCTTAAAATATGCATATCTAACATTCATCTTCTCATGAATGAAAGCAAGCTCTTGAATGACAAAGAAAGGTACGATTCGATCACTATTCTCAATTTGATGTGATTTTAAAGGATCACAATTGGAATAGTGGGCGAAAATGGAAAATAGAAATTCCAGTCAAAACCTTCAAAAAAATTGGTCCTTTGGGATCTCGAACATCAAAATAAAATAGTTCAGGCAGTCCTTCCAGCTTAGTCGAGCGGAAAAGCACTTCAGAATCGTCTATGTGGCCGGAAAACGATAGAAGTTTATACGGGCTATGATCTAACTCAAACATTCTGATCAATGACCCATTCTCCAAATCTCGCAACTCGGCATAAGAGCTAAGCTTGTCAGAGGTGTAGCTCAAAACCACCTTCGACCTGGTAATTCAGTTGGAATACATATAATTAATTTAAAATGAGATGAAAGGGCAATTTAATTACTTATCAACTGCGGTTGCTCCTTGCAAAACGTAATTTATATTTTCATCCACAACCACTCTCCAATTTTCTTCCGATGGGTTGGTCAGATCAATTTTAATAAGCTTATAATTTTTGTTCCCGATCCGACTCCTAAAGTAGAAGAGTGTGCCAACGTTTGTGACGTATTTCTAGAGAGAGAAAAATACGGAGGTTTACACGTGGCATTTTTACAAACGTGAATATACGTGAGGTAAACACTTATTGTAAATAAATACATAGTATTGTCCTATATTGCTTGTTTGTTAGTTTACAAGTAGTTCTACTTTACCAGAAAAGCAGTGCTTCGCTTAGTAATGACCGGAACTAATTGCAGTCGTTCAGTGACGCCTACTGCTTCTGTTTCTTGGAACTTTGCAAGGTTGACAATGTAGAAAGTTGAGTTGGTTTTGAGAGCTCGACGTGTTTCATCATAAGATCGAGTTCTCAAAAAGAGAAAGTCCCCGTCAACTGAGGTTTCCATGTCCCTGTTTGTTATACACATTATTATGCACCCCATGACGGTCAGAGATCAAATAACCAAGCTATTTTATGAAACTGACTGAAATTGTATTACACAAAGTTGGGCTCATTTTCAAAGTCTGCATAGGCGACAGCTAGCACATCGCTATCTGCTTTAGTTCCTACTCTGTGGTAGTAAATATTTGGTGATGGGTTTTCATCTTCTTCAGCCGACAGTTTTTCATTTTTCCTCTGCAAATTATTATTAAACGTTGTAATTACTGACTCGTGTTGCACATTAGATTGATACGTATATTTCGGGGCTACGTGAGAAAAGTAGAAGAAGCCACGGCTGTCTTTGTCCCAAGCAACTTGAGCGTTTCTAACATCGTGTAACACTTCTGGATAGACATTCCCCGTGGACACATTGAGGATTCTCAAGTTTTCAGAGTCACCGATTTCCTGGTACACTACAAGTTCACCATTTCTCGAAACTCCGAAACTGGGGAATGCCAAGACTCTGTTTTGCTCTCTGTTTATTAGAACGCGTGGAGCTGATTCCTTGTTCTCCTGAACATGTAAAACCTCGCTAGAAAGTGACACAAGGAGAAAAAGCTGTTGAACGAACGCCAGAACAAAAGCATGCCTCTGCAATTAGAGATCCTTCAGTGTAAACAAAGCCAAACTAATTAAGCGTTTGTCAATCGGCAAATTAGAAATGTCTCAAATTTCCCTTATTTTCCATCTCATTACATATAAATACATACGATGTGTGCACATACGTACCCTCCTCGCTGCTGGGCAAAATAAAAGTAGCGACTTCCTCTCTTCTCGGGTAGGCCGTACTTGGGGTAGGCCCACAACTCGGTGAGACTTTCGTTGAACTTTCTCCGTTGCTTGCAGTCGCTCAAGTACGTGGAAGTTAATTCGTTCTGTGCCCCCACGAATTCTGAGACTTGTTCCGAATCCCGTTCTTCCAACCATCGGTACGGGTCTCTTACCTAAAGAGTTGCATAACACGCAGTATGTGTATAAGTATTGAGGAACTGCTAATTCCAGTCGTGAGAGGACAAGGCACGAGAGAGACAAAGAGAGAGAGAGAAAGAAAGAAAGGATTCAATGAAACACGACATTTTTCATTGTTTCGTTCATGTATATTTCATGAAGACCAAAGTCATTGCTCATGAGAGAAGAGGATGAAAATCTTACTTTTGTTCCGTGATAATCATCCACGACGCTCTCGTCCCGTTTCACGCTCGGGTACTGAATCTGGTGGGAGTGGACTAAGGAAGCTACGTCGAGCAATGTTGTAATGACTAGAATAATCCACAAAATTGATTCTGGAAACTTGCCCATCCTTTTGCTTCACTGAGTTAAGATGCCCTGTGCTGCCTGCCTACCCCCACTTTCCACCCTTGTAGAAGCCTCCAACGAAGAAAATAAGAGTATTCTCGGACAAAATGCACGAGAGAGAGAGAGGAAAGATCGAGGATTTGAGATTAAGTATTATGGAAACTTTTATGAAAGCCTGAATTCAATTTGCAAGTTCTGCCCAACAAAACTTACTCAACCACTACTTTTCAAATACTAAACTTAATTGTTAATTTAGTTCGACTTAATGAACTGTATACCTTTGTGGTTATTCAGTTTTTGCAAAAACTCTACGCAAAACCTTTGCAAAAGATTGAATCACACAACCACCATCGTCCACCAAAGACTGCAGGGAGATAAGATGGCTTTTGTTCTTATTTCCACCACCACCATCGTAATCATCATTATGAACTGTATGCAAGTTCATCATCCATATCTCCATCTCAAATTTTCATTCATTATGAGACTACCCTCCGCCCGAGTCAACCGGCTTCCTTCAGGAAAACTACTACTCTTTCTTTTCTCATAAATTCATCGAGACAGAGAGCTGGGAGCAGATTAAGGAAATTGTTCAACAAAGTTTAAACAAAGCTTAAACAACTTGGTATGTTTGCGCATAGATTTGCTAAGCAAGAGAGTGCTCGAGGAGCGTGATTACATAACTTGTCATACAAGTTTTGCTCTCTCTGCATTGGTTGTCCAAACACAAAATAGTTGATTAACCATGAAATCAAATCTCATCATTCTCTCCGTTTTCTAATCCCGATTACAATGATATAAAACTCCAAAGAGGTGGATGAACTTGTGATAAGCAACTAATGCATATTCTTACTCCAAGAAAATGACATTAAATATATTTTACATACACACAGACCAAAAATATCAAAAAACTCGCTGTTGGTCTTATTTTTTACAAAGTCGATATGCAAATGCATACTTTATTAAACGAGACAAGAATTGAAGAAGTACTTGACATCATGAAACTGCTTTTAATACATTTTTATAGTCAGGAACCTTGCTGCTGTTTAAATGATTGATTATGTATAAACTGGAAATGAATTTCTTGGCAATAACATGCAGAGTTGTAGACTCTCGTGTATTTTATTTCCTGAATATTTATATCTGCACATGTTTTTACTATTACACACAATCTGTGTAGATACATACATATAGATTGAAATATGACGAATCTATGGAACAAGTGGTAAACCTGCCATAAACTTGTTGACCAAGTCTAGTCCCCAGATGGGCTGGTCTCCATTCGTACCATGACCTACGGGTTCCCAGAGTTAAGCATGAGCCATGATAAGTGTGTTATTATTGTACATAATTAATCTGGTCCCTCCAACTCACCTGCGTTCCGGATTAGAACATGAGTCACATTTCTGGCCGTGTGGACGTAGCCTGCGACTCTTCCATCAACGTGCCAAATTCCTCTGGTGCTATTTTTCAATTCATCCCTTCCCTCCCAGTTCAAGTTGGACAATGTTTGTTGGACTCCGAGGTGTCCAGTGATTACATCCATATTTCCAACAAAGATTATCACTTTGTACAATCCCGTATCCAAGATATTTTCCAGTAGATTCTTGACCGGCATCATGAAATTAGCGTTCATGTTGGATTGCACTAGAGGACTAACCCACGAGAAGGAAACATTTCCAACATGCAAAGCATCCCTCGCTTGCTCAGATGCCACAAAGTCGGTAAAATTAAAGTTTGTCACTTGATCCCGGTTAATGTGGTAAAGTGGAGAGTAACCCACTACATTTGTGACATCAATTCCAATCAATTTACTCCAAATCTGTAAACCCACGCACATCATCGTTAGCCACATGGCCGTGATATTCACGTTCAAATAACAGTAGCCGTAGAATTCTTGTATTAAATGCGATAGCTACGAAAGTGATCGAATTACCCCAAATGCTCCAACATAGTCTCCTGAAGTTATCAAAGTTTTCATATTGTCGCGCTTGATGTCAAAGTCTTGCTTATCAGCCTCCTCAATTAAGCCCACATTCAGCAAGTAGGCTCCATAGTCTGTCTGGCTGTAGGGGTCGACCCAGGGCGACTCCAGGAGCAGGCCTTTCAAATTTATCCTGAGCTCTGGGGACTCTTGATTTCTTTCGTGGATATAGTTTGCCAGGACGGTGGCGTAAGTAGCTGTAATTTGGAACCAGAGGGAATAGTTGGCCATTAAAAAGTCATTGGTTGCAATCAAAGTAATCATTTCCAGACAATGGTGACTAGACTGCTACTACTACTGACTGGTTGGTGAGGTTAATCTATCTACTTATCTACCTCCATAAGACACGCCACCGTTGTAAAAGTCATTTCCTTGCAAGTAAGGGAACAGTTTGAAAAATTGGATGAGAAATTCGTAAATGTCAGGAGCCGCCTCGGGTCCGCTATGGATATTTCCAGCCTCAGATTCCGTGAAACTGAATCCTGAAATGAAGTGGAAATGACTTATCACTTTTCTTGCGGCGTAAAGATAAGTTGACTTAAATTAAACCCCAACCAACGTTAACTGGACTATCGAGGAATATAATATTTCTAGTTTGATGCCATGAATTATTCCGGGTTGTGAGATTTTGGTCCCCATCCACGGCAAATGGCCCATTGTGATTGAATATGGAATGAAATCCTGTAACTCCTGGGCCACCTTCGGACCACAGTAAAACGGGTGCGCTTGAACTATTTATCTGTACAAAATATGTATAAAGTAACGGTCAAATCTACTAATAAAATATGTATATCTGTACAAAATATGTATAAAGTAACGGTCAAATCTACTAATAAAATATGTATATTTTACTAAAACTCAGCTAATTATTTTTTGGAGTTGATACATTTTAAAATTAGTACATGTGTTACTGAACGACGAGATTCCATGAATTACTTCCAAGTGAAGGCAGCGAATATTTATAAAGGACTTACCACCGCAGGGAAATACCAAAAGAACAAATTTGAGTTGTAGTCATCCCGGACAGTGATAAATCCACTGTAACTTGTCACACCGGCGTAAAAGCTACGAACAAGAGACAAGTTTTGGGCCTCTAAAATCCTTCCTGATTTTATCAAAGGAGTTAAAAACAACGGTCCTTCAGTTTGACACTTTGCATAATGTGCCAGAGTAGTGGCAAAGACCAAAAGTTTAAGAAATATCATTCTTCGCTAATGTTGTGTAAAGTTGGCTATTAAAATAATAATTAGCTGAGACAACAACGTAATCCTTTAAAATCAAGACGATCAATACTTGACAAAATGCTAATGCATACCAATTTTATAAAGTGTGAAAGTTGTGCGCAACTCATACCTCATATTGCAATTAAGTAGATATATGGCGAGCCCATTATTTTGCATGACAAAATTATCATTTATATATTGGTATATCAAGCAAATCCACCAATTACAGATATTGGATGACATGTTAATCTTAATCCTCGGACAGTTATTATGCAACTGGATACATAATGCGCATAATGGAACCTAAGTACTAATAATACAAATTCAAGTGCCTCATAATCACAGTGTTGTAGGTTCAAGGTTATGTTTATTTAGTTGCGATGAATGGGGTCACAATGGGTAATAAATAAATAAAATTTGTATTTTATTTGTTCATCAAACTATGAATTTTCAGAGTACTGCAAACCACCGTGATCCAAAATGATTCTTTAAACTACGGAGTGAATGTGAATCCCAGGGCTTGTACCAGGAAAGTGAAAATATCGGCAAATTCGGCAATCTTAAAAATATAAATGCAAAACAGTTATTTATTTAGCAATTCTTTCCATAAGACATAGTTATTTCTTTACCTTGACTTTGGTAGGTTTTCCACTGCCGTGACCAACACTAGTGGTAACCTTGAGCAGTAGTGGGTTTGTCTAGGGAGGGTCCAATGTAAATTAGTTAATGATATACACAATTTATTTTATTGACATTCAGCTTTTCACCTGTCTGCTGGACCTTCCAATTGTGTATTGTAATTCAGCCGCAAGCTTAAACAAATAATAATTATTAAAATTAAGAATGGTAAACAGTTAAAATTAGAGACGACGAAAAAAAAAGCTTTTTAAACCTTGTAGGAATGAAGTGGAACCACTCGATCATCGTGATCGCCTAACAGTGAGGTTCATACATTACAATTAGAATACGTGAACACAGACCGATTGGAATTATTGACTGACCAGTCATCAGAAGAACGGACGGATATTGAACATTTTCATTTTGGGGAAATCTCACGTTGTGAAGTGGAGAAAGTTTGTAAAGGTTGTCAAAGTGCGTTTGGTTCCCATCATCAGAACAACCGTACTCGGAGCACCACGCATACCTAAAATAATATGCATAAATGTACATATGCAAATGAACGCATTCCTTATCACATTTAAGTACTACATGTGTACACCGTACTGCTAACTTGATTATCTAAACCACACTTTTAACAAATCTAAAAAAAAATTAATTTAATTACCCAATTGTGAACTTTTGGTACCGCAGTAAATCAAGGACCCTAAAAAACGATAATTTTTATACACAAGAGTTTTAGTGAGACTTTTGATAAGATTTTCGTCATTTATATGCTTTTTACCCCACTTGAGCAATTCCTGCTGCATACAGCTCAGGGCGCTGATTAACACACGCTCCTATGCATAAAATGATTAGTATTATCGGATTTTTCTTGCTTCCAGTTTAACTATCTATACGAGGCAACGAGAAGTAGTACGCATATACCAATTAGGAAGCCTCCATTCGATCCACCATTAATCACAATTTTTGATGGAACAGTGTAATTGTGCGAAATCAAATATTCAGCAGCCGCTTGGAAGTCGTCAAATGAATTTTGCTTATTCAGGAGGCGACCTCCTTGATGCCATGTTTCGCCATACTCTCTGCAAGATTAGGGTTTAAAAGCGTAATATAGCGACTATCTTTCTTCATCACATCCTTATCAATTTAGTTTTCAATCTTTAAAACGAACCCTCCTCCTCGAATATTAGGGATGGCGTATACCCCATCAAAATGCTGAACAAAGGCGACCCTCTCTGGGTTGAAAGACGGTAGGATGTTGATGTTGAAGCCACCATACGCGTAAATGTACGTGGGAGAGTTCTTTTGCGGAACATAATCCTGGTGGATGAGGAAAACGAAAACCACAAGAAAGATGAGAGGAGAAGGAAGAGGATGATGATGATGAGCTCAAAATGTGTTAATTTGATTTCATGCCTCCATTTTCTCCCTTGCTTACGTACTTACTTACCTTTCTATGAATGATGAACATTGGCACTTTCGTTCCATCTTTGCTGGAGAAGAAGACTTGATTCGTTACAAACTTAGTTTCATCCAACCCAGGAGCCACAACCTCCGTATGCACCTCAGCTCTGTAGGGCACCTGCCCTTTACTTAAATCAACACGGAACACTCGCCCCGGTGTCAAGAAAGATACAAAGTTGAAAAAGAATTCATCATGGTCTCGCCGTCCAGAGTACGAGTTGATGGTTCCAATGGAAAATTCGTCAAAGTTTTGAATAAAAGATCCATTTCCGAGAAACCTCAGCTCTAACTTGCTCTTGACATCTTCGAGATATCCCAAAACCAACTTGTCCCTGTCAAGAGTGATAGAAAATTGTTTGGTAAAAACTTTGACATGCCCGTCGAAAAGTTTATAGCAGATTAAACTTTCCAGATTTTACATCTCTCTTATATATGGATTTCGTACTGATTGATTGGGAAGGCCCACTGGAGAACTCGATTGGAATTTTCAGGAACCACGGTTGACCAATATTTCTCTTCTGGATTGTTTAGATCGACACCAACAAGTCTGTAATTTGGTGCTCCCTTATTAGTTACAAAGTAGACGATAGACTCGTCATTGGTCACGTACTGCAATTAAAACACCAAAACGAGAATGCATCAAGAATGGAAAGAGGGACTGAGGCAATTACGTGTGTTTGTTTATCTGTCAAGTTCATACTTCATACTGTGACTCAAACTTGGAAACTACTGGAATAAGGGTCAGCTTTGATCTAATTCCAGATTTCAAAGGTTCCACCAAGTTTGCATAGTAAACCAGAATTTCACCGGATGCTCCTTCTGAGGGGAAAACCAACAAATAATTTCCTTCTCGTGTTACTGTCAAATGTCCACTGAAAATGAGAACCTACATTATGGATGGATGAAAAGAAGCTGGCTTTTTTAATAAATTTTACATACAGAAGCCAGCTTGGATGTTCTGGAAACTCGGCAACCAATACATCTTTCGTCTGGTCGGATGACACTCGGTGGTAGTAGATCTTTTGATTGGACACTTTGTCAGTTTCCGTCCCATCGGTTCGACCTTTCTTAGCAGATGTAGGTGGGAATCTCTGCAACACCAGAAAATGACAGGTGTCATGTGCACACGCTCTCCAGGCAATATTATCGGGCGTTTGTGTGGTGTGAGATGAGGTGTGGTGGTCAAATCTGAAGTTATAAAACCTTCTTCCTTACCGCATAAAAGAAGCCCTGATTGTCATGTGTCCACTCAAAATTGCTGAACTTGACTTGCTCCAAAACTTCAGGAAAATCGACCCCAGTTGAGACATTTCGAACACGTATTGTCACCCAGTCGCTGCCCTTGTGACTCAGCCCATATGCGACGAGTTCTCCATTGTCAGAAAAGCTAAAATCGTACACGGAGACGGTCCCATCCTCAGATAAAGCGTTGGGATCAAAGAATACACGAGGTTCAGAAGTTAAAGAATCTTGCACATAAAACACGCTGCAAATATAATCCCATTAACTAAATTAATTAACAAATTCTGAAATCATTCGGTTCCGATCGATTAATATTTCTTGTTTACTCTTGATTTTGTGTCCCCGTATTTTTATAGAAATAGTAGCTTGATCCATGCTTCTCTGGGACTTTATATCTCGTGTAGTCATATGCAGTCGTCAAAGTCTTGAGAATTTCTGATCGAATGGGTTGGTCAACGTAGCTTCTCGTTACCTCGTTTTGACTATGGACAAATTTTTTGACCTCCTCCGAATCTGGATTTTCTAGCCACCGATATGGATCTTTTATTTGGACTCCATAGTACGAATCGACCACAGAATCATCCCGTCTCACTTGAGGGTACTCAATTTTAGCAAATGAGGACGAAATGAGAAGCAATGACAAACAAAACTGCATATGCATTCTGGGACATTATGCATATTCAGACAAAATTAAAATTTATAATTGTAGTTCAACAATTGTTACAAAAATAAAAACAATGCAACACATACCTGAATAATTTGTTGAGACGATTCTCCAGGCCGACGACAGTAGAAAAGTGCCAATGGATTTAGTTGAGGAAAAGACTCTTCAATTTATATTCTTGCGTGGACCCGTGGGTGAAACATGTTAACCTTTGTCAAGGACAGAGACAAGGAAAGGGGAATGACTTTTAGAAATCTGCCATTATGCTCTTGAAACTTAGTTTATAGTTTTATTGTCGGATCCAGCATTTTATGTGTCTTCAGATCAGCAAGGTATGCGTGGTCGGAGCTTGATTGAAAATGTTGTCAGATAATCAAAAGTGGTTTTGCAACAAATATTTTCACCGTTGACATTCTACCGATGCACAAAAGTAAGAAAGTAAGCTACAAATCCCAACGTCCACCTCACTCCTTAGCTCAACTGAAGTATAATTTTCCATGACCATAACCAAATTGTTCAACTCATCTAAATGCAAATTCGCACTATTTACATGCTCCTTCCATTATGTAGTTGTTTTTGTTTATTATTATAGATATTCCATTTAAAACATTTTTTGCGTTCCGTCCGGGTTTCTTCTTTCTATTTATTTAGTATTGTACGATTCATGTCACAAATTATCTCGTGAGTGTCTTACGTCAGTATTGTACCTTGTCTATGACTGCTTTCTAATGCAAACAAATGACCATATGCAGAATATCATGCGAGATTAAAAAATAAATGACAAAATGAAAATAACATCAATATTCAAACGTTGATGTGCTGTCTTTTCTTTGCCCGTCGAATCATTCGTGGGGAGATTCCATCTGGACAAATCATCATTGATGTGGCTTGACGATGATGATTGGTTCTTGTTGTTGAATTCAAGAAAGGCGAAATTTGGGCACTTGGCCATGTCTGGTGGCCGTCGTGGTATTGGTGCTGAATGTCGGCAGTGCTGCACTTTCGACCTCTTGGACTTCTGGGAGGGGATAATCCTCTGCACAGTTCCACAAGCGCTTGTTCCACAAAATCTGCTCTGTTAGCAGTGTTAGCCTCGCCATGAGTCATATTTGCATTGTTAGTCATTGTAATTCCTTGCGTAATAGTGTGGTTTGCCGTATATCGATCCCCACCTGCTTGAGTAGTATTTTGCCCAAAATAATGATGAGGAAAGTGTCGAGTTTGTCGAGATATTGCTTGATGTTGACTCCATTGATTTTGTGGTTGTGATAAGTTTCCTAATCCAGGCTTCATGTCAGAATTAGAAAATCTTATGTTGGCCAATCTCTGCTGCTGTGGTTGATGAGATTGTCCCCATTTGTTTTCATATACATTACTATTATTGTCGTTTCTGTTGTAAAATGACGGACCATTTCGGACTGGGGGCAAGTTAATAATTGTGTTGGAACTAGGAATATTGATAACGGTGTGTTTCATGGAAGTTACGTTGGTTATACGGTTGGATAATACCCTCTCAACTGGTTGGGTATTTGTGAAGGGATCGCAATTTGGCTGCACAACTGAGATATTATCTGTTCTGGTTGATGGGAGTTTTGTTAACCATTTCGATTGATAAACCGGCATTTTCTTATTCGTTGCTGTGAAGAATGACTCCTCCTGATGATGATGACATTTAGTTACGTTTAAATATGGCCCAGGTAGAATCCCTTGAAGGACTCCACTTGTTTTTCTCGATGCATTTCCAATAAAACCACTGCTGTTACTCTGATGGTAATCAAGCTCCTCGTTTGTCTGCAATCCGCTCTCAATATCTTTAAGCTCTTGAAGTTGGTTCTTGCCGCTTGTACAAGTTCTTTCTTGTTCTTGAACGACAAGGAGGTTCAAGTCGGTATTGGTGCTGGTGGTGACTTTCTTGGGAAGGGAAACACTATACTCAATTACGGGCTGGCTGACATTTCCATCAACATCATCGTTCTCAACCGCTTGGCACGGTACCCGTTTAAAAGCGTTGAAAGTGATTTTGGACACATCGTCAACTAAACTTGTCAGATGACTGATGTTATTATCAGCAGCAGCATCATCGTCGTACAACATTTCAAACACGGATCCGGATTTACTTGGGACGAATCCAGCACTGAAATTTTGTCGTTTACTTTCCCGTTGATCTTTGGCGGTACGCAATTGTTCGAGTTGCAGGGGGTTCACAGCAGTGCTCGTTCTGATCCCGTAAACATCATCATGGTTTGAAATTCTACACTTCAATTTGTCTTCAGTGTCGGGCAGTGACAAGGAAGACGATTTTGAAGGTTTTGACATGGGACGAGCGGCGGATGGGCTTTTCTTGAGTGTAATATCTGAACAGCTTCGCTTTGCGGTGACGACTTCCTGCAAAGGAGTGAACGCTTTCCCATCCCCAACGGCGTTATACTCAAGTTGCTTGAGTTCGTTTACTTTCACCACCACAGTTTTTCTTCCTCTCGCTTTCATTAAGATTGGTTCCGTACTTTTGCACCTTCTAAGTGGAACTGTTTTCAAAAATTCAGTATCAGAATCTAATGGTGGAGCTGAACCTGACTCGTGCTGCTTGCGTCGTGACTCAAACAAAACCTGAATGTCAGACACAGATCTACGAATCTGCTTGGAATTATTATTATTATTCGTTTTCTGCTTTTGTTTGGTTGTCGTAAACTTGTGATGTGCGTCGTGTAGTTTGTTGATTGGACCTTTTACTTCGAGCAAAATATTTTTCAGAGACTCCTTGTCAAGAGCAGATCGGGAGAAAATTGACACCATGGAACGCTGAACTTTCACCACCACAGGTTTCCCGATAGGTTTAAAAGTGGTGTGTCGTTTTTCCAAAGTTGATGGCCCGTTGTTGAACGATTGTGATTTTGATCGAACTATGTACGCGTTAAAACTCAAATTAAAACTAACAGTTGCAGCATTGCTTTAAAGTTGAAGACATTAAACTGTCTGTGTAAATAATGATTTACCATCAGCCAGTATTTCTTTGATTAATAATTCTTCATTACTTTGTATGCCATCAATTTCCACCGGTTTCAGTATTTCTCCAAACTTTTTAACCAATTTCTCATCAGCCAAAATTATTGCCAAGTATGGAATTAGAGGTTGTGGGATCCGTTTGTCTCGAAGAACATCTTCCGGTTGTTCTTTCATTATTGATCTTTACAAAATAGTAACAAAAATTTTCACAGCATGTGTTCTAAAGACATGAAAAGATGAGCATTATTTACTTACAAATACATCTTGATTATATTTAAATTCTCCTTATGCATCGAATTTATCCCTTGATTGCACTTTTCAATGCAGCTGCGCAAATGATTTCGTTTTTCTAATGCCAGCTTTACAGATCTCTTTCTGGTGGTCATATTTTCTTGATGGTTTCTAAATTTGTAACAATTATCCATAATTCTGTATCGACTTTAACGATACGGGCACGAGGGAAAATGACGCAATTGGTATACCTCACATTTTCCAGTCTTACTTTGGCCTCCAAAACGACTTTCTCCGCCTTATCAATAGATTCGTCTGCTGCAGCTTTCTGCTGGTGCAATTCTTCATTGACGAATACTGCTTCTGTATATTGCTGTTCAGACTTTGATGCAACGCGTATATGCGCTTTGAAATCAATTGTTTGAAATTTAATCATGCTTAGAGTTTGCATGCACACGGGGCATTCGACGGTTTCTGTGTTATGAGCTCTGAAAAATGGTTTTATTGTCAATACTGGAGTACACTCTCATAAAACAATAGTTAGTTCTTAGGTTAATTGCTTACTGTTGATAAATGAAGCAGTAATGACGCAGGCAAAATCGGTGGAAAATGTGTCCACATGGCGCAGCCACGATGAGTTCAGAGTCCCTAAATTTCCCTGCCCGGATTTCTCTGATTTCGTTTCTCATGGCAGTGGCTGCATTTCCGTTTCCTTCGATGACATCAGGTCGAGGGCTGGGATGACGTGCCAAGGACATTTCACACACGGGGCAACATAGCTCTTCAGATAAAGCGACCTCGCCTTTTATGGGGTTATCCTGAATAATATTCTTCCTGTAGTTTACGTTCATTCTTGTAAGTTTGTTAATTTGCATTGGGTTTTCACAAGAGGATATACAAAACTTGTGCAAAACAGTAATAGTGAAATACACGTGGAATACTCTACACCGAGACATAAAAGTATTATTGCGAATAAAATGAATGGGACTTTGAACAATTGGGCATCTTGTAGCTGTTAGTGACAGTTAGTGACAGTTAGTGACTGAAGAATCCTGGGGAAAATGAGGATTTTATGTAAAAAAAACATTTTTCTTACCGAAGTGCATGGATTTTTCTAACTGTGCAAACTTTGTTTCACAAAATAATTAGTGCTCACGTAACCGAAGAATGGCATTATCTGATGGTAATCTATCAATGGATGGTGATCTATCAATGGGTGACAATCTTGAAGGTTTGCAAGATGTTGTGCTGCAACTGGGAAATATGGATTTTAAAGAACATGCATCTGCAAAGCAGGGATCGCCACTAGTGCAGCAGAGGATCACTTTAAAACCCAAGCGTCGGTTGTTGCGAATGACATCAATTAACTCAGTTCAAAACAACTCTCATGGTCTTGGCGATTGTGAAACTACAAGCTTCAGTCCCACATCGAAGGAATTTCCTACATTCACGCCTACAGCTAAAACTTTAAAGCTGACCGAATCTAAATCTGAAATCCAAGCAGAAAAACCGTCAAGAATCAAGCCTAAGTTAGTCAAGGAGCATGTTGGACGTTTAAAATCGAGTGGTACCGTAAATCTGTTGGGAAATAAAATAGATGGGCTCGAACAAGCAGTTCAAGTTCGCTATCTTGCAAAAGCCACAACACTTAATTCTCACATTTTAGTGGCCCCAGAGCTGTTCAGATTCTATTCTAAAAAGACGCGTGTAATGATGGGACTTCCGGTAGTAAACAGATTCAACAGTAATTAGAAATATGTACATTTGGAATTCATAATAGGTATACATTTCTCTTCAATTAATAGGAAGGTCGGTGGGAAGACATTTTCATGTATTTGAGCATAGACGATTTGAAGGCATTCAGAAGCGTTAGCCGCACAACTAATTCATCCAAGAGTACACAAAAATCCAGTGATTCCTCAGGAACAGGTTTGCGAAGATAATACCGTCGGATGGCCTAATATTCGAATTAGAAATTTTGAGAGGCCGTTTTCTGGAAAAAGATATTTTTCTGAAACTTATGACCCTCGGAACCAGGTTGTGAAAACGTTGGTCAACTCCACGGTGAGAAGGTTGGAAATTAGTGACTGTGCTCTACTATGGGTAGAATTACTTGAAACCATTGCCTGTTTATCCAATCTCCGTGAGTTGGTTTACTCCCACAGTAAAGAACATTTGTACCAAAACAATATTCTGAAGGTTATCAAAGGCAATTTGCATGATCACAATTTCATTCCCAACGCTTTGAAAAGAGGGGAATTCAAACGCTTCAGAAATATCAAGACATCCGTATCCAAAAATCTTAAACAAGTCCAGCTGCAAGCACTCAATTTAGGAATCACAAACTTCATAATTGCAATATTGTATCAATTATGTAAAAATTTGGAGGAATTGGAAATAATTTTTCTGGAAGATGCATTTCTGCACGTATCTCAAGCTGGAGAGACGCTTGGCACCCATACAATTGAGCCATCCTTGTCCGGGATTGGGACTCTAGATGCTTGGCTTTTAATTCACAATAACCAAAAAACGTTGAAGACTTTAACAATTGGATTTTTGGACGAAATGCGAGATAAGCACATCGAACCTCAACATTTTTACAATAAAACTACCACATCTATGATGATACCAGTTGCTCCAATGATAAGTTACGCAGTGTGGCCTCGGCATGACAAGTTAAAACTGACCGAACTCTGTTTTGAACTTCCGATGGCAGTGATGCTCCCAGCAGCTTCTCAACACAATGAAATGTGGTCGAAATTTCTTAGCAAACCTGAAGCTTTTCAACGTCATGAAAACAATCTGCTAGACTTTTATGCTTCTCAGCTGCCCGCATTAAGCTATTTCTGTATCAAAACTCTTGATGACAGCGGTTATCGTATAGAAAATTCGGTGTTATCAGTAATCAACCGTCTTGAGCCAGGCAAGCTAAGAATTGGTAAAGCAGTCCATCCAATTAACGAAACTATCAAATGGAGCCTGATGCTAAAAGCTTCTTATGAAATTTGCCTTTATTTGGATGACGTATCTCCACCCTATGAGTCAATTTTTCCACCAGACATGCCGGTTATGGAAAACTTTAAGACGCTTCAGATTGAAACCACAAATATCGCACCACCACTGCCCACCTTTGACATTTCTCGCCTGCTCGTAAAATTTCCGCACCTCGTCCGCTTGGTGTTGGTGGATGGGAATTGCAGATATCCCTCTCAGAAATATGAAGCACCAAAAGTCACGGATCTTGATATGCAATCAATCATCTACTTTCTACCCTCGTTGGTGGAACTTGTTATTCAGTGCAACATGTCGGAAGTTACAGATCTTGGAATGACTGGTGTCAGGTATGCAGCGTGTCAAAGGATGCAAAAACTGGGACAATATACTATTCAACCTGGAGATGTATGTGGACATTCTTTCTCCAAGTTGAAATGTAATAAATAATTCATAATAATACTCAGTCTTAATATTATTGTTATTCATTAATGGAAATATGGTATAATAATAATTACAAAATGATTTATTAGATTTGGAGATTCTAGAGTTGCATGGCTTGAGTGAAAAAGTCACAGACGCTACAGCTAATTTGGCCATTCTGGTTCTTGAAAACTGCAATTTGAGAGAATTGTACCTATTTTCCCCAAAGGTATTTTTGGCCGATGAAACATTACAAACACTAAATTAACTTTTGTGACTTTGCTTATTTCAGTTTACCACACGACAAAAGCAGGAAGTCAAAGAGAAGTTTGCATACAAGAAAAACTTCAAAATCATAATAATGTGAGCTAATTTATAACTCAACTACGTATAACAGTAAGTACTTGTACCTTGTTAAATTCGAAGATTACAAATTACAATATTTATTTATGATGCACGAAAAATTTAAGTTTGGCATTTTCATTATAATATCATGATCTTATAAGAGAAAGTCCACAACTTCTTCCAATTCTCGATCCCTTGCCTGTTGATGCGCCCACCGTGCTTCTGCTAGCTCTGGAGTCAGCTTGTACTTGTCATGAGATACGCGATCATGGCAAATGAGACATTTCTTTCCACCTATATTTATTATAAAGTTTACGTTAGATATGCATAGAATAGATAGCAACATTGTTCATATGATCACTGAAATATAATCACCTGCAAATGGAGGTGTTTTTAAGTAATCGGAAAGACACTTGAAGTGATATAAGTGACCACACAAAATTCTTTCCACGTGGAGGTCGTCTTTTTCATCATGCACTGCATGTTCCGGGTTCTAGAGGTATTTAAGTTATTTATAGGCAGGCAAAGGTTAAGGCATCGTTACTTTAGTGCTTCAGTACCTCCGGAAAACACCTCAATTTGCAGACGGGACAATTTTGAATTGGATACGTGTGAACATATTGAATTAAAAAAGTCGCTGCCGGTAACAGTGAAGGTTTTGGTTGGAATGGTGGAGCATTTTTTGGAATTTTCTTTTTATTAAGAGGGGGTTCGACACATTTTCTTGAAATTTCGGTTGCATGCCCCAAAAATACTCGACAAAACGAGCTTGGAAAGTTTGAGTTTGTATTTTCAATCCTAATAAAAAGAATGCCGTCTTTGTCTATGACGTGTACATATATATTAATTCAGGAATCAGTTTCACTTACATAACCCCACTATCCGGATAATCATGAGGAATATTCATGTCGCAATTAAAGTAATACTCTCCCTCCTTAAGACTAAATGAAACAGAAGATGATTTTTGTTTTAATTTTATTATATCCTTCTCATTTAATAAAGTTTGCTTGATCGTAGAAATTTCTTTGGAACAGCAGCAGAGTGGGTTTTCGTCTAAGAATTTGCTCACAAATTTTAAAACCAAAAGAATTTGTGGTTCACCTAAATGAATGTAATAGAAATAGAATCATAAAGACTTGTCCTTGTGTAGCATCCTTATGCACTTAAAGACTTTTGAAGAATTATATATATAAAACATAAAGGCATAGCATCGCATACCCAAGTATTTTCTTGCTTCCTCTTCACATATCTTGGTGAGACCATTCAACAACTTGTCATCTAATGTTTTGGATCGAAGTTCAATCAACAACTCATGCGTTGGATAGTCTTCTGGAAACTGCAACACAACCGCAACAGTTTTTTCTTTGGTCTTTCTGTCGAACAAAGGAAAGATAAATGGACAATGTAGGAAATAATTTGATCAATTTCATATAAAATTGCACACCTGTACTTACGAAATTTCCACTCTAACGATTTCATTGGTACAAGTAACCAACTTTGAATCCTGCACTTTGGCATGACAAAGGCGACGCAGATGCTGCAATTCTTCAGGCAGGTCCATCCTCCTCCTCCTCCCCCTCCTTCCACCCAACAAATATTTTACCTTAATTTGTAAGAGTGGATGAGAACTCTCATGAAAAAATTGGCGTGAATGATTTGTATGCAAGCCCGTAGATTTTGTATATCTGTAGCAATTTTTCCACGTCATATGCAATTGCTTATAGCTCTTCTATCTTTCACTGTCTGCTATTTTCGAACAATTCACAATTTGATCGGGGACAAAAACAGAACGCAGATGGAAAGTTTGCGATTTGAGAGCTACTAAATCGCGCCACTAAATCGCAAACAAAGTTTCATGGGTTTCGTTATTTTCGTTCATCCACGCGACAAGTAGTTCAGGTTGTACATTTGTGTCGCCGGGGTGCCCGTTTGACGAGGTCAGGTACAGAAAGTTACACTCTCTAGACTGCCCACATTTTATGTAATAGTCGCATGGTTTATAACAGTAATATGTAATCGATGGTACGGCAATTAGGGCTTTGCGGAAATAAAATCAACGAGCCGTATTATTATATCTGTTTATGTGTGTATCTGTGTAAGCAGTAGCATTATGGGCCAATTTTTTAATTAAGCACTAAAAAATATTGCTCAATTGGCAAACGTTAGTTCATTAGAGCTCCATTAACTATTGAACATTTTAAGTAATAAACTTATTGATGTAAAACAACAATATGATATGTCATCGGCAATAAATAACTTTTTCCATAATGAAACAAGAGAACAATGACAGACGTGTTTGTTTCATTTGAGTCATTCATTTTCAAACTGGGATCATATTTCCGAGAAAAAACTAGTATGACTCATACAAATCATACAATAAAAAATCTTAAATTTCTAGACCATACAGAATACTGTCTGATTGGGCATCGTAAACTAGACACAAACAATCCTAATCTGTACACATTAGGTTGTCATATCATACATAATAATTTGAGGCTTAAACATAGCAAAACTTGTGCAAAAAAGGGCAACGATGACGTAATGTCAAAAAATAGACCATTACAATTGCCTGTTATGCCGTGACGTTTTGAGGTACACATGTAGTTGGTGTATCTAGAAAATAGTCCCAAGTACACTTTATAAAAGTTGTTTGTTGCGTGACTATTGGCGAAAACATAATAATATTTATGGGCACACAATTTTGCTGTATGACTCATCGTACCACGAGTTGCATTGCGATGCATTGCAAACTGGCAAAAATAGCAAGTCACAAATTATGGCCCTCTATTTCACTATCACCAGAGACTAGAATTTTGCAAATATTTAACCATTCATTACTATCTTATCCTTAGTTTGGTCCTCGTTGATTTGTAACTTCAAGGAAGTTGTACCACAATAAAATATGCTTGTCGAGAAAAGAGATCTATACAAGCGACGAAATTATCTCTCGAAATGGTCTCCAAATTGTCCCAAACCCTAAATTCAGATAATTCAGATTCAATAATCTGATAATTCAATCAAGTCTAGCCGACGCTAATAATGTTGGTGCCTGTAAATAATTTGTCTATTCATTAAATTAATTTATTTCCTTCTAGAAATACATGTACATTTCTTTTCATCCTAACACTTACATGAATGAAATTGAGTGAGACGGCTCATTTTCATTCATAGAAGTAAATACTTCTTATTTTCCAGCTAGTCTGGAACGTTGATGTATGGATAAAATTCCAAATAACTCCAGTATCCTTCTCGAAAATGAATAACATATTGTCATCCGAAACGTTCGCTGGGAATCTAAACTCCTAACCCAGGCTAGAGATGTATTTAGTATGGTATTTTTATACCCAAGTCAAACAAAACTACAAAAGTAAGCCAACATGCATGCTCCCCACGATATTACAGCTCTATATGATGCTCCCTCACAGGAGGACACTTAGGGATCCTTTATTCCTTTTGCTCAATTTAGGACCAGCAACAGTGGGTAAACTTTCATATGCATAAACAGATATGTTAAGCGTTTTTAGGACTCTTATCGTAAAAAATTTAAATTTAAAAATCCTTAAAACTCTTCAATCTTGCATACACATACACATAGCCAAAGATTAAAAGTTGGTGGCCAATGCATATATAGGTTTTCGTTATGCAGTGCATAATACACTGTGCATTGCATTGCATTGGATTTAAAACTTTTTACATATTATACTTTTTACTAGCCACAACAACCAACTCTTGTAAATGCACTATAGAAATGAACGAGCTTTGTTCAAGGCTATTTTTTTGTACTAAAGTGTAGCGCACCAACATGTACGTGGTGTGAGACAGGAATTTGAGTGGTGGTGGCTAGTTATAGTCCTCGCAGTAGCAGTGGTGCTATAGGCGTCAAGAGATACGAGCTTGGTATGTGCTCTTGCCTGGCTCTGGCTCTCTCTCATAACAACTCGACTACGTTCTGCCTTCGCCATTTTGCACAATACTCGCCTCCCCTCCCCATCGAGAGCAACAAGAAGTAAACAAATTAAATTCCACGAAATTATTCTCAAAATAGTATAATCAGTCGTCACACCCCCAGAAAGAGGGACTTAGAAACGTTCCCGAGACGAAGGCACAAGCAGTTAGTTAGCCTGCAGGGCTTGGTTTGACCTGCATTCAGTCAGTAGGTGACGAAACACTAGGAAAATTGGACTCCATACCAAACCAATAAAAGAAAAATAATGATTAAGTCAGCCGCGTCGCCATCCGGAAGTCGTACAACGGTAGTGGAACCTACTGCACGGATGGTCATGCCACAACCGAGGTAAAAATATTTAATTTTGCATCCCCATGTATGTTGATCCAGCTCCTTACAATTAGTTGGCCAATAAAAAGTAAAATCTAGGATCTTCAGTTTAGTTTTTTTTTTACAATTTAGTGTTAGTGTTGTGGATCGGTTGTCTTAAAATTCTAGTAGCATGTATTTATTTACCAGTAAATATACAAGTTTTATAATATATTTTTTTAAATTTTCAGCCGCATGGATTCGATATCGTCATTTCGTTCGACAAGGGACTTTGAAAACTTAAAGACGGAACGTGGTCGTTTGGATACATTTTCCCTTCCTCCTGTATGGCCTGTGACATTTATTACACCCGAAGATTGCGCTAAAGCTGGATTTTTCTATCTACAAGACGGTGATAAGGTGAGTATGAAATTCTTTTTTTATAATTTATATATACCTTCTGGGAAATATGTCAATAATGTTATTATAATAGGTACAATGCGCATTTTGTCGTGGTGTCGCTGGCGAGTGGGAGGAAGGAGACAATCCATCTGCAGAACATCGCAGGCATTTTCCTAGATGTCCCTTCGTTTGTAACTTGCCTGTTGGCAATATTCCTATTGGCCAAGAAATGGAAGTAGCCCAACATAGTGAACAAGAGATAGCGGCAGGAATCGACGTGTGTGGACCGTTTCTCCCAGCAGGAAGATTTTTAGGACAGGAGCCTGGTAAAAATTATTTTTTATTGCTTAATTTGCATATCAGCGTTACTGATTAATTGATTACATTATCCTAATATTAACATTATTTTATTTCACTTTAAGCAGCTTCTGTCCGTGGAGCACAGCCGCTTGATGGGAACATGAATGATGTGGCTACAAGTTTGGCGATTCAAGTTTGTGGAAGTGGGCCGATGCATAAAAATCTTGTTACGTATCACTCACGTGTGAAATCCTTCACGTCGAAATGGCCAAATACATCTACGGGACAGACCCCAGAAAGTCTTGCTGAAGCCGGATTTGCATATCTTGGACATTTGGACCATGTTAAGTGTTTTTATTGCGATGGTGGACTTCGAAACTGGGAACCTGGTGATGATCCCTGGTTAGAACATGCAAGATGGTTTCCCAATTGCTCGTTTGTCATGCTAAACAAGGGCGACGGATTTGTCAAGGACGTATCGAAAACTAAACCAACAGTGGCCATTCCTCAGGTATTTTAGGAGTTTGTATACTTAAATATATTTAATATAATCTTCAAAGTACTAATTGGACATTGATTGGTCTATTCTAGTTCCAAGTCAAACCTCCGTCACAACATACGCACTCACCACGCAGGGTCTCAGATCAAGAGTTACGTGATCTCATGGATACTTCAATTGTTCAGGTATGTGTCACTCTATCAAGTCTATATTTTACTCGAGCTTATGGAACTGCTATGTTCGTCCGTCCGTCCAAGACACTATAGAGCCAAAACGGCTGAACCGATTAAATTCAAATTTACAGATGTATATTAGGCAAAAGTAAGAGTTAAGTTCGAAGATGAGTTAAATCGGCACAGTGGCTGACCGGTGAAGGGCTATGTATCCAGATTATCTTGGTTATTCCAATATTTCCAATTATTCCAAAACAGTACTAGAAAGCTGAAGTTTGGCATAAAAATGCCTAATGACTTCTCATAAAAAAGAATGGCAAATGTGGACAAGATGGAAGAAGAGAGACCCTAATACAGATTCTAAAAGTCCAAATTAAATGAAGGTAAAAATGACTTACGAGTATCAAATAAGAATTTAGAATTTCAAACGTTTCATAAAAGCGAGACCCTGGTAGTCAAAGGGAAGAGTTTGGAAATACTTCACGAATTTGGAACCAAATAATAAAAAATACGTAAGACATATTCGATCATATCCTCACTACTTGACTGGTAATTAATAGTCTGGTTTTATCATCGGACAAAAAATTTAGAAACGACCATGACTCAAGCTAAATATATCAAGTCTTCACTGCAGTTTTTTAACGTAAAATTGTCTGTTGCGTTATTATTAGGCGGCTCTTGAAATGGGGATGGAATTAAGTAAAGTAAAGGCAGCTCTTCAAAGGAAAATTCAGCAAACGGGTCAAGCATTCTTAACTACGGAATCATTACTTGATGCTGTTTTAAGAAGAGATCCAGAGTACGAATCTGATCAGGATACAGACAATGACGACGATGATGATGTACCGCCTCGCAGACGCTGTCCCCCTTTAAATGTTTCATTGTTCAATGGATCTGGTTCTGCCGGAACATCTGAAGCTAGTTCTAGCTCTTCCGCCGAACATTCCAGCGGAAGCGATGAAGAAAGCCCGACAACATCCACCCCAAGAATTGTAAAGTCTCCAGCTAGTCGTTCTGCTAGTGGAGATAGTGGTGTTTCAACTATGTCAAGTGAAAATGGTGAAGATCAGTCTGCACCTCAATCACTGTCAACCGAGGAAACTTCAGGAATCTCAAATAAAAGTGATAAAGTAAAAGTGAGTCGTGATAAAGACTTGACGAATCAATCGGAGGATGGATTTAATATGGATGAAGTCAAAAAAGGTATAAACTAGAAAAAATTGAAATTGAGTGCAAGTGCAAAATGAATGAAATGAAGAGCAGGTTTTAATAACTTTGTTTTCTATAATTTTTTTAGAAATTGAATTGAATGCTAAGAATAACATGGAAGAAGAGTTAAGGAAATTACGGGAAGCCACCCAATGTAAAATTTGTATGGATAACAAAGTTGAAGTAGTTTTCTTGCCATGCGGACATCTCGTGTCTTGCACCCGTTGTGCAACTGCATTATCAAACTGTGCAGTTTGTCGTCAGCCCATCAAAGCTTACGTCAAAACTTATCTGTCTTAAAATAATTACAACTACCGATTTTCAAATAGTCTTTTTTTTGTATGGTGCCACTGCAGTACCACCACCACCGACTAGTTTTTAATATATATGTTGCATAAATGAACGTTATTAAAATCAAATATTTGCTATTTATGTTGCGCAGCTGTAATAGTAATGGTAACAAGTAACAAACTTATAAATTGATGCAATTATATATGCTATATAAAAAATTCAAAATCATAGCAATTCAACACAAGTACTGAGTATATTTTCAAAAAGCAACATTTAAGACCTTAGACCTCCATTAATGTACCTGGTGGCTGCAAGTGCACGAAATACTAGTTTAACTACCAAATTTATTTCCATACGCTTGAACCGTCAGTATAGATACACACCATGTATTTTACATTGTACTTGACTTTAAAAGTTGGGATTAAAATAAACTGCTCTTCTAGGTCTCATGATTTAAAATGTCTGATGTATAATTAGTGCAAAATGCAAAAATGGTATATTTCAAGAATCGCACTTATACTGGATAGGTTTTGAGGCGACAGTTGAAGCGTTTCACGGAATAATTCTACTTGTAAATTGGTGCATAATATAAATTTCGTACAAAAATGTTATCTTATAATTTATTAGATTATTGTTGTTCTTGTTCATATAAGTATTTTCTTTCTTTTCATATTTCTTTCCGATCGATTTTGACTCTATGAATTGACTGATTTCGGTTTGAAATCTTTTGATATCTATTTTGATAGTTTGGTAAATTTTCCTACTCGTTAACTTGTTTGTGTAAATTAAATTCAATTGGCGAGTTAATATGTCTAACAATACATGTGGTCGCTGGTATACTCACTTGTTCATTTTCATTACCAGAAGCGACGCAGCAAGTCAATACATATGTATATTTATTCTGTTATCTCATTACAATTACTTTAATATACACTGAATTAATAAATGTTCTTCAATGTTAATTCAAATCAATTAATTTCATATCCATGGACCACCTTCACATTCAAATCTTCGACCTGTTATGTTTGTTAAAATGTTCATTTCTAGGTTGGGTAAAAATCAATCATAAGCATACAGTGCTGACATACGAATTCATCACTTCCGGTAACAAATAATTGGGCATCATTGTATACTTTATGAGGAAATTAGTATCATTAAATAATGTGATTTATCACATCATAAAATATCCCAGACTGCAAAGTGGTTAGTAAATTGGTACAAATGTGTGTTTCATCTGCCTGTGGACAACACACGAATTAACAAATGTTGTTTTTGCATGCATCATTGTCAATGAAGATAGTGCACCTAGAGTGAAAGTAAAACAATGCAAAAGCAGATGCAAAAACTAAAACAACAGGTGTCTGCCAGTTGACATAAATTTGCACTGCCCACAGGAAAATTGAATTACAAACCAGAGAATTCTGGTTAAAACTAACTAGCACATATCATCTAAAATATAGCAGGACTGAACGAGATATGTAATTCATTGGTAAAGTCCAGCTCCAACAAACAGGCGTCTGATCACCACATTTGTTTAACCCCTTCTTGTGTTTAACCTAAAGCAACGACTCGTTTATGGGATCAGAGCTCTAACAAACAACCTTTTGTGCATCTTCCATCCATTGCTTAAAACCATTCAAACCGCACAACAATAATATTTAATAATACCCACTCAATCACAATTTATTTAAACCTAGGGCGTATTTTATTAATAATCCGTCAAGTCTCATTGCCAAATGTGCTTTTAGTGGAGAAACATCGTTTTCCAGATTTTATTGGTAAAACCATTTGAACACTTATTTTTATGTAGACGTCTGTAATACAAACTTTCTTCTTCACTCGCACCGCACAGCAGACTTGAATTGAATTGACTCATCCTCGATGTATTAATTTAAGGTAGTAAAGTAACTATTTAGCAACTTGTATTTTATTCAGGGCAGATTTATAAATGTGTTTTTGTTGTTATCGTGAGACGACCAGATTGTAAAGCCTCAAAACGTGCATCTTCTTATCTGCCATTCATCATTCATATTAATGTAATGGTTTCAATCAAAATAACAAACTTGTGCTGTTGAGTGATTCATGCTATAAATGTTTATGAAGTGTTGTAAAGGAAAGAACGTATTTTTTTATACTTACTAAAACTAATTTTGTAATGTTTTCTTAAGGAATTTGTTGTTCTAGTCATATGTAATAGAAGAGGAAGACAGTAAGTTAAATATTTGAACTATTTTAACCGTTCAGTGAGTCATTTTATCATAAATTTATCATGAGCTGGCCTGATAATTCAATTGACATTATTGCACATTACTTTCCATTATTATTATGGGTGGGCTGAGGCTGAGGCTGGGACTGAAGAAATGCCAGTGTCATTTTTATAAGGTTTCTATGTAACGAGACAGTTTTAAAGAACATTTTCGGTTGGTGCCTTCGATTATTTAGACTGAGATTAGACACATATATTACGCATTATAAATTATTTATACACTGATAAAAATGATCTGTGATGACTTTAGATACTTAATTTGTATATAACATACTCATTCATCTTACTCATTTCTAAATGACATAATACCTACTGTTAACCATTTTTAAAATTTTATCTCAAAGTCGCAACTATTTTTAACATACAAATGATCTACGTTTCCGTACTTATCTCACATAATAAACGCACAAAAGATAAAAGAAGACATCATAAAATGGATAGTCAACAAGAACCAAAAACCGTACCCGTGGTGACTCCTTCATCGGACGACGTGTTTGGGGACAGAGATTCTTCCGCTGTGTCCACAAATCCTCGTGTAAATTTCTCCAGTGTGATTGAGGATGAAGACCACAGAATTCTACCGGTGGATGATCCCACCAGAGAAGACGCTGGTGGGTGCGGAATTCTACCCGGTTGCAGAGGTGATAATACCTCCCGGCATCCTCATAATAGCTCAATATCTTACTTCCAAAGAGTCGTGGGGGGCAGTGGCCACATTCTCAATGATCTGGTAAAACTATGAGCATTAACCATACTTACGATTATGTACACGCAAATTCTAAGTTAAATAATTTGTCTCCACAGTGTGCTTCTCTATGGTTCACCTACTTTCTCCTGTACATGCAAAAAGTGGCAGGATTTTCTGATCGGAATGCAGCTATTTTGATGCTGTTGGGCCAGGTACTAAATACATAATGTGCATTTATACACAAGCCAAAGTGATTTTGTTGTGGTGAAAGATACATTTTAAAAAAAATTCTGACTCTGATTTAATTTCATACATGTTTTCAGATTGTAGATGGATTATCTACACCCTTAATTGGTTTCGAAGCCGACCGAGCGAATCATTGCTGGTTATGCAAAAGAGGGTATGGAAGGTGCAAAACGTGGCACTTAATTGGTAATTTAATTAAAACGATGTTATTAAAATAAATAGGGTATGAGTCTAACGTCTAACTTATTTTTATGCAATTTTTATTTCAGGTGTAATTCTTGTGATGATATCGTTCCCATTCGTATTTTCTCCATGTATTGGGTGTGAAAGTTCTGATGAGTGGGCAAGGGCAATTTATTATGCTCCTTTTATAACCATATTTCAAATTGGATGGGCGTCTTCCCAAATCTCGCATCTTGCATTGATTCCCAAAATGAGTACCGATATTTTAATGCGGACAGAATTGTTAGCCATTAGGTATAAAACTTTAGTAGTTTCCTTTGTTTTATAATCACATATTAATAAGTATACAAATAGTTTGGGTTCATGTGCTGACCGAGAATGACATGCTTTTACGATTTATGTACATATAGGTACGCTTTCACGGTGGGTGCCAATATTACAGTGTTTCTATTAACGTGGGTAACATTGAGCTTTGAAGACTGTGAAATCGACCAAACTGATGCTCCCAAATTCCGAGTAAGAATCAATCTTAATATATATTGTAAATAACAGTTATAAATAAATAAATCCTTCCTTCCAGACACTTGGACTAGTATCTGTTGGAATTGGAGGATTTTTCTCCCTCCTCTTTCACATTTTTGTGGTAGAAAGGTCAGATGAAGAAATTAAGAAGGGTATATTGGCCGAACAGGAGGAAGAAACAGCACACACTCCTCACAGTCAAGGAAGCCATCATGATTTTGTAGAAAGCTTGAATACGGTTACAAATGTCCGATCAGTTGCGTCAAGCATGGCAATTTCCAAAGTCCATGCCCAAGCCCGACGTCGAAGAAGTTGTTCTACCTCCAGCAAATCTAGTGCAGATAGGGAAGCAGGCACGAGCTTATTGTCTGATCAAGACGACATGGATCACGGTCCACTCGTCGCTATCGATGCGTCTTCCACCAGTGCACCACCCGTGCGCCCTACATCCTTAAACACGATCGGAAGTACTCAGAACAATAGTGGACAACTCGGAAATAATAGTGCTCTTCAAGGATACTCCATGAAATCCTTGAATCAAGGGAAGGAAACGGTGACTGTGATGGATTGGTTGTCTATGCCGCAGTTTTATATTGTGGTTAGTACTATTTTTTAATCATTACAGTTATTCCCCAGTTCTTATTACAAAATTTTGTTTAAACTTAAATTTTTGGACTAGGCCATGATGTACATGTCGACACGACTTAACGTTAATATAACTCAAGCCTACATGCCTCTATATGTTCAAGAAAGTTTGAAATTGCCTTGTGGTTCTGTCGCCACTGTACCATTAACCATGTTCTGTTCGGGATTTGTTGTATCCATCTTTATCAAACTTATCAACAAGCACCTAGGAAGGCAGTTGGCATACGCCTTAGGCGCACTACTTTGTATTATTGGAGCAGTACTAATATTGGCACTGGACTGGAGCCCAGGAAGTATTATGGCCGAGAAAGGGATTTACGGAGTAGCAATTTTATTAGGTAAACTGATATTTCAATAAAATTAACTGATTTAAAAAACTGCTTTTGGTCCTGAGGGTTTGAAATTAATTGATTTAGGTGGAGGAGCGTCAGCTATTTTGGTAACCTCATTGTCAATCACAGGTTCGTTTCAACCATCTCTTTCTTCTTATCTATTATCGACTTATTTACATGTCTAAACAGCGGATATGATTGGAAACAATGTTGAAAATGGGGCATTTGTCTATGGAGCCATGAGTTTTTGCGATAAATTATCCTGTGGTCTTGCTGTTATGCTAATTAATGAGTAAGTTGCTTTAAGTTGCTACAGTTGTAGTTTGACCGGGGAGAACTAAAAACAATGTGTATATTAATTTATAGATTGAAAACTTTTAATAATGACGAGGGGTTCTATCAACGGGTGTTAGCGTACACAGCAGGAGGTAAAATGATGAAAATTATTAATGTTTATATGTGTAATGCCAAGATTCCTAGACTTTTTAGTTTGTTTCCGTGGAGTGAATGTATTAGGATTATGTAATTACATTACAAAATCCTAATACATTCACTCCACGGAAACAAGCTAAAAAGTTTAGGAATCTTGGTGTAATGCATATTTGTTTTACATTTCCTTAGGTTGTTCGGTGCTTGGCGTACTTGGAGTAGTAGGGCTGACCTACATAATTTACAGACAAAATAAAGAAAATACTAACTAATCAACCCATGATCTTTCACACAAACCTTTTACGGGGCAATAATAAAAATATTTTAGTCGAGTGTATATCCTGCAATTGTTTAATTTTGTGCTGATATAATGTCAATGAACAATTAAAGTGCTGTCTTACGTTAAAGGTGCAATATAATCTAACAAGAAATACTGACTAGATTATTCACAGATTCCAATGGCTGAGATTACAATTTGAGGATGGTATGTAAAGTTACATTTTAGGTAGAAAAATATTTTTTACAGAAATCAAAAAATCACAATTTATAAAAAATACAATAGACATTACGACCATATATTTTTTAGACAAATTAAAATTACTGAGATTTAATTGCTGACATTATTGACCAAATGCCCAATGCTCTCATATAACCAATAGCCCGGTACTTTTCCCTGTGCTGTAAAGCTTCTGGAGTTTCAAATCCCATCCCAATGGTTTCATAGACAGTTCTGTAAATACCTTCTGCCGTTCGAAATCCTTCTTCCGTCATTCCCTGTAATTGTTATCTACACAGTTATAGCTTGTTGCTGGCAAATACATGTATTATTACTTTTACATAATGTAATTGGAATGAGACTGTACATTTTTAATCATGGTTGCTCCTAAAGCGTATGACACGCCCGTCCAAGTCTCTTCGCTTTGCATGGTGAAAGTGTCAATGGATGAATCCGGATTCATTCCGTTTATAGCTCCCATTGTCCCATCTCGAACTTTCATGACATTATTTTCAAATATAGTCTTCAGAGCACGGAGGACATTTGCCTTAGGGAAAATTTCAGAGTCGTCAACGCCGCACATGGCTAAAAACCAATGTCCACAAAGCTGATCGGACATGATACTTTCTCCATGACTCGACCCTGACGTGTCAAATCTATAATAATTTCCCGTCCATAATTTCTCATGGAAAGAAACTTTTCCCCGGTCCAAGGTATTTTGATATTCATCTATTAGGTTTTGCTTGTTTGGAAAATCAGTGGAGTTCTTCAACATATCAATCATAGCAAAGAGGGATGCAAGCCTGAAGTTAAAAACTCGTCTTAGCAAAGCATTTAAAAACCAAAAATTTATCGTCCCAAATTAAAAAGCCAGCAGGAACAATTATTACTCACCATAAACTTCCACAATATGCACTGAAATTACAACATATAGCAAATATATTATAAAAAGGATTGTTAATAAAGATATATATGCTGCATACCTGACACCCTTCATTACCCACGTGTCGTAAGTCTTATGGGAATAAGAAACAGTGACGCTAGTTAAATATCCTAAGATGGCAGAAATAAATGAGTAAGTATCACTTACTTGATCGGCAGATCCCGAGTTCTCTATAACCCCATCTCCATCCTGATCCCATTCCAATGATTTTTTCATTACTTTCTCGCAGATTGGGAGCAAATCATTTAAGTAAGTAGAGTCTGCGGAAAGTTTCCAATCACGAAATACTTGCAAAACAAACTTGAGATTCAGATCCCTCCAGCCAGAAACATCTATTTAATTATTATTCTGATCAATAAAATATTCTACATTAATTTTTTTTATCATGCCAGAAATTTAAATTACCATGCATTAAGTAGGAATTGATCTTGAGATAGGGGTCTTCACTCCTAAATTATTATTAAAAAATTTGAGAATAAGTAAAATTACAAGTGAAAATTTGAGTAAAAATACGCAAACTCACGGATCTCCAAAATCGTGGGGAACAGAATCTGCAATTTTTCTCTGAGATCGGTGTCTAAAAGATGTGTGTTAATATAAAATTCTCACAAATACTAAATAATTACACATATATATATTAATTAATACCCATCAAATAGATGCAATCTCATTGTATCATCTTTTGAATTCACTGCATCTGCCATATCGTATTGGAGACTGTGCTGAAGTTTTGGCCATAACTGAGCTAAAGCAAACGATGCATAAAAATGCACGTCATCTACGAACATTAAAAACAATTGTTAGCGTCACTACAGACTTGTAGCATAAATAAAAAAATAGTTAAAGCTATTAATACTAGCTCACAAGTATTAAACATCCTGTATTCATGGGCTTCAAGATAACAGAATCGACCAAATTCATTTCGCAAATCTTCCTTCTTGGTTACAGTTTTGGGCAACGTATCTCCATCATATTCAAGCCACAAGGTCCCTCCGTCAGATATGAAATACGTTTCATTAAATATCGCACTTTTGAACCATGCAGGAAGATTCCTAAAATTGTAGTTAATTAATTATATGATATTTTTCGTTAGTTTTCTAAATACAACATCGCATACTTGTTGGTCAAAACTGGGAGTTGCCATTTGTCGATCGCTTGATCCCACTTTTTATAATTCAAAATACAATGAGCTGCTAAGTTTTGGATAGCAATGGTTGTCGGTTTTATTTCACAAGCAGAATCCGAGTTATTGGTACGTTTGATATATCGTGTATATCTCCTTTATAAACAATAATGATATAATAAGAAATCTTGCATGTTTGATGTGATTCTAGTTGGCAATGAATAAATTTCAATACCTTGTATGAGTCCATTCTCTTCCTTTAAATTTTATTTGTGGTTGATCCCAGCCAAGAGTAAAGATCATTTCCTCCATCCCTTTGGGATCCACTTCTCCGATACAGTTCACAGCTATTCCCGTTTCACCTTTTGTTAATTCATAGGAGCAGCTTTCAGTGTCCAGTCGACCAGTTTGAGACAACTTCAGCCATAAATCAGATCCATGTAACAAATCAAACTGATTCATTGAGGTAACGCATTGATCCTTCTGAAAATTTTATAAAAATTCATGTCCAATATCAAGATTTGAGAATAAATTGAAAGAAAGAAAAAAATGAACCTTTTCTAAGCATCCAATTCCATAAGTTGTTTGAATTCCTTCAATCATGTGTTGCAATGCAACTCCTTTTACTTTCGATGAATCACAGGCCGTGGAAAATGTTTCGCTAGAACATTTTCCATACTTGTCCTTTTTAGACCCAGTTCCGTTCTTAAATGTAAATGTGATTGAGATTATTCGTCTCTCTGTACTATTATTCTTGATGGTCCACTGGAATGCAGTGCAAGGGAGGCAGGAATCCTACGAAAGGAGGGAGCAAATATTTGGTGTATATAGTACATCTTTTAAAAAATCGAGATCAAAGCACTAGTTCTGAGAAATTGTAAAGTCTAAGCGAGAAAAGTCCTAAACCGACAACTGAGGGAATCACATATTGATTTTAAGAAGTTTGTTATTTGAACAAGAAATAAGATTGCTTACCACATAATCATGGGGGATTACAGGAGAAACCTGTTTACATTCCAAGACGAGATTCAATTTGTGGATATTGAATGTATACCACGCTCTCGGGTACAACCCAGTATAATGTCCATCGCAGGGATTAAATGACCAGTCCCATGAGCTTAAATTTCCGTTTTCTGGTTTTCCAACTCCGGATAATACTTTCTGATATAGAACAGTCCCTTTGGTGTCCCTAACGCATAAAATAAACTGGTTGGCATCCACGACATCATAGCTGTATATCCCTGGGACCATATGATAACGGCAGAACTCCCCTTTGAATCCTCGACCGATTGATCCAGATCCTATTCCTCCAACCGGAACACCTGCATGCATATGTACATATATTGCTTGTATAGGTACTACATACATAGGTAATACATCAAAAATGCTATTCAATATGAAAATTTATGAAACAAGCAACACACCATATATCTGTTTTCCGTTCAAAGTGATAAAATCAATGAATGGTTTTACACGTCTCACAATCCATGTTTTAAACCACCAGAACAAATATCTATAATACACATAAGTATTAATATAAACGCATCAAAGAAACCATGATATGTACCCATGTACAGCACATAATTTTATATCTTGTAATGACTATAGTGTAGTAATCCATAACCAACCTGATAAACAACGGAAGTAAGTCTCCAATCTGTTTCAATCGTGGAATACAAACTGAATCCCAGGTTTCTGGAAACCGGTGGTCCATTCGAACGCTAATTTAACAAGTTGATAAACGTTTGAGAGAAAAATTGTGTGGTATTATACTATATGAAACCCTTACCTCCAACCAAATTTTTTGCATAACTCATCGCTGGATGGACGGCCAGTTTCAGGGGAATAATCCCCTGAGGCAGCTCCAGAATCTACGGAAGGACTCTTAATCTCCATATCGTATCAGCAATCTCCGGCCGGAAGAGGAACCAACATAGATAAATCTAACACATAAACAAAATCAAAATTAATACATGTTTTACTGTTCAGTAAAACATATTTATTTCATATTTTGACGTGGCACCTCAAATCTTAGTTTTCAAATCAAATCACAAAGAGCTTCGTATTAGCACCGTCCGTATATTTCTTTCAGTAAATCAAAGATGAATCCACAAACCCCACGGAGATAATCTGCAATTAAACTCAGCGGTCAGTCACCACAATAATTGAACTTGTCTAATATTGTCTACTATACATAGACGATAGATTCGTACGAAGTATTGCATATTGGACTGTATTTCCCTATAAACAACCTTGAATCATTACAGCTCAGGATTAGTTCGTATTACTAATGCATGCAAAATGTCATATCCTCAATCAATCCATTAACAGGGGACAGCTCCAAACAAATGCACAAAGATATTCCGTGTCAATTATAATACGCAAATATCAAATTTACGCTTTTAATGAAAGCCTTTTTATACGCAAATGTAATAAAATTGAAAGTAAATATTATAAGATATCATCCAAACAATGGAGTTTTTTATGCAGAGAAAACATAGCCCCATGAATTTTGAAGCAACTTCAAAAAATCGACGTTTCTTACTTTTTTACGTCCTTTCCTCCGGCGGTGTAAGCAAGTAGGATTAAGTAGATGCACAGATATGTAGGCATGTATATTATTAGCGTGACGAGGGAGGAAACGAGTCGAAGAAAGCAGCACGTCCTCCAGCCAGGAGAGAGAAAATAATAATTTGGATTTTTCTCCACGGCAGCCGGAGGAAAGTTGGTGGGTGAGAAAGAGACAGGTGAAAGGGAAACTCGGTGGGTCGGTGGTGGTGGTCCCGCTCCTACAGCCACTCGCTGACTGAACACCTTGAGGGGAAAGTCGCCTTTTATCTCTCCCAAAGTAGGGAAAACGGCTCTGGCAGCCGAGAAGGAAGGAAGAGTAAGTAAAAGTTAGAACAGAGCTATTTTCTATAGCATAGAAAATAGAAATGATGATCCACAACTTTTCTCTCTCCCTTCTCCTATTCATTTTCATTGTTGTTTGGGTTGTCTCTGCCTCTCATTGTTCTCAAGTATGAGCAAAGTAAAGTGGTGATGGTCGTAACGCGAGTACATAATGGAGGAGAGATGAGATGACAAGTGTTGCTTACTCCAAAAGTCTCGTTGATGGGAAGATTGACGGTCATTTTGGCGAAAGCCAGTTTGGCGAAAAAAAAATTTCGCCAATGTGGTAAAAAATTGCCATGAAAGTACTAAATGGCGAAATTATTGTCACATTTGGCGAAAGTGGAAAATTCGTAAAAGTACATTTGGCGAAATTTAAATTTCGCATTTCTTTATGTCAAATCGCTTGATTGTAGGCCTAACTCTTGAGCTTTCCGAAAAATACTTTGACATATGTAGGTGGAACCAACTCAATTATTGTTAAAAATGTTGTGAAACGGTATAGGAGGAATAATTGTCAATTATTGTCTTTGTGAACATGGGGTTTGTAGAATCAATTGCCGCAGCCTCGAAATCTAGTATGATTTGAGAAGGATTATAGTTTTTGACGTTATCTTTTACAACATCAAACAATATTTTGTAGCACTCTTTGTTTTTTTAGGGAAAAGGGCATAAACTATTGGAACGCATTGTCGGCTTGTTCGGCTTATGCCGTTAATTGCTTCTTAAATGCAATGTATTGTGTAAAGTTGAGCACTTCTTTTGAATATTTTTGGACATGATTTAAACGTCCCGTCACAAATCCATGTATCCGATGATCCCAGGAGGGTTGAACGCTCTTCATGAGTAACGATTTTCACAAAATCCTCGTTTTCGCCAAATGCGACATTATTTTCGCCAAAAGGTACTTTAAATAAAATAAAACTAACGTACGGTGAAATGCATGGAATTTGTTCTTCGCCAAATGGGATTATTTTTTGGCGAAAGTTTTTCGCCAAACTGACCGACTACCGATGGGAAAGGTCTTTGGGATAAACTCCCCTGGGTGGCGATGGTCGTGATGGGATAATAATAGTGCCAGAGAGAAAAGAAGTTGTTTGGAGTGAGTGGTGTTTACAAAATGAATGGATAAATAATGGGTTGGCTGAGAGCAAAGCGAAGTAAAAGGCTATGAACAACTTTCCCACGGCTTTTAGACCGTGATGAAAAGGATGGTGAAAGGATTACTATTATTTAATATGAAGGAAAAGGGATCCGTGTCGTATTTGTTTGGACGCACAGGCTCAGGATCATGTTCCGCCCATACGTTTGGAGAAAGGAAGGAAGGAAGGAGGTTTGTTGGTCTTAATCTGTGTGTTGGTGGGCTACTAAAATCCCGTGAAATTTTAAGTTTGGGAAAATATTGACATTTGTTAACGTCACCACCATCCTCATTTGGTGAAGGATTCTCTTCCAGCCCTCTCTCTGCTGGTTGATGAGAGGTAGGGAAAAGGTCTCTATACTATATTTTGGTGGATGCATGGAGGTGAAAGATGAGAGAGGAAGGCGGACTTTGGAACAGGTTTGAGCTCTCTGTTCACCCTTTCACCTTCAAATGTAAGCTCCAGCCTCTCCACCACTTTGTTGATCCAGGCAGCAAAGGACTCGTTCAGTCAGTAGATACATAGACGACGCATCTCATCTCTCCTCTTCTGATAGAATCTCTTGTGCAACGCGAATTTGATCAATTACGAAGTGTATTTATGGACGAAGAGGAGCAGCAACAGCATGTTCTCACTCTCGAGAAGGGGAGGAGCAGCGTCAATGAAAGACTCTGCTGCTGAGCTTTCGGGATGTCAATCGAGTCAACTTTTCCCGTCTACTTTCTCCATCGCACAGACCCAGTTCGGACTACCTGTCTGATTACCTGCCAACTCCACGACGGTTCTCTATGTACGTCGGCGTCATGGTCATGGCATAACAATCCCCGAAATTAGGTTGAGTGCCTCCTATTGTGAAGTCCTGAAGGGAACGTTCATAAAATATGTAGGGGAAGAGAGGGGGAGGCCTGTTTCATTGCCAGTTAATCTGCCTCACATGTTAAAAAGGCGGTGTGACCCGTTACGAAGGGGAACGGATGGATAACAAAATCGTCAATTTAGCATTACGTATTTTATGAACGTTCCCTTGAGTGGAGTCTCTCTCCTATTATGTTGTTGCAAATAATATTCATCTCGAATTTCAGTTGTAGTAACCAGCCCGCATTAGGAATTGTAAGAGTTACTTAACCAAGCAATCCATCTGCGGGTCGGTCGGTAGCAGAGGTTGAGTAATTGGATTGGGTATCGAATTTCATTCAGGTTCCAATAATAACATGGATCCATGTGTATTTATATGTGGTTTTCATAGCATAATACATAATATGCATATACAGTGGGTTAATTAGGTTGCCTATGAATTGGAATATGAAATGAAGGATTCATTTGGACTGAAAATACCAAAAATTATCATTCTCGTCATCTACAGTAGAAACATACACACACGCACACCTTGATGCTTTTTGGTGATTAGAATCAAATTCAGTCTCAAATTTCACCTGAACTTTCTCTGCCTCGAACTCCTGTTTTATAGTACCTGAACTTTAACTTCCATCAAAATTTGATTCCCGCGTTCGTATCCCTACCATGCTAATAGCATGGGAAGGATACGAGCGCGGGATGATGGAAGTTAAAGTTCAGGAGTATTACCTTTGCGTGTTCGCATTTTTGACTTTGATTTTTCCCAGTATGCTTCCTGTCTGTCTATTCATCATAATTCATTTGATTGTTATGAACGATGTTTCAGAGTTTCAGCTCGTATTTCGCATTATATGTTTAATGCTTTCACCTGTTATGCTATTACAGCAATGAATGTATCACGCTTGAAATTGTCATTGCTGACAACTTGTTGTATTAGTTACATGTAAGTAAATCTACTAGTCACTGACTAGTAGTCACTCAAGTAAATACTGTAAAACATACATAAATATGTATGCGAAATAGAACAGGGTAGACGTATGAGATATTAATTTTTCTAAAGAAGTCCCAGCAATTTCTTTAAGTTTGCATACTACTCAACTCACAAGTAAGGAATGAAGACGTCAACGTCAACTCCATTTTAATTCCCAAAGTCCCAAACACCAGTCACGACAAGAGTCGTTTTAAAAAGCTTTTATTACTGGAAGTACTCAAACGATAACTACATACTTCTAAGGTGGACAGGATGACATTCAAATATTTGTAAACACAATAGATGACTATAGTATACAGATCTGATCCAATTATAAAATTGGATCAGATACACTCGGATCAGATACACTTCAATAAACTGGATAACTAACTAACTGGAGCATTGACTTGGAAAATATGCATATTAATTATTCGTGATAATCTAATTATCTTTTATGATGAATAATCGAATGAACACGAATGAATGAATAACAGATGTGATTCAGACTTAAAATATACAAGTCCCAAGTCCCTTGAACTTCTATTGTTCTCTTTATTGAGGATAAACTTCTGGTGTAAAAGTGATGCATGTGCACGTGATTTTCATATACTAATTACAGTAATTACCCATGCCGCCCAGTTATGTATGCTATCCATTGTAAATATGCTGTCACTCTGGTGTAAACTACTGGGATTCTTCGTCCGCAAACTCGAGATCCGAATGAAAGAACACCAACTTGGACAAACCATTTTTCAGTCTTGTCTTTAGGGCGTTGACATACCGTATCTTGTGGTTGTTTGACAGGATTTCCAGCTCCATTTTGCTTAGCGTTGACGCAATCATGCATTGAAGCCCCAGCTTTGTTAGGATCAATTGCATCGGCTTCCGAGTAATTTTCTTCAAACTCGGCCAACAATGGGGCACCACTGTCTCCGTAACATGGACTTTGATATTCAACAGTGGGAGATTCTGAAGGGGTGTCCTCGTCTGAAGAATCATCATTGGCATATGATGCAGATGGTGAAACGCTAGATTCCTCTTCTGGAACAATTGATGTGGTTATCTCATCTGCTGTTGATGAGGATGGATACTCTGTCGTTTCAACTTCTAGAGTAGATGTCAATTCGGTTGTTGGTTTGGGTACACCAGGTTTTATAAATGGATTTTTTGTGCATATGTGATTTCCAGTCACCGATCCGGAAAATTCTTCTCGACAATGGAGGGTTGGAATAACCGTGGCAGCAGCTTCACGTAAAACGGGGGACAATTTGATTTTGGACTTGTCCGCTGTAGTAAAATATGCTCTGTAAAATTTCCAGTCGCAAGCAGAGAATATGAATGGATTACCATCTACTGATCCCCAACCAACTGTTCGTAGTTCCCATCCGCTAAATGAGTTTGATTCGGTGTACACACTCGGGAGAAAAACGGGTTGAACATATTCTGAAGAATTATAATATACATCAAAACGAAAATTCAACAAGGAGGAAGTTACCAGAATTATGTAATATTTATGCATATATTTTCATACTTGTAACTTTAACCTTTCCCACTCTCACAATGGCGATATCATTTGCTCCAGACTTTGGTTCGTAATGTGGATGAATAAAGACATTATTCGCAATATCCGGATACTGCACAGAACGGTACTGCCTGGCATAGAGATTTTCTGCTCTATTAGATAAGTTGTATGTTCCAAATACCAGATCAAGGGATTGTAGTCTGAACATAAAAATAAAATTCCCCTTAATTATAAACATATACATAGTAGATGTTAATTAGTTTATAATAGATCCCCACAAAGGATACATGCTGACATGTGTGCAACTTACTCTTCTTCGCCACTGTCGAAACAACTGGCTGCTGTGAGAACATGACTTTGATCAATCAACGAAGCACCACAGAATCCACCTTGGTTTGTAAGAATAATGACCATAAATGGGTATTGGTGTGGGAGTGTTTCAACACCATTCACAATACGAATTTGTCTTTCTATCCGTTGTTCAACACTTTTCTCGTATTTATCATATCCTGAATGAAACTTGGTGTTTACTCGGTCATTGGCAATTGGTTTTGAGCTGCAAACTGCTACAAGATCATTGTTGAAGGCACTGCCATATTCGTTCATTGCTGGCGATTCATCTGAAGCTTTCATAGCTCTGACAACGTATGTCAACTTGAATCCTCGGAAGTTTAGCCATCTTGAAGACACAAAGCGAATGCCCAAGCGGTTTTCTTTTGATACTACAGTAAACGGCATTTTATGATTTACATCACCAGCAAACCTAATAAAATAATAAAAATCATGGAATAGAAACTTTTTACTGCGTAACTAGTTAAATTGTCGTACCTCCGATAACTGTCCCATTTTCCAGTTGGCGAAACTAAAACATAATCGGAAAACGAAAACAGCCAAGGTTGCGTGACCACGTCGAAGAAAGTAGTTTCGATCACAGTACCAGGAATGCTCTACAAGAAAAATTATAATTGACAATCGTGAATACCAATGAAATTCAAGGGCTTCTTGCCTACCTCAATCACCCATTCACAATGAAGGCCTGAAGGGTAGTGTTCCGGATAATTTGGAGATGTGATCGTTCCGAATGCTCCCTCCGTCAAGTTTAAGTATTGATCGCCGCACTCTATTTTAAATTGCACAGATTTTTTTATGACCAAAAAAATCTTGGCTGAACTTCTCCATTTTTGTACCACATATATATTAAATGCACGGACCTGGAGAAGGGTCAAACGGAGGTTCCGAGCTGTCTTCCCTTTCATTTGCTGCATATCCAGGAACTGTATAAACTCCTTTCGTGAAACTTTCCGCAACAAGTCTTACAGGTTTGGATGACCAGATTTTTTCTACGACGTTAAAATCTTCAGGATGCTAGATACAACAAATGCCAATAAAGACAAACAAAATTTAATCTCCAATTCAGATGCGGATGGAATATTACATGAATACTGCTTTATACCTGACAAAATACACTCCCAAAAAAAGCCAAAATAATCAACACTAGTTTGATTGAATCCATTTTGAGCTTGAAGACTTGTTGGACTGGGAGTAATACTTTCACAGAAGGCCACCATCATTTTTATTCGATTTATACCTCACGTATGAATTATTCATTTTACATGCAAAACTGACGTTGTCAACACCTGCTAAGCATGTAATGTAGATGAGATATTCCCACAAACAATTAATACTCGCTTACTTATCTAGTAGAAAAAAATACAAGTTCATTGAAACCAAAATTGATGGAACTATTGACTAGACGATTTATTTGCGATAAACTGAATTATTCATCAATAACCTACAGGTTGTGTCCAAATGATAACGAGATATAATAATAGAGCTATCAGTGTGCTGTTGGTTTGTGTCCATCTACATAAAAGTTCCTAGTTGCAGCAGGCAATGTAATTTTAAGTCCTTCAAGTTCTTTCGTCAAAATTATTTGGCAACCTGTCATAAAGATGTTTGAAATGATATACAACATGTTACATAAAATTTTTTCATAGAAGCGGAAAATGTAGTGCTTACCCAGTCGAGAATTTTCTTTAAGGAATGGAGCAATGTCTAATAAATCGTCCTCTTTTTCTGTATTTGGTGGTAAAAGATCTTGAAAGGCCTCGTCGACATATACATGACACGTCGTGCATGCTAGGGACGCTTCGCAAGCCCCTAAAAATAAGTCAATGTTTTATGAAATGACGCAAATTATCCTGCATCTTTTCTTTCGACAAATTTTGATAATCTTTAGATTATCCTTTTATGTTATTTGTCATTACCTTCCATCGGGACCTCGAATCGCTTACACAGGTACAGTAAATTATCGCCAACTTTCCCCTTCACTTGAGTCGGTTGTCCATCCTTGTCGTAAACTGTGACCATCACCCTGATCCGAAATATAGTTTCTTATTAGTTATATATGTTTAAATTAAATAATTGATACAGGATTATAATTCCATTGTATTCTTACACTTCCTCTTCTGATTTCGGATCTTGCCATTCATATTCACCGTGAAAAGTGACTAAAAAAATAAAATCGTGCTAAATTAATTGAATCTCTTGATCGACATGGTGATTTCCAATGGTGTGGCTACTTTGACTCACCTTGTGACACATGAAGTGATCTGGATAACATTTGTGCTGGTTGTGGATGTAAAATGGATACCATATTATGAGGCAGCCTTGTCATGTGTTTGCAGCCACATGTTTCAATTTGTGATCTACCACTACTGAAAAATTTGGGAGCACTTGGGAGGTGATGGGGATTTAAGTTGGCTGCAATACGTGATAAAATGTTTGTACTAGTTCCAGCAGCACCTTTTGCAAAAATATTTCTTAAAACAAATCTCATCTTAATGATCAAAGAAGAAAGTTTTTAAGAATAATGAATTTTTACAGCAAATCAAAGTGATATGAAAAAATAAACATTTGCGTAGCACGTTAGCTTCCCGCACCAACCGGTCTGATCTCATTCCACGGGGTTATGTCGTAAAAAGTATGCATGCAACTAAAGAAATTAAAGTTTTTTCTCAAAAAATAAAAATCTCGTTGATGTACTTAAATTTCTAATTTATTTTATATAAAAGTTCGAGTCTTGATTTATAATCAATCATTCAATTTAATGCTTTCTTTCCACTTTAACGCTCAATGCATTAATGCAGTCATCCTCAATCCCAATACCTTTCCTCAATATCATCTGAAAAAATTGTAAAAGTATTATGCTAAATATATTGCAACTTATCAAGTTATGAAATGAGTAAGAAATCGTTAAGTACCCGCAGCGTCTTCCCAATCTAAACTTCGCAAAACGTTGTCCAAGACGCCGAAAGTGCAATCCCTTCCTGAGTTTTCTTTCCAAGAGTCCAGTACGTCTCGAAATGCCTCCGAGGGCTGAAGTTAAAGGAATGGTGAAATGTAGTGAAGGTTCATTAAAAAAAACTTGGCTATAATATGTAGAACGAAAGGACAATTCACAAATGCTCTGAAACCATGTCATGAGTCATTGGAAATAGGGAAATTGCATTTGGATGCCCCCAGTTTTGAATACAGTGTAATTATGTGTACATTAATGGCAATAGCAAATTTGCTCTCAAGTATTATTTCATAATTTCATCGACATTACCTGAATCGTATTCTTGAGCAATTTTTGGCTGTTAGAAAACATTTCAACGGGATCGACTCCCAGTGCTTCGTAAAATGCTTTCCATTTGGAGGCGTCGCGTTTTAAAATCTTCACTAATTCATTAAAGTGTCTTCTTTCAACTAATCAAAGTAAAATTTTGTTCAGTTAAGCGTCTCAAGTTGAGAGTCTCGATGACGGTATGTAAAACATAAAGACATACTAATCTTGTCCGGTTTGACATTTCCTATTCTGCCATTGGTGTCTGGAAATACATAAGTTTTCCCTTCCCCTGGACCGGGCGTTACTGGAGATGTCGGAGTCGAAGCTGATTCAAGTTTTTGTATCAAGTCTTTGTAAATCCGAACCGTGGTTGGTTGTTTTAATGCATTTATGAGCTCCCTGGTAGCTCCATCCCTAAATTAAATAAAGTAGAAAATCTTAATACGCATGTTTGCGTGCCTATGTGCAAGAATCAAGAATGGTTGGTAACACTACCTGCTAGAAATTATATTGAGCAACTTTGTAATTTTTGCCTTTCCAACCAGTTGAAATATTTCATAGTCTTCCTTTTGGGAAAGGATTCCTTTCTTTACGAGAAAATCCCCAATATGCCGATATTGCAAATCCTCTAAAAGATATGGTCTCAAAGTTTGCAGAGCCGGGTTCAAGTCCATTTTGAGAAAATATCAACTTCACCCACAATTAATTAGCAAGGATACTCTTATAATGTTAATCGTATATATGTAGTAGTATGGTAGAAATTTGACTTGTCAAAGTGGGTTAACTGGATAATCTGCTGTATGTATCTTATCCCTGACGTAAACTATGGTGAAACCAAATCTCAAGAGTTAATTACTGAAACTAATCCTGGGCATAAAATGTAATTGTGATTATTTCTGCAATGCTATTCAAAATGCTTATAAATTGGGAAATCATCAATATAAGGCCATGAACAAGTCGGAATAAGTAAAATATGATATCACGCATGTAGGTGTGTACTTAAGCTCTTATGAATACATATATATGCACAATAATCGTACTGGAGCAATACGTTTAGTGCATACCAGATCACACACATGAGTATTTAATATATTTTGTTATATCATTTTGGGGAACTGTGTACGTCGGCCTTGCATATTTCGTTTCCCTTTGTCATTAATCTTATCTTGTTAACATTGCTGCTGGTGAGGCAGATACAAATCACAAGATGAGTGATCGCAGGCTTGCCATACAGGATGCGATTGTTATTTGTAATAATCAGGGAATAATTCTATTTGCAGATCATAATGCCGTCCACATTGATATAATGGTACAAATATGTATCTCGCATGCACACTTATGTACCCACAGTCATTTTACCAATGAATGCTTGTTTGTGAGTAATTGGATAATCTTTTTCGGAGCTCTGCTAGTGCTGAAGGCTTGTGTTACGTTAAACATAAACCACAAGGAGAATCATAAATACTAACAAACCACGAACGGTCACGATGAGTCACTTGTATTTGTATTGCATATATGCCTGGAGTTGCTAGTTATGAAAGTAATAGAACATCCGGCATTTTTGACGGAATTTACTGCATTATTTTCATGTTAGCATGCTTCTAATGTATATAGTGGCTTGTAATCTAAAGAGGAAGATGAAACTCTTTACATCGGCTTATCAACTGTCTTGTGGGCAACGGTTATTAATGCACCACTTTAGCTGAAGCCGGTCGTAATGAACTGTTCTGATTTATTCATGTAGTTTTACGCATTCATTATGTGGCGCTATTCAACTGGGATTATTTTACTGCTTTTTTCGATTAATAATTTGGGACAAGGTATAGCGAAATACTTAATTACAAATTACCAACTAAACATTCTCGTTAGCGCTAACTGAAATTATTTTAAGTTTCAGGTCTACTTTGTTACTCGTGTGGAACGAAAGTTGTAAATGACTGGCAATGGCCAATGACTCCAGAAATCGAGGACGCTGAGCTGGATATGGAAAGTTGTGAGAGTTTTGAAAGCTCGTTTTCTTGGGGGCCTTTTGTCGAGTATTGTGGAGAGTTCAAATGGTGTACAAAATCAATCACCAATTTTGGTCAATCTATTGTTCGTGGTTGCGCATCGAGAAATGATTCTTCGGGACAATTGCATAGAGTGGGATGTGGAACAATGAAACCTGGTCTAGTTGTTCCCTCAAAATCAGAGCTTGACATGAGAGACGAACTTTGTCTTTGCAACACTAATTTCTGCAATTCATCCAAGTTTCTTAAAACCACGCAACTTTATTTATTTGCGGCCATTATAACAATACTTAATAAAAATATGTTCGTATTAAAGTAATTTATTGTATTCTTCATATAGCATGTTAATAACCCCAGAAAAATTGAGTCTATTTGATGGGCATAGTTCCCAGCATAACAGCATTAATTTTCTATATCTGTGAAAAAACTGTGGTTTAGAATAGTCCTCAAAGTAGATTCCCTTAATGTGCATTATCGATGTTTCTTACATGAAATTTGTTGCATATGGGGGCATGTGGGGTTTTTCTCCACACTTTAATTTTTCCACAAAAAGAAGACTAAAATCGTAACCATTCCAAGGAATTTGTCCTAGACTGAATATTTCGGTGAGAGTGATTCCATAACTCCAAACATCGGATGCGGACGAAAATGCCATGTCAGTTAAGGACTCTGGAGAATAAAACGCTTTGTTAAAAGCAACATATTAATAAATGAAAGGGCACTTAGTTTTTGGGAGTAGTGGGAAAACCTGGAGAAAGATGACGCCAAGGTAGCGGCGTCTAAAACATGAGTACATGTACAATCAATTCCACTCAATTGTGTGTTGGAAAAGACTTGAATATTATTAGCATTACATTCTGTTTTTTGACATACACCGAGTACGCATAAAGCTGACGAGCTAGTCCGAAATCGGAAATTTTTGGAATTCTTTTCGAATTTAGCAATATATTTCGGGTCGCTAAATCCCCATGAATTACTTTCTTCAACTCCAAGTACTCCATTCCACGTGCAATTTCATACGACCATCTGATTAAATCTTTGGTGGAGACTATTTCAAACTCATTGAACGGGGTTGTATCGCTAAATAGATTCAAATTAGCGTTTGAGTATGTAATTAAAATATACACACAAGTCATCTGCAGAATTGTTTTATAATTTGATAATACGTACTAGTGACTTTTCTGAATAACTACTTCCCCATTTTTAACCAAATTTCTGTAGAGTCCTCTACACCCTCGCAAATAGTCAGTCATGTTTCCAAACGCGCAAAATTCTAGAACCATGTTGAGCTTTCCTGAAATAATGTCAAATTACAAATTACTCTAAAAGGCTCGGGCAATTAAAATCTGAAAGTTTACTTTGCCGAATTTCTCTTGTAGTTGCACCGATAAGCTGTATAATGTTTTCATGTTTTCCGATACAACTCATAATTTTCACCTCGGTTAATAAGGCCTTGAAATATACGACGTCAGTGTCCTCGGGATTTATCATTTTTACGGCCACAGTAGTTGTATATCCGTCATTCTTCTCCAACTGGGCACGATAAACGCATCCATATGCGCCTTGTCCAAGGATGTTGTCAGAAGTATCTGTAAACTTTCAATGCCATCATTACAAGAAATTCATACTGATTTTCAATACCCTGAGAGCTGCACCAAATCGTAGTTGATTAATGTGTATCTCATATTCTTCTTTCTTGAATCGCTCATAATTTACTTTCTCCAACAAAGCTTTCGTCTCAATGTCGAAAGGAGGAGGAAAAATCCCTTCTTCAAATTCTTGTAGTTCTGCATCGGTCAAAACTCGCTTTGAGGAAGAAAATTCTTTTTCCAGCTTAATTTCTTTGATAAAATAATTGATGACGGCGCACTCATAGTACTGCAAATGTTTTTAGGAGTTTGTTAATATTCAATAGTAAATTGTTGCATTTCAAGTATTTGGTTTGTAAATGTTAGTTTTAACACCTTGTAGAATAGATAACCATTAAAAATGGCAAGAGTTGGGACGTGTAGACCAAAATAGAAGGTATGAAAGTAATATACAATCAATGAGAATGTGGTGTTTATCAACGTTGAAAAGAAACAAATTCGTAAGTAGCATATATTTTCCTAAAGCAAAAAATTAAATGTTTCAAAACAACCATAATACAGCAGAAGAAAATGCGTATTGACCGTCTTGGAGGCATGGAACAAAAGGTAATCCGCTGGAATGGAAGTAATGATATGAAATGCGTATGCGATCCAAAGTCCTAGTCGAGCTAGCATCAAATTGCGTAATAATTAGTTCAAAGAGAATGAATAATCAGAATTTAATTGCATTAATTATTTACTATAATAGTCCTTTCTGTTTTCCACTTTCTCAATTTCCCACTTGTTCCAGAGTTGAAAAACGTCACGAATACACAATCCTCCCCCAACTAAGACCATTAACTGGTAGGGATATTAGTATGTGCAACATTATAAAACTTGTCTTTTCTCGAGCAACAGTATGAGACAAAATTTACTATCTACATAATTACCACGTTTAATATCGACATTAGTCGAACTGCCCATCTCAAAGAAAATCCACAACATGGCTCAAACCGATCTTTAAAAATCCGCATTCTTAAAAATAAAAATAACAGTGTAACTTCAACACAAAACTTTAAATATAAATTCTTAGCGTACACATTAAATAAAACGAAATCAAGGTAAAAGGAAATGACTTTGTGGTAAAAAATATGACGTTGTGGTGGTCTCAGGAAGCTTGCGATTGACATAAGTTCGACATTATCGAACTCAATTTATTCGCATTGCATTATTTATTTATTTTATGCAAACTAGAATTTGTACATTGTCATAGCCCTTCAAGTGCTTATAGAGAGGATTTTCATACATTCTCTGTAAAACCATTAGCTATGACGTATTTTGGATATTGTCTGCATATTTCCCAATGAAATTTCCTTGAGGCTAATAATTTGCAACGACAAAATTTCCATTCGGACCTTTAGCCATTGCTATACCCATTTCAGCCGTGGACTTCCAAATTACCTAAAAAAATACAACTTCTGACACATGTAAACTTTATCTACATATGAATATTTTGTCAGCCATGCATTAATCACTTGAGTAAAGTGTCCTAAAATTAGAAAAAAAACTAATTAATAAATACGCAGATAATTGTTTGATTTGTAAAGTTTAGGTTGGTACCCGTCCCTGGCTGTGGCTCCAGCTTTTCCTTGATTTCCGAGTACCATTGACTTACAGGTCTCTTCCCATCAACTTTCTCCGTATTCCAGTAGACGTTCTCCCCGAATCCGCAAGTGCTATTATGCTGCATTTTCCCAAGTTTCGCCAAGTTGTTGACCCAAGCTTGGCTAATTTTCCCCAGCTTGTGTTACAACAATGATAATGATACTCAACCAATTTTTTTGAGTTTCCAGTTCTTCCATGATTGTTTGACTTACATCTGCGTTAAGGATAAGCGGAGGGGCTCCATGTTTGGCTCGGAGGACATTATGCTCCTCAAGAGCTTCTTGAATGAAAGTTGGATCTGTAGTGTTCTCGACCTTAAAAATAAAAACAATAAATTATTAACGACTGTACAAGTGCGCTAAATTATTTGTTACTTTCGGTGCAGTACTGTGGGCTGGACTCGAATGGGTAGGCGCCTGTGCACCTCCTGTGCATTTACATGGATAACAAGGATCAAATCAGAAATATACTTTACGAAATCAGTAAATATATGTACATATGAATCAACCTGCACAAGATGGGCATTTTGTGGAAGGTTTAGTTATAGTCTCCACTTTCGTTTTAACTCCAGAACTTCCATCAGAATACTTTTCGGTAATCGTTGTCGTAATGGTTTCAATAATGGTGCCCTAAATTATAAATGCAAAGTATGTACTTCTTTACCTTAAGGATAAAATTATTTAGTTATACATCTGGTTCGGTTGATGTTTTTGTCGATTTTTGCGTGGATGAGCTCACGACCTTTTTATCAACCATTGTTCAACCTCCTATTTAGAAATATAGGAATAAAATCAGTCTGATCAGGATTGTAGCATTAATTTTTTTCATAGAGATTTCGTCTTTCATCTTGTTCCGATCATCGACTGCCTTCATTATTAGTGAATGCATAATGAGCACTATAGAGATTCAACTCAAATTTTAACTGTCAATGAGGTGAAAATGAATACGATAATGAGAGGTGATACTGTCCGATTATCAATTTTTTTATACTGATACATCAAACTTTATATGCATTGATACGCAACAAAATGTGACATAATGGTGACAGATCACACTTTACTAAAGATAAGGATCCAGATCAAGCATATAATTTATCATTATAATTTTAATTATTTAAGACCAGCAGAGTAATATTTTAGATGTAGTTAAAAAATATTTCGCAACCGCACACAATCAACATGACAGCTTTACAAACAGCAACATCTTTTTGCATCATTATTAACTTATTGTTGTGCATTGTTCACTCTACTAACGCAAACGAATTACTTCAAAACGAGGAATTTCGTTTGTCATCTTCAATATGGCCGGAAAATTACAAATTGGAACTTTTGGTTATTTTAGACCCTTTGCCAGGTTACGAAAGGTTTACTGCTCCGGCTAAGAGCTGGACTACTGTGAACTCCAGTGAGCCTGTGTCAGTTATCACAATGCATGCCATCAATTTGACAATAAATGAAAATGCTGTCAAGGTAGAATTGTACTTGATACCAATATTTACATATGTACATATATTCTTTATGTTCGGACAATATTCCTGATAAAATTTTAGCAAACTTATTATTCTATATTTTACAGGTAAAACATTTAATTTCTGGGAATGACATTCCGGTGACAAGCGTTTCTTATCGAGAAGAATTTCATTTCGTGGACATTGCACTGGGAGAGCCAACCGTGCCATTACAACTTTACGAAATTTATATTGAATTTATTACACCAATTTCCGGAGACTCGTTAAATGGGATGTATCAAGACTTTTATGAGGATAACATTACAGGCCAGACGAGGTAATAAATTGCTAAGTATTTTCATAGACCGATACTGCCATCGTAAATGCTTTATATAAAGTACGAGTCATTTTTCAAATCTCTAGATACATTGCTACAACTTTGTTTGCACCTTTTCACGCCAGGCGAGCTTTCCCCTGTTTTGATGGTAAGTTACATAACACGCATAGTTTATTGATCTGGTTTACTATTATTGTTTATTCATTTATTTATTATGTACATCCATGTCAAAAGCTAAAAATTTTGATTTCAGAACCATCTTTCCGAGCAACGTACGACATCACACTTGGCCATCACACAGATTATCACGCCATGTCCAACATGGAAATTGTTGAGAGCCGCTTAATGTAAATTAGTATGCTTACTTAGAGATGTTAAGTTCCAAATTGAAATTCATTGTATGTTGGAATTTAGTGATAATATGACGGTTGACTGGCAGTGGGATATATTTGCTCAAACGCCATCCATCTCTTCGTACATTATTGCAATGATAGTTTCTGACCTTGCGTATGAAGAGGGTCCCGTCGATGGTTTCAGAAATGTGACCGTCCGAGTGAGCAATAAATATAAATCTGCATAGTACCGATAAGTGATTTAATCTAAATATGTACAAACATATGTACTTTTATGCCTACTGAGAATATCAACCAACGCATAAATAGCTTGTTAACGGACGTATTTATCTAGGTTTACGCCAAACCAGAGTCCATACAATCCGGGAGTGGGACTTACAGTGCAAAACTAATTGGTGATGTGATGACTTACTTTGAATCACTGTTTGAGATACAATACCCGATTTCTAAACTCTTCTCTGTTGCCCTGCCTCAATTCTTTTTCAACGCGATGGAAAATTGGGGGCTCATAACATACAAGTAATGAGTGGTAATTTAATTGATGACGATATAAGTAAATGAACAAGATTACTGATTAGTATACGTAAGTTTAATTTGCATAGGGAGCCAGTCCTGTTATATTTGCCAAATGAGACAACAGAAGCAGAACGCTACAGAATCAACTATGTTCTTTCGCATGAAAAAGGTCACCAATGGTTTGGGAATCTCGTGTAAAGCTAAATTTCTGAGAATTTCTCCATTTTCTTTTGTATCAAAATATCCCTTATTGACTATGACAAATATATTTATGCACATGTAGAGCTGTAGACTGGTGGGCGTACGTCTGGCTGAAGGAGGGTTTCGCCACATATTACAGTCATTGGGGAATGAACCACACGCATCCCGAACTTGCGCCTTGGGCTAACTTTATTTCCAAAGTTATGTATGTCGCAATGAATTTTGATTCATCGAATGGTACAAGAATTCATAGTTTCACGCTACTCAAGACAATTTTAGCAAAATAAGAAAGTATGCGTATTATGTATATTGCAGCCACACATCCCTTGGAGAACTTCCCCCCAACGTCGGATGCCGTGGCTGGGATATACACACGCATCCCGTATGAAAAAGGTGCGTCAATCCTCAGGATGGCGAATTCTATGTTCACCGAATCTGTCTTTTTGGCTGGGATACGAGCATACGTTCGAAACTTGTGAGTAGATATCGTATATTTACACGATTGTTATTCGTCATCTGACTCTATTGTTTTTTTATTAATTTAATAGCGCATATAAAAGTGCCGTGCAAGATGATGTTTATGAACAGTTGCAAGAAAGTCTGAATAATTCTCCGCTAATCTCTTCGCTACTCCCAACCACGGTTAAAGTTATTATGGACTCCTGGACGAGGAAAGCGGGGTTCCCAGTGTTAACTGTGTCCGCTCCCAGTTCAAGCGTCTTGCAAATTACTCAAGTATTTAAGATAATAATGCATCCTAGAGTACTATTTGTTAAAAATCCCAAACTTCAATTTATTCATTTAGCCATCACATTTTTGTAGAGAAAGTACATTGATGGGGACGAGAGTAACCCGGATGCCACGTGGTGGGTGCCTGTATACTTGTCCCCTCGACCCAATCTAACGCTACCAGACCAATTTCCTGACGCTTGGATTGCACAAGATACCACAAGTGTTTCCGTAAATATTGACACGGACCAAGTTGTTCTTGTCAATCCTTGGGGCGTTGGTAAATAATTTACGAAATAACCGATAATAATTTTATGCATACGTATTAATTACATTATAACGCCGTTTAGGGTACTACCGTGTGTTGTACGAAACTCGGTCATTAGAACAAATTGTTCAACAACTCAACGTAAATCATGAACTGATTCCTCCAACATCTAGAAGTAAATTACTGAATGATTATGCCAATTTTGTCTTGACAGGTAAAGTCTTAGCTATCTAATTAATAATTTAATTAAATATTTATGTACATATACGTAATACAGATAATCAACAGTTATGTATGTTACAAGTGTTTTACATAAATAGGTTATGCCGAAGCTGAAATACTCATTAGAATGTCGTCATATCTGGAGCAAGAGTTGGACTTCTTGGTTTGGGATGGCCTATACTCAACTCTGGAAACAATTTCAAATCTTCTCGAAAACACGCCAGTTGTACAAGGAAAGTTTAAAGTAAGCAAATGATATGGTTTGGCTAATACATACGCCAACTTAATGTGCACATTTGGATGAATATGCATGTATGTACATACCACTAACCATATTTAATTCGTTTTTTTATTTACCTCCACAAAGGAATACTTTGGTCACAAAGCGTACAAAGCTTTGACATTTCTTGAAGAAAAATACACAATTGATGAATTAGAAGTTGGAGCAAATTCAATGTTGAGGTCATTGTTGCTGAAATTCGCGTGCGAGTTTGGAGAACAAGAATGCATCTACAGATCTAAGCAATTGTTTAACGACTGGGATGCCACAAAAAAGTTATTCCCAAACAAAATTTTTAGCCGCCCGAACCAGCGATTTTGCATGTTCGTCTGTCTTTATCTCGTGACATACAAATACGATGGGTATTAAACGCTTTATTCGATCGACTTGAAATTAGGCACAACTTGGTGGATGCAAAATTAAGAAATTCTTTATATCTGAAATTTTTCATGTTGGATCGATGCAATTTTTTAAAGTACATACATATTTGTCAGGAAACAGCTGAACATTGTACATATATTTAGCGTTAGCATTTATGAACAGGGGCCTGAAAAATGGTAGCCTCTTTGGTTTTAGAAATCAAATAAGAGCAGAAAAAAATACTGGCTCGGGCGTGTAGATTTTTACAATCGTATTAATGGTGAAAAAATCCTTAACTAATTGTACGATGACAGGATCCCATTATCAACACAAGAAGCAGTGTTCTGTACAGCAATCAGCCAGGACAATGATGGTAAAGTTTGGCAACAAATCTACAACATTTTGACGAGCCCGGAACATAAGCGCCGTTTCAGTCCCACAAACTCACGACTTATCAAATCCTTAGGATGCTCAATTAAGAAGGATCGCTTGGAAATGTATGACATGGATTTATTATTCCATAGTCAGTTCAGTTAGCATCACGTCAAATTTATAATTTGCAGGCTCGTCAATGAAATTAAACAGCGTACCTTCATGGTACAAGACGAAGTGGAAGTACTCTTAAAAATGGCGAAAACAGATGTGGGGACTCGGGTTTTATTGGAGGAGTTGGGCAGTCATACCGAACTTGTAACCATGTAAGAAATGAATATATAATCACCTTATGGGTTATCAATTTTCTAATTTTTAAATGTATATAAATTGCATAGATTCCAAAACAAACAAGATTGGTGGACTTTTATGGATGTGATATCGTCACACTTGGCAAGTGATGACGACGCTGCAATGGTATTCATAAGTTTCAAAAACATGAAATATATACAAATCTTTACAGTTTTCTAATTTTTGTTAACTTTGGGGTTTTAGCTGAAAAAAATTGCTGAAACCTTACCTTCTGAAATGAGAATCAAGGTTGAGGATGTCATTTATGGAATCGACAAGAATAAATCTGGCAGTATAGTCAACTCGTTGGTGCAAGCTTTCCAAAATGCCGAAATGTAACATGTTCATCAATCACGTGAATGAAATTTTAGATAAATTCAATGTAATGACATTAGCTTAAAATGAATGTTCATTAAAATTAGTATACATTTGCAATCTACACGACCTACGTATAAATAGTGTTGTTTATTCAATGTACATAATTATTAGTTAGTATCCAAATAGTATTAATTTACGTGAAGTCTTTTAATTCCTGGCATATCAATGTTGCTATAAAGGGCATAATTTATCCATTTATTTGGCTTAACATGGGAATACTCGAGTGGAAATGTCGTTCTCTTCAGATTAAATTCTTTAAATACCTCCAACAAATTTCTTTCTTCACGTTTTAGAAATCCCAATAAGAGTTTTGTGGAGGAGACATTTCCACTGCACACGTAGCGGACAGCTTCGAGGAGGAGGTTCAGTGAAATGTAGAAGAACGGTGGGTCGAAAACGATGACTCTCCAATATTCTTGGTCTGGAGCCAAGTCAGTTAATTGTGGGTACCTCAAGTCAAAGTACCTAAATTTGGGGAGATAGTTGAAACGTGTGTCAATGTCCAGCAAGTTGACTTCCTCCCCATCTCTCGTCCACGACACATCAGCCAAGGTCGGGGTGCAAAGACAGCACCGTGCTTCCGGTTCAAAGGTGAATCTCAAGGCGGACAGAATAGACTCGATAGTTTTGTCAGTCCAAAAATATTGTTCCAAATCTCGCCTTTCCAAAAATCCCCTGCTAAACATTCTTCTTCCTTCCTGGGGTTGTTCCGAATTTGTCGGCGACATTTTTCTACTTTTCCGTTCAGTTGATTTACCCATTTTCTTGGAATGTAGGATATTACGATTTGTCTCAATTTACCTCTTTATTACTTCTATACGCAACGCAGCGTATGTGTGTTGTAGACGATAGCACAAGTTGAACTGTTACAACCACCATTGAGCATGACAGGACAGCGTATATTATTGCGAATATGAGCGAACGTCACTGAGCGAAATTCTGCGAATTCCTTCCCTATCCCGTTCACGAGCAAACGTTTTTGCACAAACGAAGCTTAATGGACATGAATATGCAGGCATGTTGTATGTAAGTTGTTGCTGACGTTGTTGTACATGTTCAAACATGTATGCATGCATGCAACTATTTAAAGACATAAATGAACGATTGGCGATTTTTTAAAAATTTCATCACATTTATTATACCGTTAAATAGAATAATTATTATAATTTTTGATAAAAATCTAATACTCTTTGATACCCATGTTAACCATTTAAGCAATGCATATATTGAATAGCACCATTTGGTTCGAGGGCGAGAATAATACGGTTCTAAATATGTCTTATAGTTGTATGTTCTAATATTAATGTCCTATTTATAAAGTTATACACAATTATAATTCTTAAAGCTTTTCGTCCATTCTGTAATTTTAAAGTATATAGTCAACATGATCTCGAATGTTGACAATGCCGATTCAGAGCTCTCGTAAGTGATGATTATGCATGTATTTTGTCACAAGTATAAGGGGCTTCAGAGGTGGCGTCATTTGGTCATACATCACTGAAATACACACAGCAAATTCGATTTAATAACAATAAACAGAATTCATAACTTTTCTCATGAGTTTCGATGGATGACCTACGATGATTCTAGTGATCCATCAGTTAGCAAACGGTTAAGCAAATCTTTTGGTTTCTTGGAACCTTCCCCTTCCATGGGTTTTGTCGATGAGAATGCAGTTGTTGGTGTCGGATTTACACTCTTCTGATCTTCATAGTTAAATGATTTGCTTTGTCCCTGCTGCATGTCCACTTTGTTCTTGCGAATCTTAATAGAACCAGTTGCCCTTTGATATGCAAGTGAATCGAATTCTTCATCCTCTGAGGGAACATTATGATCATCTTCCGCACTGGAAGTCCGCAGACTACCAATAAGTCGTCGTTGGTTAGCTGGGGAGTTGTTCAGCCGTTGTGAACTACCGCTGGATGGCTCGATGAAACATTTATTTGCCGGACCTCCACCACGTTCCTCTGGTTCACTGACGGCAATCAGAACGTCCGGAAGCGTCCTGGGGTTGACCGCTGTGGAACTGCTAGATCCTCCCCTTCTTGGGAATCCGAATCCAATCTCGCCCACTTCTCGAGGTGTGTCCACGTCGCTACAATGCGAAAGGGAACTTGTGGAAGAAACTCCAGAAGAGCTACGAATGCTACTCATGCTTTCCGAACTGAAAAGGCAAGCAAACAAGGACCAAACAAAAAATATTAGGATAACCGCAGCACTAAAGGGATCTTATACAAGCAAATTAATTATTATTAGGTACATACATAAATCTATAGGAGTGATGTGTAATAATTTTAATAATAACGATAACAAAAACGTGAAGAAAATAAAATTTGTTAGCAGAAACAGAGTATTATTTCCCAATTACCTAAAGAACTTTCGGTTAAACTCAGCTGCCAATTTGCTCTGTTCAGACTGCAATTGGGTTTGGGGACCGTGGTTCCAGGAAAGTCGTTTTTGTATTGCAGAGTCCTTCTCTCTGGTATTCTCCTTCTGTTTAATCAGAATATATATTTCCAGATCAATAATATGTCAAACGTCAAATTTTTTGATGCACATTAAAAGTTATTAAACCTTTATATCTTCAATGACACCAGCCGTGTAATATCGTTTATTGTCCATTCTTTCATTTCTAGCTAGTCTTCGTGCCATGTTGCAGTTTTCGCCCACGTCGCCCCCAAGGTGTACACCAGTGTCAGGGTTGCTATGAAGTATTTTTACCGAATTTTCATTCGCAATAGCGGCAGCAGCAGTGGCAGAAACCATTTTACGTTGTGCAAGAGTGGGGCTCCTGGGACCACGTCTGTTGAAACAGTCTTCTGGTGGTACTGAAGGTGAAACGTCATTGCTTGGAGGAATCGGGTCTAGATTCATGATGAAAAACGCTTTTTGTCAGTCCAGGTTAGTTACCAAAAATGCCCTAAAATAACTATTTAACCTTTAATCTCAACCACGGCAGTGGGTGTGACGGGTGACTTTTCCGGACTTATACATCCAACTTGTTTAACTTTTGTCAAAGGTGGATTCAGGGACGATAGGAGTGCTTGTGAACGTCGAAGTCCCCGAGGTGAAGGAGGAGGATACGAGATTCCACGGTGAGTAGGACTTAGTGAACATTTGGGCACCGTAAGAGACTGAGGTTGTGGAGGTGAAGCGTTCAAATTAGGTAAGGACTGGCCAAGGATATTTGGAACCGGAATTTGAACTGAGAGAGAGTTGGGACTTGGGGATTTCGATATGAACAATCTCCTGCTGGAAATGAATAGTATACATTCGTGAACATACATTTGTGTTGCTTTTACTCTCGAATTTCACTTTACAGTGCATTATGTCCTAGCGACAGTGTGCGTATACATATGTACATATGTGCAAATTAAAACCACGGTGCATGTCATACCGATCATGTCGCGGTGAAACGGGCCTGAGCTGAGGTCCTGTTTCTACACTAAGCGACCTAGCGGAGCTTAAATTCCCTGTGGCCCCTGTAGAACTGGGATCATTTCCATTTGTTCCCTCCTCCGAACTGAGACTAGAACTGGAAAAGTTTTTAACCAATGTTATTTACTTTACATAAAATTCCTGTGCAATTGATTTGTTCTAAATTCCGTTATTTTAAGGTGATTTTGTTGGATTACCGCTAATGATAGCTTAATAGTCAAGTTATCAAGTTTAAAATAACAAACTATTTATGCATGCAAGTAGTGAAATATGAAATACCCTCTGAGTTCTTGTTCAAAACTCCTTGCCCGACTTGAAATAAGGGAAGTTTCGTTCATTTCGATAGACCCAGAATGTGAATGCAGTAAGCTTGACATCTGGCTGGCACGACTACTCATGTTTTGTGGTGGCAAATATATCAATCCAGCACTGCTATTTTCTTCGTCCTCCAGCTCTATTCCAGCGTCCGTATCTGGCAACTCTCCGATTAAGTGAGCTCCGGTGAGAGGAAATTCAAGGTTTTCCTGAAAAGAGAAAGCAAGAATTGATTTCAATTTATTTACAAAAATGAAATGGGAAAAATGGGAAGGCAAATCCTTCAGCAGAAAATTAGACGTACGTCTGTTTTTGCCTTGGCTTCCAAATACAGTTTGGTTGCCTTCTTGATATGCTCCAGCCATTGTTTGACTAGTTTATTATCACGACCATGAAGCGCCAGTGCGGCAATAGCTGTACCATATTCATTTAGATAAACGAGGCCGAATGAACATGGGTCCTTATTGTACTCTCTTGCAACTAATTTGTCCACCATGTAGGGCTGTCGAATGATTTTTAGCTTATCCCCCTGTCTCGTCGTTTGCTTGCATATGAGAAGCATATCGGTGAAGAGGAAACAACGCACGTCAATCTGTAACACAAGTACAAATGTGTACATGTACATATATTTATGTACACTTGCGTGTAGTAGGGTAGGAGAAAGTCATTTTTTGCTTGTGAATCCATTAAATTTGTTGAAAGTGAAAGAACTAACCTTAGAACTGAAAGAATCTCGTAATCTCATATCGCTCTCAAAAATCAACCATCTCTTCACAGATCCACAACTTGGCATTGGCTCGAATAAGTTTAGTCTAGAGTGCGACTTGATGACTAGCTCAAGCTCTTCGTCTTTTGTATCCTGAAATCACAAAATGCTAGATTGAGAACAGCACCAACAACACGGCAACGCCAAACTCTCTCCTATGTTCTTACTACAACGTCATAGAACTCCATTTTGTCCATGATACCTTGCAACCTTTCAGATTCCTAAGAAAATATGGAAAACTTGCATTACTATTTTCCATTTCTTAACCTGTTGATTAACTGACGATTGATTTTAGTACGCGTGGAAAGAGTACAACAGACAAAGTAAGAAATGGGCAACAACTTCACAAAACTCACTTGTTGGTTTCTTAATGCTGCATTCACGCTCATAACAAATCTCTCCACGTGGTCAATCTGTTTATATAAAAGGGGTGCATGAACAGATTAGTCCCGTTGGTGGAATGTAGTAGCAAAACTGACGGCATACCATTTCCTCGAGGCAAAGCCGCTCTCCTGGGTCATCAGTGTACTTTAAAATAGAATAAACTATCAGTGTACTTTAAAATAAAATAAACTATGGAACAAATTTTCCAACTCCATCAAACATTCCTTGCCATAATGCAAACACGCCTTCGTCCAACCTTTCTTTTATAGCATGGCACAAATACATATTGCAAAATAAGATCCAATGATTGTTGGTCGTGATGAAGTCCAAAATTGAATCTATCCTTTATCCTATTAAGGTCCCAATAACAGCCCAAATATGAATGAAGCCATTTAAACCCATTGTCATGAATCCTAAATGTTTCCGGAGCCCTTGCAATGATACCCATGAAGGCATACTGGATAAGGTTTAACAAATAAGGAACACGATCAAACTTGTTTTATTTGCTTGCCATTGGCTTAGAATCGTCCGTTTCTCTCTCTCTCTCTTTCTCTCTCACCCCTTGTACGCTCGCTCTCATACACCCAGCTCTCACTCGCTCGCACTCTCTCACAATTTCTCTCCAATTATTAGATAATTGTCAAAAATTTCAAAACCCCCCTTTTTAATTGTTTATCTCACTTATTGTGACGACAACTTTACGATGGAAGAAAAGGACGGCGGAGGAGGTGTCATTGGTAGAGCCAATGGCAAAGAAGACTTGACAATTCTGACGACGGAAGAATTGGAGGATAGACTTGGGCAAGAATCAAATGACCGGAATTTCCGACTGGTAATGGAAATCGCCGAGATTTTGGATCAACGAGAGAATCCACAGCCAGGCCCCAGCGTGCCCAAGATTCCTCGACTTGACTCTCCATCAGCTGCACCGGCGCAGCCATTGGCTTTGGTAGATGGAGGTGGAGGTAAATTGTTTATTTAATTAATTGATGACGACAATGCAAAAAATTAGTGTTTTGTTAATTGTTTTTATCCTTTCTCTGCAGTGTGGCCACCAGCAATCCAATCCATCATCGACGCAGAAGGTTACACTCCATACTTCAAGTGGTATGAGCGCCCATCTCCCGTCGTGACGCCACCAGTCCGAGAAAGTGGATGTCCATGCCACGGTTGGCCGTCACCAGCCCCAACAAGTCGCGGCGGAATAATTCTGACAGCAATCAAATTAGCCATTGGCTGGACGGATGAAGCCGATGGCTGTGGAAGTCAACTGAAGACTTCCGAGAAGTATCAGAACTGGAAAAATGTGAACAATAATGACGCTTGGAAGGGATTTGGCAAGCGAAAGGATTGTCTCAACATCTGCTGGATTGATGGACGAATCACAACGGGATACTTCTCAGCAGGAAGACTTCGAATCAGGACGGATGATCGCCATAACCCCTTCCAACTCTGCTCCTGGATAGATTGCTGGGAAGTGAAACAACGGAATTGTGCTGAACATCAAACCAATATGTGGTCGACATCAGCCATTGGCTTCTATTCTCCAGATAATATCCTTGCAGTTGTATACCCTAGATCTCATACAATGAATCCAGGATCGAACATTTCTACTACCTGGGTGAACCCCGATAATATTTTCACAAGAATCCTAGAGGAAAAAAATATTACCATCCAGGAATTCGAAACGTTGGAACATTTTGACGAGAGGATCAACGGACATTACAATAATGTACTCCGTCACACATTGAAGGTAATATTTTTGTCATTAGTTCATAAATTTGCTATAGTTTAAATTAATTTTAGTCAATGGCTCTTTTAATTTACAGCTTGGAATCAACTTTCTGTCATTTGTCCACAACGTGACCCGAGAAGATGATGAAGAATACGTTACAGTTCCAACAGATTGGCAACAAGTTGATAACGCAAACCTCCCTCAACTTCACCGATTTTTGACTGCCAATGGCATGTACATGGAGTTTGGAGAAGAAATGGATAAAGTCAAACAGCCGCCATTTTCAAAGCCAACTTCAACCAACGTACCACTTCCCCATGTTTACCTCAAGCCAATGGCTCCTTCTATCCTGTATGCAGGGATAAATAAATCATTGGCTGAAGCACAGAAGAACTTGGACGAAGGAAAAAACACGGCATCGATGACACACTTTCCTCGTCACCGTTCCCGCGTGTTTAAAGATCGAGTGGGAATTAACCCAGAAGAATTTTCTTCGTGTCGTAACGCCATCATCATCTGGCGTCCAACACCCACTCCAGCCCAAATCAAGGCCCTCAGGAACATCACCTCCAATGAAGACCCAGTGTGGAAGGATCTCGTTCTTCAGACGGAGAAGAAAGAATCAATCCTCCACAAAGTGCTATTTTGTCTTGAGATTTTTGGAGCTACTACAGCCGATGGCTTCCCTGTTAAGACGTTCAACCAGGCCTGCGTCATCGTGGACAAGTATGAGAAGGAAGATGGGGATTTCTTTAAAAAGTGTGCAAGGTACATTACCAAAAGAAGAGTAAAGATTGTGGTGAGGGTGCCATTGGCAGAGGATGAAGAACACGACGAAGGAAAAAAGTGGCCCGAGAAGCTGGACTGGACTGCTATCCACGAAATTGAAAACCAGGACGAGATTCATTATTAATCATGTAAGTAAACATATAGACAAGGAGTCATAAATGTATTAAAAATAATAATAAATATTCTGATAATTTTTTTGTTTCATTTACAGCTGGACAAATGCAATAAGAAACCATATTTTACTTTACTAATTACTATTAGAATTTTTAATTACTTGTTATGCCCAATGTATTATAATTTACATTTAGATTGAGTATAGAATGAGTAGTTACTTTTAAAATAGCTCCCAGCAGAAGGCTATATTTTGTCATCCTTTGGAGTGGGCGAACCAATATATCTGTCAGTCGTTCTCGGTTGCACTCAGGACGAGCTTCACACCACTGCATATATTCAAGGAGGAGAAAGTTAGACTGGGCATTATTCATGGTCAGCGGAAGTGATCAGCTTAGTTTGATACACTTACAGCAAGATACACTTTGAATAATGGATTCCTTTGGTCATTTGCGCGACAATATTCTTGACTAAAAATAATAAAAGTCAATATATGTATATATGAATCGAACATTTGTTCCACTTTCACCCCATTCACCCAATAAATAAATCATTACGGTTATTACGAGTTATTGTTGTAGTTAACTTTTTTCGTACCTTATAGGTTGCTCCAAACAATACTGAATGTAGGGTTTGCATATCACGGCAAACTGTGCATAAAGAGATCAGTAACACGTTAACTTAATGAAGTGAAAGCAGCACTTCCATTTGGGTGACGTATGTGTGTACATCTACATACGTCACCCATATCCATGCATATGTTTGTGTGTAGTTAGTTAGAAATGAACAGTGGAGAAAAAGTCATACCTGATGAAATCCACTATGAAGCTCCGAGGAATTCAAAGGTTTTCTAGTATCACGCGCTATTTGTACCATAGGCCATAGGCATTCTAGCCAAAGGGTTTTGTTAGCTTTGTAAATTTCTGGAATGTTAGCAAAAATCTTATCTCGATCAATCTCGTTTAGGATATTTGCGGACTGAAAAGAGAAACAAGTTGATGCCATTTAGTTGCAAATTGGTTAAAGTGATTGAGACATAAATATACAAGTGCATTACACATATGAAAAATGTTACCTGGAGGTTGTAAAGACAGGCCAGAAAGAGCTGAAAAGATTTATGGCAATAAATTAATCAAACAGGCAGCACCTACGACGCTCAGCAGATTTGTTTCCAAGTGTTTAAACACTAGGACGAGGAGCAACATGTTTTATTGCATGCACTAACTACACCTCGCTCGCCCTTCTGCTGCATAATTCTTACGGACAACCACTTACATCAGTTAGGAGTTCGAGAGTTTTCAGATACAACACTTCCGATTCAACGAGTTCCCAAATAGCAGACTGCTGTTGTTTTGCTCGGTATGTGAGATCTCCCCAGCGCTCTACAATTGGTCTCCAATCCGCCTCCAAAGAGTTTATGGATTCTAATTCGTCCTTATCACAGAGGATTGCGTTAGGCCTTGGAATACCATATTTCTCGTAGTTATCCAGATGATCAGATAGCGCCTCAATCTTGGAACTCTCCTGTTGTTTTACGACAAAAAACATGAAATTAGACCGGGGCAACATGACCATTTTACAGACAAAAGGATCGAGACAAAAAGAGAAAGCAATTGACATGGGTGAATAAAAAAGGAAAATCTCGTGCCTTGACAGAGGTGGTAAAGAGACTGCTCCACCGATGTTGCTTTGTCGCATTTTTTACTTTGAGACTCCCCTCGTGAGAGATAACTCCCGATGGATGTCGAGATTGACGTTGATAGTATTTTGGGGATGACAAAGACAGCAGTGATCTCTTCTTGGCTGCGGAAACAGGTGCGGATCCAGGACCAGCAGTCGGGGTGTTTGCGGAGCTCGCGTTGGTTTGAGAAGCGTCTTGAGAATTTGAATTTGGACCAGCCGGAGACAGGTTGGAGTTGGTCGAGCCACCAAAGGTCGTGTCTTCCGCGGAGGCACTGAAAAATCGGTTTTTTCCCCGCTGCAAACAACACGCACACAAAAATGCACACATTCGTAAACATTCTTCATCGCACACAAAATTCTGATGCATGAATTATTCATACGTGTAAAACAACCGTGAAGTAGTAAATTTAAAAGTGGCGTGCATTACCTTGGATTGTTGTAAAGGTGACTTTTGGGAAGAGCTTTCCGCTGGTGGTGGGACCAGTAGAACTCCGGCCTGGTCATTTGGATGTCCAGGCTCTGATTTACAGTCCATATCCTGCTTACTCATCCCCAAACCAGAGTCCAAGTGATGGATCTGGGTCAGGCTTCGTGATCGACCCTGTGCAAAAATTTAATCTTTCGCATTAAAAAACTAATTTCTATGTTATGACCTTAAATTGTTATTCCATTTTATTAGTTCTATTTTACAACTAGTGCTGCTGCTGCTAAAAGTACATATGCAAAATATCTCTGGGTGAAAGTAAAAAAAATCATTTGCACTTAACTATTTATGTAAGATTACATTATTACCAATTTTATATATATCTACAATATATTGATCTGCACCATAATGAGATGGGGTCATCGTGAAATAAGTGTGCATTGCATTTCTTATACAGCAGTAACACAGCTGGGATCTGGACTCCAGATTCCGGAGAAAGTGTCATGTCTGTCTAAAGAAAATAGTTCACGGGTCTGTGAACCACTTCTTCTGTGCTAAAACCTTACAAATTAGTTTGGACCACACTCCCAAATGCAATCTGTCTGGATCAGCTGGAGTCTCTAGTCACGCTCAACTTTCTCCAGATAACAATTTACTGGAAATGTGACAAATGGGGCGCACAAGTCATTCCCCTGTAATAACCCCATTACTAAATACTGACTACGTCCCCTGAAGGCGAAACCTAATTCATATGTATTAAGTAGTATAGTGAGTCACTTATGTATATTCATCGTTACTCGCTTCACATAAAGAATATCGTATGCACTTGTTTGTACGAAAGAGATGCAACGCTAGGGTAAGAAGGAGAGAAAGCATGGTCAAATATGGTTACCTTGATCGTCTCCTTGCTACATACATAAATAGGTGCATTACTACAATTTTCCCTGATTCTTCGCATGTATCTACGTACGACCCGACAAGAAGAAAATGGGACAGAAAGTGAAACAAATCGGTCTAAGGCGACGTCAAAAGGCGTTCGGCTGTGATTCCAGATGAAGGATTGCTGGTCTAGGTCATTAAGGAGCAAATTGCAACGAGCACACACACACACGACGCTTTGCTGAGATCAGTCAAATATGTATCCACCCACTTACATTCTGCGTTTGTACACATGCACATCAACGTATACTCAATGAGGACGTGAATCTCATAGTGAATAAAAATGAGGAATCACAAGTAATTTCTCCAGAGACTAGAAATCTCATTTTCACAAAGAATGCACAGAAAGCATCTTTTATTTTATTTCAGACTGTCACCACTTCCTAAAATTCTGACAAAGCATCTCATGTTGCTCAAAAAGAAACGAAAGTTTTTACTGGCCATATAAAATAAACTCAATGAAATGCAGCCCAATCATTCCTTATCAATAATCTTGAAATTCTGCTAGACGAAGGAATTCAAAGACAGCCAAGATCTGGATGTCAAAAATATAGACTGACCATTAATGAAATAGTACTTCGCTCCTTTACCGAATCAAGCGAAAGGTATGAAACTAGTGGCGCGTGGGACATAATTATTAAATTGTAAAGTAGTAAATCATAAATTCACTTTGAGGTATCTGTCCAAATATTTACAATCTGACCGAGTTTGTCAAATATTCCACCCCCACTTTCTATGAATTGAAGGCGTGTGAATAAACCATGTCACGCTGATCACATAAATTAAGATCACCATAAAGCAGGGAACTATCCAACGTCATGCAAACATTGATATCCGTCAGTTGGCTACTCGCTCGTGGGTGAACGTAGCATTGACTCATTCGAAGGCCGAATGCAAATGATTGGGCCTGTGAAGGAGGGGGTGCAAGAAGGTGCGAGTGAAAGTGAAGCAGGAAGTGATGGTGGAAAGCAAAGCTCACTCAACTCATGGAAAAACACTAATCAACACGATCAACATCAAGGGCATGGTGGGACTGGGAAGATAAAGTCACACATTACCATTTAACCACAGCAGATTTGCCTTTTGGAGCCAACAATTGTTTGTTTGACAAGTCCAGCATGCTTCGTAATTAATTTATGGAAATGTGTACAAATGGATTCCAATCATTCATGGAATCACGACGCAGATTATGCATCCCAGGCATACACATGTGCCATCATTAAATTGACATTTCTCGCACTAACGAGACACTCTTGGAAAGATCAAGACTCTTCAGTACAGTGCTCTTAAACTCGTCTCACAGTGCTTGAATTAAATCCTGCCATACATTCGAAGTAGACGTGAAGTAGACATGACTGGTGAGATCAGAACGACATTTCACATGAGAGATGAACATTAATGAATTATGTACTTACAATTGGACCCGTTATCAATGGGAACACATCCAGCAAACCGTACGCTGTCTTCATTTTGGTTGTGCTTTTCTGATGCAAACGATTCCTGTTATCAATTAATTAGTGGGACGACGAATACAAAAGAGGACCCGGGAGGCAGTTGGCAAGAAACTGACAATTTCGTCTTGATTTTCAATCTTCTGCTCAATGCATTATTGGCGTAATGTCGCCCAATCAATTTACAATCTCTACACTATTAGTTCCGTTGGGCAGCAGCAGCACAGCGAACGAAACGGAAAGCATGATTGATTGCAATTTCTCGTCACCAACCACGAATTTCTTGTAGATTCCGGATCCATACATAGTTCGACTGACAAGAGAGGATTTTATTTTCCCAGTCGAGGGACAGACGTAAAACCTTTTTTCTTCGATTCACCATTTATGATGCACATCACAAAAACGCTTTATCAAATCTCTCGTATAGATTGTGAGTCTAGGGAATTCTATTCTTAACCACGACGTCCGGCTCATGGTATTTCATGACAACCTGTTCCATGAAAATGTCTGTGTAGATTTTCGGTATTTCAATATGCATTCTTACAATGTGCTTCGTGGAACTTTTACTGAACGTGTGCGTGGGGTCGGACTTTTTCGTCAGATGTGTGACTTTCTTTTACCACTTTTACTGAGGTGCATTTTTTAAAGAATAAAAACAACTTAACCTTTACCAATGTTAGAAAGCCACACCTGTCACTGAAGAAAATGGATGAAACACAAAGCTAGTTGTACATTGGACAGACATGTATTTCGTGTGTATACATACAAGACACGTATGTAAAATAAACTGTGTGTGATTGACGAAGCAAATAAAGTTATGTACGAGCATGATGTCCAATTTCTTAAAAAATGCCTCATATCCAATTACTGCAATCATCTAATATGTTGCTCAAATAAAATATTTACTTGGAATGTACGTACTACATTGAAGTGAGCACACTTTTTACATGCATACGTACCTATTTACGTATGTGTGCATTTAGTCCAATGCGAAGCCACAAAGTGTAAGTTCATTTAATTGTGGTAAAAAATACCCAGAGTGGAATATGTAGACAAAAGTACTTTGGATAATGAGTGTAACTGATAGTAATTAGTAGATGAAATATTCATTTTACGAAATACTGAGCAAATTCAAACTTCTTAGAGAATGAAACACTATTTATTGTCTTATAAATGGATCTTCCTAGGTTTGGATCACAACCCCAACTGGATCAGGTCCGTAGTTTTTTTTGCAAGTGATAGAACAGGCCAATAGGAATTACGTAGTAATTCTTGCATTATCTATTTATGTATTGGCAACAAAATTACAATTGTGTTATTCATATTGAGCTATATGGGGAAACTCAAATAGAAAAATGCTACTGGTACAAGATATTGTATTGCCACCGTCAATGCTTAGTAAATACAACTGTTGAGCTCAACACTTCTGTAATTGCTTATTGGATTGGATGTGAGATAGATACTACAAGAAGGGCAATAGCAATAACAACCGTTCAGAGTTATATTCAGTGTTATTGGCAAAGAAATGGACTGACATTGACATGAATTCACTTCTTTTTAAACACACTATTTTCATAGTTTTGTCATTTCGTGGTATCGATTTCCCCTGTACATATATTATGTCTATCAAGAAGAATCGTGCATTCATGGTATGTTATCGTGACTTTGGCAAATGTAACGACACAATACTTTGCGTTTAAAGTAATCAATTGATTGTAAAAAATAAAAACAAAAACAATTCAAACAACCAATCGATCGCTTTTGAACGTCTCGTTCTTATTGGAATAAGAAATGCAACAAAGTTATCGCATAGACGCTGAGTAATGTCTATCGAAAACCGTCTCACGAATTTCATGGAAAAAAACGAAAGACTAAATTAGTGAAATTAGAATGTCTTACATTTGCATACAATAAAGTCTACGTGAAATATACAGATAATGCGCAATGACCCAGGTATTCAGCTCCTTAAAATGCATATTATCCACGTCCAATCACTCAGCACAGTTTTACAAAACCTGATTTCGTTAAGCGAACAATACCCCAGAATAGTGCATATGTGCATACATACATATGTATCTACCAAACGTTAGATTGTTGGTTTATATATAAGAAGAGCCATGACATTAGTTATGGGAATCAAAGCAGTGAACAATAATCACTTTGCGTATGGGTGTGTGAAACTCGAGTGAGAATCTCACAATCCCAAGAGATTGATTCAGATATTTTTGTGATGTGTCACAAAAGTAAGTTACAGTTGTTTCTCAGTTACTAAAGTTGGTAAATTGCTCCTCTTTCAATGTAATAACGATCCCACAAACACAACGTAAAACCAATCAGACGATGCTGCACAACGTTGCCTCAACACTTGACACTGGACACATTACATCAAATGCGATGCTATTTATGAAGGACGGAAGACTCGCGAGGGAGGTGAAAGGTCTCTGCAGGTTCCATGTTGCTCAACTAAAACTATCAATTTGTACCCTTGTCGTTCTCTTTTTCACATTTCATCACTAAAATGTACTTTTACGGCCAATACGCCAGAATGACGCCACTACAACTGCTGCCTCTTGAACGACTGAAAGTCTACAAGGACGAGACGATTCACTCCCCCAATGATTTCAGCAAATTCTCAGCAAATCCAGAACAAATTGAGGTTGGAAATGGTTGGAGTTACTTGACTATTGGGTTGCCAAAACACTGTCACCCTTCTCTTGTCTGAGAATAACAATTTCTGAGAGGAGGAAAGAATAGAGTGCAGGGAGACAAGAAAGGTTGGGTAGGTGGTTGGTTTCGTGGAGGACAAACGAACAACGTCCACCATTCAAATCCTCACTTCTCACGCTTCTCGTCACAAATACCAATCCTGCTACCATAGAGTTCCGGAAATATATTACCAACACATCACAGGCAGGCGAGTTTGAAGGGGCAGCCGCCTTGCGTAATGTGCCAAAAAGAACAGAAGCTCCCTTACTATTTTGCTTGAAAGTTTGGTGTGAGACAAGTAATGCAATCTCTACATTTTCAATCCCGAAAGACTTGGGAGGAGAGAAAGCATCGTGTCAGAAGCTCTACAACAACCACCGTTCAACGTACCACCACCAGCAATGCTTTCTCTCTGACCAAGAAGAAGCAGTATGTCACCACCACCGCCGCCACCGTGGTCGAACGTTCTTTCTCTCTTTTCGCAACCCAACAGTGCACTGGGTTCCAGGGCGTCTCGACACGGGCTCAAATACACAGTCGAGCAATAGTGAAATGCGAGGTAAACCAACCGACCCACACTCTGCCGGTCTCGTCTCACTCAACACGACTTTCAAAGTCGTACCTAATAAAGTATCTCTCTGCGAGACTAGGGACGTCACTTTGCTGGATGCTCACTTTCATTACTTAGCATCGGAAGCAGCCAACGAGTCAAGTTTCACCAGCCTTGAGTGAGAGAAAGTGAGGAAAGAATGGCAAAGAATTGACGATCTATAGATTTGAGACTCGTCTCCTACCTTTCTCCGATACGTTCGAGAGGAGGGATACATGTACAACGACGGTGGTGAATCTTCGAAATTGGGATAAGAATCGATCTTCATAATAGCAAAAGCAAAAACATCATCATCATCATCACAACAGCCCCAAACAAATAATAGCTCAGATATGTGAGATACTCTGGAGTGGAGCAAACAAAACTTCCCATCTACGCTGGACGAGATAAACGATAGCAAAAAGCCTCACTGGGATTGGTTGCAGCAATTGGAACGTCTGGAATATACTGTTGGTAATGTGAGCCCATTATAGTCATTAGGATAGTCTTCTTCCCTGCGTTATACATATGACGGAAGAGAGAGGTCCGATCCTAAACCGGCCAAATTTCTTGTGCTTATCTCACCCAAAGCTCCATGAACATGCACCGAGCGTGTATTTACTGTACGGGGAAAGCAACCAGAGTAACCTTCAGACACAGAGAAGCAACACAGAATATGGACTTCTAAATATATAAGTATAATTAGATGCTCCACGAGGTCTTATTGCTATTGCTCAGAAATCCTTATTTTCATAATTTTCGTATTAGAAATGTAAGTAATATGACCAAAACCGGGAATGGGTCCTTCTGCACATTGGTGAATAAGGTTGTTCCGAAAGAAATACTTTACCCGTTTGAACGAATCTGCTAAACAGAGAGTGCGGTAAGTTACTTGACCATAAATGAAAAACTTTTATCAACCATTGTTCATAATCTTGTTTCTTTGAGGAATGAATCAAGGTTTAATAATGCCAGACCGTTTTTGTTGCTTGTTTTTCATAACGGACCGGACACTTCCGGTCAACCAACCGAGTAACCAAAGACGCTTAGTACATATTTATAATTTATTTGTTGATGATCCCGACTAATTTGAAACTGAATACGGCGAAAGTAAAGAAAGGAGGTTCAACAAACAATGGACAACTCGCAGTGCTTAATTATATATTTACTAACTTTGGTCATGGTCGTTCTAGAAATTCGGCGAGTTTCCCCGTGCAAGCCATAATTTTTAGGATTAGTCCGTAAAAATTAAAGACTTACACGCAACAACCAATAAATCCTCTTAAAGTTGTACAAGTCAAAGCCAAGGTCTTCACTGAAAATTATCGTTGATTTTATAGTATTCGTTCTCATATTTCTGCAGCAGCAGTTCTTAAAAGTTACGATTATATGAGCCTTCACATTTCCAAGGTGGATTGGAGCATCACTTGGAGAAATGAACGCAACGTGGGGAGAAAATGCCGTAAAACTGGAAGATTTATTTTACGGTCCTCGCACCAAGAACACAGATGCCCGTCTTTTTGTATCCCACAGCCGAAAATAGTGGAAGCCATATAATCAATGTTTTCAACCTGGGCTTTACATTGGCCTGTGTTATTGTGAATGTGGTGCGAATATCTTTGTCGATGATGGCGAAGTCATCTATTTTGCATAAATTCATTGCATCGGTTTCGCTATTTTTCGGTCATATAAACGGCAATTTATCCATGTAATTCTGATCTTACGAGCTCAAGTTCATTATAGATTTGCATATTATTTTCCCAGGAAAGATATAATCCTAAAATCCTAAAATCTATTTATTTTAGCAATGCGTCACACTACCCTGTCAAGCATAAAATCGGATAACCTTTCGCATTTCTCGTTTGCGCAATTGTTATTAATTCACAAAATATCTCTTATTTAGTTGAGAGGTATGTACAACAATACGCATTGAGTTTTGAGAAACCAGTCGATCGAACATAAGCTCACCACATTCCGTAGCAACATACATATATTTATACCCATAAGCGTGTATGTATATGTATTTGTGGTAAAAAATAATTGCTTACGTAGTGCACAAGATGTCTGGTCATATCAAAAATCTTTCAATCGGATGAAATCAGTTTAAAAAGTTCAACAAATATTTTGTTGTTATCAGCAGAATTATACTATATACGCACGCAGAATCTCCATCGTCGTATTTATAATAAGTTTTGTGTATGTATGTACATAAAAGCACTAGAAGACTCAGCAAGTAGGATAAAACTTGTTAGAGTGAATTTTTAAATTCTTTGATCGCGAGTTATTTATAGTGTACTTTTGCAGCATAATACACAGCCAACTAGCAATTTTGATATGGGTTCAAAAATTTATGTGTTGAGAGAGCGACTTACCTCGGATCTTTTATCCCGATAGCAGGCCTTCCTTCGCCTTAAATTTGATGATCGCTTACTTCCCGACAATCCTGGTCCTGGATTCGCATTGCTTCGTACGAAGGATCTGAAAATCCAAGAAGACGGAGGTAATTCTAATGCGCCATACATCTTATTCTTATAGAATATTCAAAGCATGAAGGTAAATCACAAATCTCAATGATCTTTGCGAAAGACATGATAAAAATATCCTTTTATTCATGTATTGAGCCATTTGTATTCAAAAAGTGCGGATATCTCCAGAAATTGCTCCTAAATCATTCCTCCAGTCAAACACACAAATCGATGGTTCAAACTCTAACTAAATTATAAATCTCTGGGTTCCACTAGGATAAAAATTCTTTTACTCAATTTTTGGAAATATAGAATTGGACTATACATAAAAGTAGAACGCCAGGATTTTTAAACAAAATGAGTATGCATCAAATTCTACTCTAAAAATTTTTGGTATTTTCCGCATTCTGCACCCAAGAAAGGGAAGCTTGTAATCCTGCTATAATGTTGCATAATAATTTATCACTTTGCACTTGCAGAGTGTCCTAACCACCATTAGTGAATGATAGAAAATTCCCCAAAACAGGCCTTGACCTACTGTGGATTATGCGTCTACAAGAGGATATCTATGAAATCCATATCTCATTCATTCATTTCATCCACATTCTATATTGATGATAAATTAAGTATTGTGGTGGTTGATGTGCACTAAAATACTAAACTTGTCCTAATAATAATAATACCCAAATCTCCAAAATCCGTAAAGTAGCGATGAGATAGTTCATGCTAGGAAAGGGTCTATCATGAACTCTCTCACGAACCATTGTCTCGGCTGGAAGAATTCTAGGGAAAGACGTACAGAATTACGTACGAAATATGTACGGAAATATTTATGAAGTTGCTGACGCGCGTGTAAAAACCCATATTTGTTGCAACAAAGATACAATAAAGATGTGTTATTTGACAATATATTTATTATATGGCTTTGTTTTTGTGTGTGTACGTACACTGGGTATTAATGGTACATACATACACATATAATATAATATGTATCTGGCTGTTTACAAATAAGAAGTTTGTACTGGCAGAAAACCTGGACGCTATAAAGACCGAACTATCAAACATTTGATTACGTGGCTTAATTGAGAAATTCTGTAAATAAGTTGTTGTTGTTTCCTCTTAGTTAGATCAGAATCGGAGAAAGCATGGTCGTACATACAGACACTAAATACTATCACTAATTGATCTCCCAAGCTGTGTTCGTTATGGTCAAAGGGTTGATTGAGAATTATTTTAGTAGACCTAAATAAAGCTCTAAATAGCCAAACCCTCTCGCCTTTGGGATGAGATTACCTCTCTCGTAATACTAAACTGCGCTCTCGGTAGTGTTGGTAAGTGGAGGAAATTAAATTAGAGGTGTGCAATTGTGTTCCGAAGGTGGGACAATTCTCCCCCAGGTCGTTCGAGTTTATGTTAAACTCTTATTCGGAGAAGAAGGAGAACGACGGTCATGTTTCTACGCCGAACAGGCCGCTGGCGATAAATGAAAAGTGTTCCCCTTTGTATTTATAGACGATGCCTTGTATTGTACGTACGTTCACAACTTGAATTAATACAAGGAGAGCTATGGATGTGGTGTCCCAATATTCGCATTTCTACGTTCATATGCTAATCTATCACCACAGATTTTATGACGCGACGTAGATTTTATGTTCGATTGAGGATTGAGCAAAAACCAGTGTCGTATATGCTCAATTTTATTTTGAGTACTTATTCACAAGTAAAAGTTGAGGATTAAAGAATAAATTTTAGCCAGGACAATAAACGAGTCTCACTACAAAAAACGACAGCCCCACTCAATCAAAAATGTATGGAGAGGACTTTCGATCACTTGGAATTTTCAAAGGAACAGTGAGATGCTAAAAAGACGCCCAACAAGAGATGACAAATGTGCATCAAAAGTCGTTGGAACGCTTTGTCGAGTGCGCTGTCACATGCAATTTTTCTCCTCCTAATAATTCAAACAGCAAGTATCGGCTTTACTCCTAAACGTATTACGGGAATAGGCAAACAACAAGAATTCCTGGAGAAATTTTGTGCTATCCATGCGCAAGACTTAAGTTTTCCTTCGGGGAACTGTCGTGGTTTCTTGGTTCTGAGTAAATTTGTAGTTTCAATAGTGTGTTTTTATCACAAATTGAGCCTTGTCGTCATTTTATTTTAATGTGATAAGATTTTCTCAGTCTGATTTAAAATGTGCATGACACGATTGAAGTATCAGACCTTCTTACTTTTGCATATGGCATTTAAAATGTAATTTGTTGTAAACAAAATTTCTCCTTACCCGGCATTAAATAGCTCATCGTCTTCATCATCAAAGTCTGATGTTGCTGTGTTAATCTTCCCCCGTCGTCTGATGTTTTTATCATCTGGGTATAAAAGCACAGAAAGAGAAATTAGCAAATATTTGTGTAGTCACGTCAAATTGGAAAATTAGTGCAGATTATTTTGTCATTATAAAATAGAAACCAAGTTAAAGTTTAAGATAATGGCATGAAGTCACCCACAAACAGATAAATCTGAGCATGCATAATGTAGTAATTATGTAGAAATTGTTGGATGCTCACTGGTTGTTAAGTCAGCAGGTACATAATTTTCTTGAATTACAACATGCAAGACAGCACACGGGACAGAATTTAATCCAACCCAACTAACAATGTATGTATATAGATAGTCCGTTTATTAGTGGTTCTAATTCTAATGTGCGCTTTAATCGGAAACCAAACTGTTGTGACGATTAATTTGCTATCAACTACCCAGGCTTTATCTTATGAATTCACATGCATTTCTAAAATAAAATAGGGTTACAGTACACAAGTCGTTGTTGGTAAAGTCTTGTAGACAAAAATCCGTTGCAAGCTATGTTTTATGTGTTTTATTTAAGCATGTATGAGAGTTGCAAGTTCCCAACCATTCCCAGGCGAGGAAGTCTTTAACACAGTTCCCACAAGAAAAAAAAGCTTGTTGGAAATGATATTGAACCCAAAGATCAATTATGACAGGTCGGAAATTCGAGTCATTTCGTTCACACACTCCTTATACATATTTTTGTAGTTGGTGTTATTACTTTGTATTTTCTTACTAAGCAGATATGATAATTCTGATGGATGAATTCGCATAAAAAGTAATGGTAATTTGGGAATATCAGGTGACTATGTTTTCCTGAAGAAAGTTTCAATAAGAAAGCTGATACTAGGCACGCCACATCACCGGATATTGTTATTTAGTAACAATATTACGACGTATATGAAAAATGTTATAAATTGAAAACTGGCGAATTAAATAATAAATACTAAACGGAATGAACCAAGAATTAATTATGAAAAAGAAACAATTAAATTTTAGTCACGATGTTTTCAATGATCACCAATGTACGTATGTAGAAATAAGATGCATTAAAATCCGGAGGGATCTAGTAATACACGAAAATTAAGCTCACCATACGAGAGAAAAATGAGATCAAGTATCGAGTCAACTTAAGGCCACATTCGATCGATTCAATTGTGATACGGTGTGCAGTGAATTAGCTGACTTCAAGTAGTTGAGTTGCATAAATGTTGCATTGTCTGTGAGTGAATGACTACGAAATAGAAATGGTAAATATATTTGCACCCAGCATAATATGAACTATTGTCAGGTTTTGCGAACCATACAAACAAGTTCAGACCAAATTGAAGCCAATGCAATGCGTGCCAGGTGGGGGCCTTGAGGAAAATCTGTCGAGATGAGATGATACTACACATTATAATAATAGCAACAACGGCTGATTGCACAACAGTGGATGAGGGTTTTCAATTTTTGTTATTCGTCGCATAACAAAATTGCTATCACTGCACTAAAAAGGATTCATTACACCTTGTTAGCGAATGGTATGGAAAAACATTGAGCTTCCATTTCTTGTCGATGGATGTTTTCGACTTGCTTGCATACGTACGTACCTAGATCAAATATAAGCGAGTTTGATTCCACCAAGGACTTGCTCCGTGCTCTTGGACGCAGGAAACCGTAATCATCCGAACTGTTAGAACTCACTCGTTGGCTGTTCTGTAATTCAGAAAAATTGAGAATTATTAGCAAAACATTTTTCGCATTCTTGGTGGATACATATCGTCAAACACATAAATAGATATATTCGAGGTAGCCTATTTATTAATTATGCTTCAAACTCTTGCAATTATGAAATTTTAAGACGATGATACATAATTCCAAAAGTTGAAATGTTAAATTTTCATAACTAGTGAACACAATTATATACCCTTAAAAATTCATTAGCATGACAATGTTATTTGAGGTAATCGATCCGGTGCAAGTCTTATATATGCATCGAATTAATTTCATTTACAATATTATTCCATAATTCAGTAGGGCTTTTAGCTCCACATGTGTATTCATTTACAATTGTACAAACATATGTACAAATGTATTTTATGCCTCTCAGACTGCATCATTAAACCTGGTAATTGGTGCAGGCTAATAAGCATGAAAGTAGTGTAACTCATGTGTAAACGGTTGCCGAGGAAACAGGAACCCGTGTTTTGTCATTGTTTTACAGCCATTCCTTAGCCAACTATATAGTAAGAATAATTAACAATATGCCATAAAACTTATTTTGGAATTTGGATAAATATGTGAACATAAAGTGAACATTCTCTACTTGACGCATCAAATGTTATATAATGAGTACATTGAACATACATACGGCAACATATCAAATATGTGCATAGTTTCAAAGTGTTTTAATGCTTTATGAAATTTTTGATTATGTAATACGTTCAAATATTCACAAACAAAGGAACTAATTTTAATCCAGCCAGTTCAAGGCATTAAATGGAATTCATAAAGCTGAACATGTAACGTGCATACATAAATTAATGGCTGATAAATAGTTTATCACGTATGACGCAGGCTGGGAGAAGGTAAATGGATGTTACTTAACTTAACACCAGTAAACTATTAAAATTTCCCGAAACATTATTTTTTTACAAATTTTGAAAGTTCGTACTTTGCAAAAATCGTTTCAAGCTAATCACTGGGCCAATAACACTTTTTAATGCCTATTGTGAATCGTAGAACGGAAGTGAATAACTCAATATAAATGAATGAAGAAATGAATATAACTGACGAAATGTACACATTTATAAAGCACGAAAACATTAATTACAATAAAATTTTAACACTTTATTGCAATTAAGTTTTAGTAATTAAGTTTCCTGATTTTTTTTTAATGTGTAAATTAATAAATCAAATAAATAAATAATATATATCTCTGACTAAAGTTTCCAATCAAGGTCGTATTCATTTCCTTGGTTTGGCTGTGTTTGCAATACGCACTTTTTAAGTGTCACTCAACTTAAAACCGAAGCGTTGTACGTTTGGAATTACATTAAAACCAGAAATAAAGTAAGTCAAAGTAGGTCTCTGAAACAAATCCTGCTAGAAATGCGGGGTGCTGACCAAGAAAATAATGAGGGACTTTAATTCGTTAGTTTCTTGTTGACGTAGCAAAGCCAGAAGAAGAAGATTTGTCTTGTTACAAAGTTTCTCCAACTCTTAAACAGAGTTGGAGATTAAGAGCGGTTATTATATATGCTTTCTCTCACCACCGTACAAAACCGGAAAAGTTTCTAAGTAATTCTGAGACTACCATGAGAATCACGCCGATGACTTGATTTAGTAATAAGTGTCCCCGTAGACATTAATTGCTAGTCATTTAAACGTAATATGCAGGGCAAAATTTTAAATTGAGAAGCTATTTTACTGTACAGATAGATGGATGCAACACCTACATCATGGCCGCACAGGCGAGACGAACTTTTGGACTTTGGGAGTGTACCGTGCTGTACACGCTGTCTGGCTCCGAAGACGTCGTCCCCTGCTTCCCAGTGGTCTTCGTCGAGGAAGCTGAAGAAGCCGAAGACACCGGCCGTGGCTGCGTCCACGTCAAAAAACGATGGACACGCTCTCCCATTGGCAGCACTGCTTGGAGAGGAAAGTTCCTTGGTGGTATCATTCGTGGGAGAAAGCTCAAACTCGCAGTGGCTGAAAGACTTTCTCCTCATTTGCCAAAGTCGAGAAAGAGGGCTCCTCCGGTTTTTTGCATAGGATTTTGAGCTACCCGATCTTTCAAAACGCCCCGAGTTGATGTTGTGTTGCAGCACTTTGTCATGGGAAATCTCCTCGAAATTGAGGCTTAGGCTGGGGCTGCGAAGACCCCGAGTTGGCAGGGTGGTGGATATGCCAGAGTTGAACCTCCTCAGACTGCTATTCTTCTTGAACAATTTCCTACTTTCACTCACTCGCACACTTCCATTGCCCCATTCTCCTGTGCTGCTTTCCTCACAAATCGGACCCATTTGCGAGGATATTCCACTCAGAATTGGGTCAAGTTTTAGCAAACTTTCAAACATCAAGTTCATTGGCAAGCTCATCTTCCCACCATTTCCTGATATTCCGGACATTGCGAAATTAGTTATAGATATTTGACACGATTTGACAATCTGGAATTTTTCACGTCTAACTTTCCAGTATGGGTTAATTTTATGATTACTTTGAAAATCAACAGTGTTAAAAACTATTTATTTTGAAGTCGTAAAACATCTTAGTATTTAGTAGGAACTTTATGAATTTATGTACAAGTCGAACATTTCTGCCCATTTTTCCTGTTTTGTGAAACACTCAATGAACTGGAACCCGAACGGTTCTTTATCCTTTTTACACCGAAAGTCTTGGGCGGATAAAAATAACTCGAAAAATGTAGTTTTATCCGAAAACTAGGCTTGTATGCCTATCATTTCATGTGGGTTCTTCTTTGATCTCTGGGCCGATTTCCTGGATTTCCTCCTCTTCACAGTAGTGTGAAAAGTGGAAAAGTATGGCTCTCGACTAGATCCGTACACGTCCTGACCCAAATTTTATCCTTTGTTGAAAAAGTGTGAAGCCCGTTCGGACCAAAGTCCACGCAGCCAGACAGAATCAAATCTACTTTTCCTTCAATTCAGATTATCACGGAGACAGATAATCCCGAGAAGTATGACAGGACGAGAGCGAAAACTTGCTTTGTCAGCAGCAGGTTGTTATAATTTGGGAAGATGAGAAACATCTCGGCACGACCCTTGGCTCTCTCGCCTTGCAATCTTCTTCACACGTATTGCATTTCATTGAATTAATGGGACAATCATGGGACGAATCGAAGGTGGTGCTGGGTTTACTTCAAGTCAGCATTGCGAAGGATGACAACGAGTACGAGTTCAATTATTCTTTTCATCCTGCTTTACGTCAACAACTTCACAAGAGGAGAGTATCTGTAGTTATTTAGTAGTGAGTAATTTCAGCAGCAGATCGTCACCAAATAAATCGTGACATTTGATTTACAGCTTTGCAGAAACTTTGATTCAACGGTTCGCTTTGTCTTATCTGTTATTTGAATCATGTCCATTGTTAGCTTAAAATGCATCTGCAGGTTTCACACCACCCACCACACTGCAACTGTCTTGCTGACAACAGAGAAGCTCAACACCGTGCAACGTGCATACAATAGTAAATCAGAGAGAACAAAAAGTTTTACAAAGTTTCGAAATCGTCCATTTAGATTAAAGACTCAATAGTAAGCAGAGTGAGATGAAACACGAGCTTCTCTGTGTCTGTTACTTAAGCTGGAACATTGACTGAATGGCAGAAAAATCCATTGTGTGGAAAATCCTCGTAAATGAGAGGGCTTGGTAATTTACAACGTTCCCCAACAGTAGGTGAAACATACACTGAGGTAAAAAAAATATTCTGCAAGTTCTGTGGAAACGTCACACATTCACATGTTGAGTTATAATTGAGCTGACTGACACTACTCTCAGCTATTGACTTTTCGGCTAATGTGCAATTTTATATTCAGAGCTTTGCGAACTGTAGGATAAAACATTGAGCAAGCCTTCTTCTTCCACCCTTCGTAACACTAGTCACTCACTCACTAGTCCACATTTCTGCTCACATAACAAGTATGTAATAAGCAAATAAAGAAGGTGGTTGGTTGGTTGTGCGATATCTGCCCCAAAGTGAGTCAGACATACTGAAAGTTATGCATATGGTTTGAAAACGGCAAATGAGACAATAATAAGTTGCATGCAATAAACCGCAATTGATACTCGCACTTACTAACGAAACGTATCTACTCGTTACACAAAGGACTTCTTGTGCTTTACTTAACTGCTCCACTGCTAGATACGTAATACCATCATCGCCCATTGTCAATTAGAAGACAATACTTTTCACAATGCCTTATAAAGATTGCCATTATCATTTTATTACCAAGTTGCAACTTCTGTTACTATCACTCGCTCACTTGCTTGTCACGTCACTCCTGCCTGTTTATTACTAAACTATGCCACTGCAATGACGTTTCTTGTTTAATACTGACTCGAATATTCTACGATAATGTAATTTTGTACACACTTTTTAGTACAACATATTCACAATATCTAGTACCAATGTCCAATTAAACCATAAAAAACCTATTGTCCTCGGAAAAATTATGTGGAGCAAGTGAGCAGCTACATAATTATTCTCTTGATTTTGAAGGAAACTAAACTATAGCTTATCAACTTTGTGGACAAGGGTAATTATGTAAATATCTACCTGTATCAGTCGTTTAGCATTTGAGTTTAATGACAATTTGTGAATATTTATCGATAAAATTGATAAAATACACCATTTATTTGATCAATTTATGTCCACCCACCTACCTAATTATGCATTATCGAAGGTTATACACAAATTGGAAACTAATATCATTTCTTCATAACACGATACCACACGACTGATAAAGTTGGATGTTTCCTTCCCAGAACTGTATATTAAAGATTACATTGAGATTCATCCCTGTTTGCAAAGGATCAAATTGGAAGGATGGATAATGAAATTGAGAAAAGTAATAAAGTCGGATTTATAGATAAACTGGACGTGGATTGAATAGTGCGATCAAGGCAAAATAAGATGAGACGCCGGAAGGACGCCGCTCTTTTCACCACTCAACAATGATCCGGGATTATGAGACCAATCCATCCAGTCAACCCCACGGGAGTGTTTTCTCTCACAAAACATCGTCTCACGTTGCCGTTTTACTTTATAACGCAAAGAAAAGCTGGGAAAAGTGTTTACAGCTTTTGGGAAAGCTTTCTTCTTCCTTTTCGCCTCTCAAAAACTTGCATGTCATTCAAGGACTCGGTTCCACCTTGCTCGCTTACGTGTCGTTCGTATACACTTGCTCTCGACGTTGTTTCGTCTCTCTCTCTTTTTGGCTGTCTCGTGATGATCAAAGTCCATGCTTCCACAGCATCACTTTCACCGATTGACGACGACATGGATGGCTACCTCATATTCTTGCAAAAACTATGCAAGAGAAACGCAGCAGACTGAAAATGTTAAGTCATTAAGGATATTTGTGGGACATAAACTCTAAACTACTAAATTTTACAACGCAGACAGACCTTATATAAGCGTAATTTTGATTTCGTCTCGCTATTTCAAATGTTGGGTCGAATTTCAAAACAGAGTTCAGACGAGGGCGTTTAATGTTTATGATTTAATTTTACTAAAGAGTTTGTTACAAACTGTATGTCGCTGCCTTGCGACCTGCATACTTAAAAGTAGTCCAATGATATAAAGGTCCCTATAAGAGATAGCTACGGCAGAGACCTATAGCCGCCTGGTATGCACAATCTGGTGTCTCTCCAGAGAGAAGGAGGAAGTAATTAGTATTTTGGAGACGTTCCAGTGAACGAGGTGAGATTCAGTCATCTTCTCGCAAGTGCAATCCTTGCTAAGTGTAAAATAAGCACTTCACCAGAAAGTAGGGCACCCCAAGGCCCTTCTTTCCCACTTTACCCTCTAATGATCCCTCTTCTCTGGGAAAACAATGAACTGGTGGAAAGTTTTTTTATGAAATCTGTTGATAAGCCTCTCATGCTTATTCTAATTCAGTCACAACGACTATTTACAACTGTAGACGGAGGAAAGAAGGTGCTAATTGGATGGGAAACTACCAGATCACTAACGAGTGAGTAGAGTAGAATCTTCGTACCATTAGTATCAGCTTTACATACATAGTTACACTACAGTCGTCCATATCCACACACAAATAAAACAAATAAATTCTTCCGATACAATACAATTGTGTAACAAATGCTAAAAAGAATGGACCCCAGACTGTTTTTACTGAGAAATGTCCTAGTGAACTTTATCCTCTCCCGTGTTTTCTTTGTTTCCAATCCAGAGTTGATGAAATGCGAGTAACACGACATGATATTGGTCGATGACGAAATGAAATGTATCGAAGTTGAAAGAGAGATAGTAATGAGAAGGAGAGAGGGAACACAAAAATATTGTCAAAAAATTTTAGAAAACAAAAATATTGGAAAAAATATTGTACCTTTTCACAAGAAGAACTACTGGGTCCATTAAACAAATGTACAGACGCAGCAATATGTATAGTTTAGCTTAGACACTGAAGAATGTTTGAATTAGGATGGTAGATTAAAAATCTCGAGTCATATTTATTAATTAATTTGGAACACACCATTGATTTGTTTCATGAAGAGAAAGGAGGTTGGTTTGGTGGCTCAGGACTGCTCGGAGAATGAAAATAGGAACAGGCGGCTCGCCCGATCTCAAGCTGCCTTCTTCCCATTGTACGACGATTCTGGCTTATGGACAAAGAACTCCAGAGAACCGAAAATCAAATGTCAGCCCCCTACGGCATGGCATCATCTCCTTCTCGATGACAGTCTCCAGCTTCTGCTTTCTCCACACAGAGTGAAACAGACACACCATCACACGCGTATGTAAAACCTACGAGGCCCAACTGTCACTCACTTTCTCTCTTGATTACACTCATCTGCCATCAATACATGCATTTTTTGCTCACTGATCAGACTGAATTATAATTGACGGCATGAAAATGTGGGCATTGTGAAAGGAGCGACGCCTTTTGTCAGTTTTGAACCGAGTTCAGAAGATGAACGGTACTCTCATTTGAACCCTTTCGTTCAAAGTGCATGGTTTAGAAAACATCTAAAAATGCCATGTTCTGACATTTGGAACCAACCAACTACGTACACTTGAGAGGAGACCAATAATTGTTTACAATACTTTTATGGGTTCATTCTTTAATGTCAAATGTTGGAGAATGTTAGGATTCACATGCACACTACTTGATGAGCAGTATGTGTATACATACATATTTATTATGTATGTACAAAGATGGGGCATGTCTAGCTCTAAACGACTATTGTACTGATAGTCGCTGGCTAATTTGTAGATCATAAAGTGTGGGGGTTGTAATCAATTTTATTTTATTCAGCCTTTAGGCATCGAAGTACATGTCAAATAAAAAATGCAATTAGGTAGTGTTGAAGGTCATTGAGACGTACTCCCTAATCTAATTTCTGGTGAAATTGGAGCCATGATAATACATTCAACCATTGCTGAATAATCGGAATGACCATTAATTATTGATCACCACACTACTGCCAGATCGGTGTGGTTTACGAATGTCAGGTCAATTTCAGTTTCGCTTTGATCTTACTTCAAATCGGTTGTACAATGTACAGCATGCACACACATGTACATATATCGCAAAAAAACTTGCCACGACCGAATCGTATTCATGACATTTTCACATATTGCAGTCTTTGACACGAGGTCGGGTGCCTAAATTCACGCTGTGAACAGCATGGACCTACCATTTCCATAAATCTCACCATACATTCACAACCCCTGCTGGAGACTGAGGTGTAGACATACTTAAAAGTGGATTAAAACCTAATGGGAACACTTAATCAGATTTCTATCCCATGTACCCAACCTGACACGGCTCATTCTTCCCTCCGTCAACAAATGAATGAACTTGCAATAGGACCTTAGCTGCGGCAGGTCGGCTCTTCTCATATGCATAGTTTTCTTTCAAAAAGAAAATATAGTTCAACATATACAACCTGGAAACAAGCAGAAGGTTATCTATGCATTCGTCCTTGTTTTCGCATTCAGCCAACCAAACTGAATGCATGAACATCACCAAGAGTGTCGTATTGTCCCCCTACTGCACCGTCGTGTGCTGTGTGTAACAGTGTAAATACAACGGAAATGAAACCGAAACTTATCAAACATTTCAATCTTTTGACTCCATCACCTCCGTATTTCTTAAGAAGATGAAGAATGTAAGACACACCCAATCTGTTCCAGTTGTTTGTTGTACAAATGTATGTACGTACTCGCTCTTGCAGCACTGCTGGTGTTGCCCTTGTAGGTGTTTAAACCAATTTTCACAACCATGAAAGAGAAACGACTTTCTCGTGTCTATATCTTTGTTCACTCACAGGAGGAGTTACAAAGAATAGAGTTTTGAGACATACAATGCAATATCTATCGCCAGCTCAGGGGAATCACTGGTGATGGTGGTGGTGGTTCTCATGATGTGGGCTGGACCGGAAAATGCACGAAACCACTATTCATTCATGAATTATGCAAAACCTCCTTCGCTGTCACAAAAGACATGAAAAGATCATTTATTACTACCGAGTCATTGTCATTTTAGGTGAGAGCACTTCACCACCAACCAACGCCTATTGCATCGCTCTGGGGTATGTTGGAATCCAAACGACCGAAGCAAAGAAATAACTAGCACCTGTCTGCCGATGGTCTGCAAAAGTGCTTAGTTAACAGCCACGGATGGATGGGACACATACACCCAGTAATCGAAGTAGCCTGATTTAACTGAGCCATGCGACGACAAAGGAGTGAAAATTGTCCGTCCTGCTTTCTCCCAAACTATGAACTGAAACGGTGCAGCCTTATTATGCGGCCTTATTAATACTAGAATACCCACTTCACCTTCACCAAGGAGAAGATATTTTCAGGCAAGACATCTCGGCATCATTTATG